GCATCGCGCAGAACAGTCGCTCAACGAAGTGTTACGCCAAAGGAAGCGTCGCAGGTTGAACGACAGAGTAAACTCGTCACGGTCGAAACTCGCTTTACCGACTTGGTCCAGGTCGAGGCGGAGAGCGAGTCCGTTGTTGGCAAGATCACCATTCAGCCACGAAGCCACCAAATCATCGAGTGCCGACTCAAAGGATGCATCCGTGACAACCCGCTGCTGGTTGTCGCTGTTGGTGATGTCGAGCTGTGCGATGGCGGCTGAATTGAGCTGCGGCAGTGAGCTCGTACTAGCTGGGTGCCAGTCAGAAAGCACCGAGTACACCAGGTAATTCTGTGGACTGGAGGCCAAAACGGAAGCGCCCAGTGATGCATTCGAGACGTGGACCACCTCGCCAGCCAAGCGAATGTCGTTGGCAAGATATGCCAGATCAAACGACACAAGAGGGAGACAATCGCGCTCAAAGCCGCCAATGACACGGACGCGATCAAGTGCGAGCTGCACAGCACGATCAGAGACGCCCTGAATCTCCAGGTAAGCGGCCTGGGTGGCATCCACATTCGCCCAGATGTGTGTGCGTTGGCCAAAGACGCGAGTCGAACGAAGCGGCAGGTCGGCAGAATTGTACAGGACAATATCAAACACCTCAGCGTAGTGCGCTGGATGCTCATCCATGTACACAGTCGGAATGGAGAGCTCGACTCGATGTACGACAGCCGGTGCATCAAAGGTAACACGCCAGACGGGCTTCAACCCGGAAGCACTGATGGCAGGCATGCCGATGTTGCTTGTGGCATACTGTGCATCCGTAGCCGGAACCGTATAGAGCTCATTGTGCGTGTCATTGCCAGCCTGCGAGGTCGAAGGAGTTGTGCGCCAGATGGCCTCGCGGCCGACTGCCAGAAACTCCAGCTGGTCCTCGGCAATTGACAGGTCGACGAGGTACTGCGACTCGGGTGAATTAACCTCACGACGGCTACGGCGGCTGCGACGCTCATCATCCGCACTGGACAAAGGATAGAGAGCAAGCGGGTCTGAAGCGCGAGGAGTCGCAAGATCAAAACCGTATGTGATGAGGCTGGCAGCACGGAAACGACCCGCCGCCAACTCGGCCGCCGCGTCGATGAAGTGGAATGGACTGTTAACGCAGATGCTCGTTGTCTTGGAGGATGCTGTGTGAAATCCTGAAATAAACGACTGCAACTGCCCATTGGTAGCCGAGAAGGGGAAGGTAAACGTGAACTTTGGCGCCTTCGCATTGACGAACGAACTGATGGTCACGGCCACAATGTCAGCTGTAACATTGAGAAATTCAAGCGAATCCAAGTCGTGAATGAACGTGGTGATGAATGAGCCGCACGATGTGGGTAGCGTGTTTGATTGCATGCCGCACGATGCGGGCGGCGAGTCTGAGTCGCAGGGCAGAGCCAACATTGTGACTGTGACGTTGCGTTGCGTGACGCCATCAGCACCAAGGCCGATGAGACGCAAGGTCACTTCGCCATCGATCAGTTCCATGGCCTCGAAGCACGCGGAGTATTCCTCGTCTTTCGGCTCGCGAGTTACTGCAAAAGCCTCCAATTCAAGCTGTTGGTGGGCCGAGGCCAGAGTTGCATACTCGGGTTCAGCAGCAGCCCAGCAACCCAAAGCAATGCGTGCACGCTCTGGATGGTAGAACACCATGGGAGCGTTTCCAACCTCGGGTGTGAGCTTTGGAGCATAGATTGTCGAAAACACTTCCAACGTGACAGCGGGACGGGTGAGGCCACTGGACAGGCCATGATAGTACAAAATCGCTTCAATGTAGTACTGGTTGCCGGCAGTCATGGAGAAGGACAGCTCAGACAGGGCATCATTCGGCATCTTGAAAGCAAGCGCCATGTAGTGCTCCGAGTAAAAGTCGGCATCCTTGCGAAGCAGCGCAATGTCCATCGCCGTCACGTTCGGCTTGAGCAAGATGCGAACTTCGGCTTCGATAAACTCCAATTCATTAGTTGGCAATGCGGGGTTGACCAACAGCGCAAACCGGAAATCAGCCGTCGCGCTGGCGACGTAAAACCCAGAGACGACTTCAACAGCATGTGGAGCGAACGGTTGAGCGATAATCCTCCCAGGGCCTGCCAAAGTCGTCGTGGCAACAGACGGTCGATCCGGGAAGCGTGCGTCGAAAGTGCGAAAGGACGTGATGTTGTTCAGATTGGCGCTCGAGTGCAGCAATAACGTCGTCGACTTGAAGGTACGTGTCACGGCGAAGTGCGTTGATTGGTCGGTACTGCTTGTCGAATCGATCAGCCCCGCTCAAAATGCACAGCGGTGGGATGCTCCGATCCGTGTTTGCAGCGTAAGGATCGTTGGTCAAGAAGGAGGAGCAGGTTGGCGAGTTGAAGCACGATTCCTGGCACGACGCGCGGTTGGAGCCCGTGGTGACATTCAGCAGTGTAACTCGACCGCCCGTAGCAAGAGCGCAAAGCTGAAAACGATCCATAACGGCGTTCGTGTCGAGGGGGACAAGGTGCTTTGCCAGCGGCCGCCGAAGCATGAGTTCAGGCATCTCGTTGATCGCCAGTGTGCAGCCACAAACAAGCTCAGCATCATTGGCGATTGGAGAAACGGCAATGTTGGTTTCTTGCGCTGATTGGCCAACAAGAATAGCGTTGCAAAGAGAAACGTAAAGGAAACGCGTCAGCAATTCAAACTCGGCAAGAAACGACCAACAACAGAACAAACAAAGAACAAAAAGCCCTTCACTCACGTTCAATCCGCCAAATCACACCGACAGAGTTGCTGGTATCTTGGACGAGCAGAGACCAAGCGTCGTAACGAGAGAAAAAGAGAAGGGGAAACGCGGGACCTTGAAAAACGAACTTGACAGGGAATGCCAGAGTTTGACCTGCAGCAAGGGAAACTTGTCCGATATCGTCGATATACCCGTCAAGCGATGATGTCCCCGATGCAAGTCTAGTTATCGCCTGTTGAACTTCAGCTTGCAGCAGATAGGGCACAGGCTTTTGTTGCTGATCATACAGGTCCAGCTGCAGACCGTACCCGGGGTACATTCCCAACTTAACGTTGTCCAACGAGGTATTCCCATAATTGTGGAGGGTAATAACTCCTTGAATTTCGTTGCCTTCCAAAGCTGTGGCGGGGAAGCTGGCAGCAATGATCTGAAGAGGTGCCGGTGGGCCACAAACACCGTCCACCATGACGGAACCGACATAGCACGATGTGCACTTGGTCGAGTTGCATGAAAGGCAGAAGGCGGCGCAGCATGCATCTGGGCCCGCTCCATAGCAAGTGGCACACGCTGCATCACACTCTAAGAGGCCAAAATCGTGACAAAAAGTTAACATTTGACAAACAGGTCGAAACACGGCAACGCCATGCATGCCTTACTATTCAAGCTGGTTAAGACTCGGTACGTGCTGGGAGGGGCAACCGCGCCAAACGAGTTCCCTGACAAATCCACTTGTGTAACTGCAGACAGATTCTGGAACAACCCAGGAGGCAAGGTAGAAAGCAAGTTGTTCTGCAATTCCCTGTTGTCAAGACGCGAGAGTTAGGATTGTCCCCCTTCGCGAAATGTTGATTCATCAAAGACACGGCTAGCGTACAAACGTTGCAGAGAAGTAAGGCCAGCCAACATTCCGCGCGGAACCGTTGTGAGACCGGTCCAAGACAATTGGCTGAATCACATTGAGCAAAGTGAGCTGCTCTGATTGATGCAGGTCTCATCATCAAGATATCATCAACACGCGCAATGATCGTACAGTAATGTCAGCGCTGAAAGACCTGTAAACGCTCTCGCGGACAGGTCGGAAATGCCATTTTCGCGCAAGTCCCTGCAAAGCGGGCGACAGAATGAGCAGCGATCGCTCCAAACCTTGGCAAGGAGGCAACCCGTGGGCAACGATCACTTACAAAACTTTCAAACTCACAAGACCGGAGAAAGCATTGGCAGGGATGACCGAAATTTGGTTCCCATACAAGCCGCTTTTTAGGTTGACAAAAACACATAAAAAAAAAAGCGTTCAAACCAGTGCAAGTCAGTTGCCTTTCCATAAAACATGCCAGATCAAATCTCAGGCTTACAGCACAGTCAGCGAAGAAAGATCACGGAATGCAGCGGGTCGAATAAACCGAATGAACGTGTTATCAATCCACCTGTCCACCAGGATGATCGAGTTGAGCTGCAATCAACTCAACAACGTTTCGATGCTTTCTTTTTCTTTTGTTAACAAAAAATTACATGTTTTTCACCGTGGTCGGAATATTGGAGGGAATGGTGATGAGTGCGTCGTTGCAATTTTTGACCTCGATAACGGGCGATCCGACGCACGTGCAGAAAGTGCATGCGGCTTGCTCTTGCCCAGAGGAGACCCGGGCGACGACCAGCAGGCTCAACAGCCACCAAACGGGTGACCGCGTGGCTCGCCTCATGTTTACCTTTTTGAACCAAACAAAAGAGCCAATCTTCACATTCACAGCTCCAGAGAGCACCAAAAGGCGCACCTCATACATCCACGCGTGCCTCCGTGAGTAGTTCCGACGACGGCGGAATCGGCTCGTACAAATCGCCGAACGTATGCTGGGCGTCATCATACAGAAACCGGCGCAACGGCTGCGGCGCGCGGAAGAGCGCCCGGCGAGCACTATTCAACAGCGACATCTTGGGGGGAGTGACTGCCAAAAAAAAACGAAAATAGCAAAGCAGCCCTCGTTGTCAGCAAGCAAACAGCACAACCGCCCAAAGCCATGTCAACCAGCGGCATGCTCACTCATCAGCACTCACGCATGGCAATCCAGACTTGCGCCCAAGGCTCCATCAGCATTTCCGTCACTGTCATGTCACGACGGCGCTGGCGCGCGACCGCAGCGCGAAACCGGGCAAGTAACTCTTCTCGGCTATAGTTGACTGGAATGCCAAGTAGCCGCAAAAGGAGAACACAACTGGCCGAACGTAACTCGCAAGCTGTTTCGAGCAAACACAGCTCGCTCACAAGCGCAGCCGCATCGTGCTCCAGTCGCGACAGGGCGTAAATAAGCAGCTCAACGTTTTGGCAGAGCAACTGGTCGGGGCACTCAGGCCGAACAGACGCACAAAGCAACAAAAGCCAGGGTGCGCCGTTGCCGTGGTCAATGAGCATGCGAATGGCCGCAGTGTCCTCGCTGAAGGCAACGGAAGACGCAGCGAACTGCGCACCTCGGTAAATGCTCTTCTCGGTGTCCGAGAGTCCAGCAAGGTCGTACGATTTGCGGTTGGCGAACAAGTCAAACTCCGTTCCGTCGGCAGCGGGAAGGGCGCTGGGCAGTGGCAACCCGTACTCCACGATCGCGAGTATGAAACGGGTTTGTTCAGCTGGCGAGAGTGGCCTGAATGACTCGGGTAGCCACCGGGGGATAAACTCGGTCCACAGATGCATATCGAGCTCGGATACGGGGATGGACTGCAGCAGCAGTCGGAAGACCTCCAGATCGCGTGCGAGGAGAGCGTGTTGCAGTGCAGCTCGTGCTCCTCTCCGCACCCCGTATGACAGCAGCAGCGGGACGATGCGCGTGCTCTTGGCAGCCAGGCGAGGCAGCAGATCGACGAGATGTGGTCTTGTACGGTCAGAAGCCGGATAATAGTACCAAGCCGGCACCTGAGCGTCGATGGGCGCGCCGAGCTCAAGCAACGCCTGAAGGAAGTCAGCGCGTGGGATGTCGTGCTCAAGGGTGTACACGGCGAGCTCCCGGGCCGTGACGACGCCGCCAGCCGCGACAAGGAAGCGGAGCATGTCGCAGTCGAGGTTGCGAACGACCCCATCAAGAAGAAAACGGGTCGGCGTCCCCCCAAGTTCCACCATCAGCCGGGCCATGTCGACGAGGCCATACCGCACTGCGGCCCAAAGGCCGAGCTCGACGGGCATGCCGCACTCCATCACCAGGATGCGGATCACATCAGCATGGCGCCGCAGCACCGCGAGATGCAGGAGCGTGACATGGCTTTGGCAGCGCGAAATGCAACTTGTGAGTAGCTCGCCGGTCAGCACAGAGGCGAGCGTGCGGTCAGCGTCAGTCTTGCTCCTGAGCAGATAATACCACCACCTCCTTGAGCGCTCATCGAGCGGCGTGTTATCAAAACACACTCGCTGGACGATAATGCTCAACACTTCCGCAGCCGGGATATCGCTCTTTGACTGAAAGTTGAGGTTCGGCAGCGCCTGGCGCAGCGGAGCGCCGCTGTCAACAAGTGCCGACAGCTGGCCGAGCTTCTGTCTCAGGCTGGGGATGTCACCGTGCCAGACAGCCAGGAAGAGGTGCCGGACGAGGAGGGGGCAGGTCAGGTGGTATGTCTGCCACTCGTCCCAGTCGAATCGCGGGTAGAGGCGCAAATGCGGCAGAGCGTACGCATCACGCGCTTCGTTTGCGCCGTCGATCATGCCTTCGTCCAAGGGCAGACCGAGCTGGTTGACGCCTTCGACAATCTCAGCGAGCATCTGCTTTGAAGCGACATCGCGCCCCAGCTTCACAAGTTGAGTCGGAATATGCGCAGTCTGGATGAGGTAGCGATCGAATGGTAAGCGGCCGGCGTGCCAGTAGTAGGCGATCACGCGCAAGGCCATCAGTACCAGGTCAGCGTACGAGCGTTCGATGCCGTCGTCCCAATTCCCGCGAGTTTCACTCAGGAGAAACTCTTCGGGTCTCTTGACACGAATGAGCGTGCGGCTGTGTGGATACCACGATGTGGGCGATGCTGCGAGCAGCTCGGTCGTCGGAGTGGCGAGGCTCGCGGCCACAACTGCTGGCGATGGGGTGTCGAGTTGAGGGAGCGGCTGAGTCCCTTGAGCCTGCGTCCCTTGAGCCTGTGTCTCTTGAGCCGTGGTTGTGGTCGAGGAGGAGGCAGATGCGGCAGATGCAGCATCCATGTCTGCAAGGATGGCCTCGCCCGTCGCGACCCAGGCGGCGTAGCTGGTCTTGTGCGGGCTGTCTGCCATGACGCGGAAGAGCAGCTGCAAGTGCGCTGGCTGGTTCTCGAGCAGCATTGTTTGGATGGAAGCGAGGCACTTGCGGCCGCGGTCGCACTTGGCCAGCGTCGCAAAGTCAGCGACAAACGAGCTTGACGGCACGGCGGCCTCGTCCGACGACGTGAGCGTGACGGTCGCGCATCCGGGCGTGGGGTGGTCCTCGACAATGTGTGCCGTGAGCTGCGGCAGCCGTGCGACGGGGTACGGCCGCCAGAGCGATTGGTCGCAATCCTCCATCACAGTACAGCAATAATAGACTGATTTGGGCCTAACTTTGTCTGTACATGTCGTATAAATGTATCAATCTATGGTAGTGCTTTATGGTCGGAGAGGCGACGGGAAGAGGCCACGACGACTCGCAGTGGATGTTCAACCTTTTTTGCCTTGACCCAGCTCTTGGTTTTGCTCGACAAGCTGGGATCGTATTGATTTTTGAGTACTGCTTCGTATCATCGACCTTGCTCGCTTCAATCAAAGTGCTCCGAGATGACCATTGACCTTTTTGCTTCGCTAAAATCCAATGCTCCTCGCAGCCGAGTTTCGCCTTCCACTTTGTTCTTCCAATGTACACAGTACTCCAAACTCGGAAGCTCGCCCCCCCCCCCCTCATACATGCATCGAATTGATCCGCTTGATGATCTCGTTCAGTTCAGGATCATCCTCATTCATCGTCTCAGTCTTTCACACTCAATTCCTTGCACACATCATGTTCGCCACTTCGACTCGCGCCTTCTCCTCGTCCAAGGCTGCATCGGCCGCCGCCAAGGCCGTCGCCATGACCTCGCCTTACCCCGGCGTCGCTGCCACCGGCGTCGCTGCCGCCAAGATTGGTGCCCCTGAGGTACAGCAGCAAAAAAACGAGAAAAGGGAGCAAGTTGGAGAGGGGGTGTGTGTTTTTGTTGGGTGGAGCAGTTAGCCGAGCCTATCGATTCGAAGCCTTTAACGCAAACAAAACCAATACCGAAAGTTCAATCCGCCTTTCTTTTTTTTTTGCTTTTTTTTCCTTTCGTTCTTTCTGCCCCTCCATGATGCTCCCGCGCCACGATGCATGGATTATCAAATGGTCTTTTTTATCGATAAGGGGATATGTGTGTTCCACTCCAAGCACTTGGGGGGGGGGGCAAGCATCAACCGTGGGATGTGGAAGGATGAATTGGACGAGATCTCGCTGTTCCTGTTTCCCCCCCTCTTTTCCTTGCTTGTCTTCGAATCAGAGTCATTCAGTGAGGAAACACAAAGTTCACTCTTCCAGTTTATTCTGTTGTTTGAATGAAGAAACGCCAAACAAAAAAAAACCAACGAAACGCAAAAGCAAAGAACGAAGAAAGAAGAAGAAGAAGAAGGGAAAAAAAAAAAAAAAAAAAAAAAAAAAAAAAAAAGAGCGCATGGAAAAATAGGGAAAAAAAAAAAAAAAAAAAAAAAAGGAGCGATCGCTGGATTTTGCATTGAAAGCAGCAGCATTGAAAGCAGCATTGAAGAGATCAAACATCATCAACCATCGTCAAACATCGTCACTCTCAAACATCAATGAGACTGTCTTTTTTTTTGTCACTTTGCACACCGTTTGCAGGACAGCTCTCGTTCTGATCCTTCCATCATCATCCTGTCGTCTCACTTCGCTCTTCCCATCCCTGCGTTGCTTCAAACAGGTCACCAAGCTCGCTAACGGCGTCACCGTCGTCTCGGTCGAGACCTCGGGCCCTGGCCTGACGGTCGCCGCGTACACTGGCGCAGGCTCGCGCTTTGAGGACGCGCACACTGCGGGCGCGTCGCACTTTTTGCGCCGCCTCGCTTGGAACAGTGGCACAACGGGCGCATCGGGCTTCCGCCTGACCCGCACGTCCGAGCTTGACGGTGCCCAGATCCACGCATCGTCGTCCCGCGAGCACTTTGCCGTCACGGTCGACACACACACGGAGGGTCTCGGCAAGGCTCTGGCCGCCGTTGCCAACGTTGTTGCCGGCCCCGCCTTCCAGCCGTGGGAGGTCAACGACGCCGCCCCTTTCGTCGAGCTCGATCTGCTCGAGGCCCAGGCAGACCCCACCAACCTGGTCGTCGAGCAAGCGCACCGCCTCGCCTACCGTACCGGCCTCGGTCAGCCCGTCCTCGCCACCGAGAACCAAATCCACCACCTTAACCAGTCCACCATCCGCAGCTTTGTTGAGCGACATGCAACCCCGTCCCGCACCACCATTGTCGCCGTCGGTGCCAAGCACGCCGACGTTGTTGCCCTCGCCCAGACCACCCTTGGCTCGTGGAGCGCTGTCGCTGGCTCGGCCGCCGCCGTCCAGTCGTCGCCCTCCGTCTACCGTGGCAACGCTGAGCACCGCGCCGAAGTCACTGGCGCCTCGCTCACCTACGCTGCCCTTGTCCACCAAGGCGCCTCGGCCACCAACGCCGGTGAGTTTTACGCCCAGGCCGTCGCTCGCCAAATTCTTGGCACTGGCCCCAACGTCAAGTACGGCGGCTCTGCCGGCCGCCTGCACCAGGCCATCAGCAAGGCTGGCCTCAAGTCGCCCGCCGCCGCCTCCGCCATTAGCGCCTCGTACTCTGACGCCGGTTTGTTTGGCGTCTATGTTGTTTCCGCGCCTGGCGCCGCTTTCGGTGCCATTTCTGCCGCCGCTCGCGAGTTGAAGCGATTGAGCTCAGAGCCCGTCTCGGCCGCCGAGCTGACCCGTGCCAAGGCCCTCGCCAAGGCCGCGTTCGCCGATGCCGTCGAGTCCCGACATGGTCTTGTTGAGGACCTCGGTCGCCAGAGCTTGGCTTTCGGCGGCAAGGTTGTTCCTCTTTCCCAAGTTTTGGCTGGTGTCGATGCTGTTGATGCCGAGTCTGCTAGCAAGGTGAGCGAGAAAGTGCTGTGCTGGTTTCGTATGTGTTTTGGAGAACAACTGCTCATTTTTTTTGTTGTTGTTGTTGTTGTTGTTGTTGCTGTTGTTTTTTTACTTCGCCTCTCAACAGTTCTTCAAGACTGCTCTCAAGACTGCTCCTGCTTACGCCGTCGCTGGTGACATCTCGACTGCCCCATGGCTCGACGAGCTGACCAAGGCATAGGAAGCGTAGTCCATTTGTTTATGCTTTTTTTTTTCCTTCTTTTTCTCCTTTTGCTCACTCTCTCGTCTCCTTCCCTCGTCCTTGTCATGGTCGGTGTCTATGTTTGTCCAAGTGTGAATCAACCATTTTTTATGTTTCCATTTCTATTCATCATCGGCTGGTTGTTGTATCTGGTTGAGACTCAAGATGAGAGAGATGGCCTGCGTCAGTTTGTATTGTTTGCAAACAATCACGAGGCAAAGAAGCGGAAAAGCATGCCACAACGACAACACAACTCAAATCAGGCACCGCCAGGACAAGGGAGAAAAAAAAACCAACGGGACGGGCTTTTAGTTCATCGTCAGGGACGCCTCGATTGCCTCAAGATCGCTGGCTTGGATTCGCTCGACCTTGGCCTTAACCATAAACTTTTCGATTTGATCCATGGCTTGGCGCGACCTTGCGTCGTGCACGAAATTGATGGCGACACCCTTGCGGCCGAAACGACCGGTGCGGCCGATACGGTGCATGTACGTCTCGCAGTCGGGCTCGTTGGCCTTGTCGCCAAAGTGCATTGGCAGCTCGTAGTTGATGACAACGTTGACTTGAAGAACGTCAATGCCACGGGCAAGCAGGTTGGTGGCAATCAAGACCTTGGTGGCGCCCTTGCGGAAGTCGTCAATAACCTTGTCACGGTCTGCCGACTCCATGCTTTGACCGTGGATGACAGAGACAGTGTGTCCAGCACTCGTCATTTGTTTGGCAAGGCTATCGACCTTTGCCACAGTCTGCGCGACGCGAGCGAAGACGGACGGGCGGGGGGGAAGGGAAGAGATGTAACAATTCGAGAGAACATTGGTGCAAGTGGTGAGTGGGTGTGTTGTTGTTCAATGGACACAGCATGTGTGTGTGCGTGTGACGACAAGCATGCAACAGACGAAACAGCAGACCCGCGTACCTGGCAGAAGATGATTGCTTGACCGACATTCACAAGGCCGTAAATGTCTGAAAGGGCCTCAAACTTTTTCGCCTCGCTGTCGCACATGATGCAGACGTGCTTGATGCGATCAAGGGCGAGCTCCTGGCGCTGGAGCTTGATTGTGTTGGCGGATCCACCTGCAACTCGCAACGCCATGTCGCGAATCTCGGGCTTGAAGGTCGCTGAGAAAAACAGGCATTGCGTCGTAGGCTTCAAGGTGCTGCAATATTGTGTGGTGGGGGGAGGACGAAGGGGACGAAGGGTCGATGAGTACAAGCTGGATACGCCACAATGGAAACGACTTGATGAAGAAAAGAAAAGAAAAGAAAAGGGAAAAAAAAAAAAAAAAAAAAAAAAAAAAAAAAACACGCACGCACCCTCTCACTCACCGATGCACACGGAAGGAAATGTCAACCATGCCCTGCTGGTCGAGCATTTGGTCTGCCTCGTCCAATACAAACACGACAACATGGCTGGGATCGAAGGCACGCTTGGAAATGAGGTCCTGCACAGTGCCGGGTGTGCCGACCACCAAATGATTGGTGATACGAGCGCCTTTGGCTGCAGGTACGAGCAATAATGCAAATGAAGAGCGACAAGATGAGAACAAGGTTGTTGGAGTGGCTGTTTTTGAAACCGCAATTGCAACAAATTCAGCGCAAACTTACGAACGCCGTCCTTGACTGCCAGAAGAGTGGTGATCTTTGTGAATTTGGCCATTGCTTGGATGACTTCTGCCGTCTGGCGTGTCAACTCACGTGTAGGTGACAAGCAGATTGCCTGAACAAGGAGGGCAAGTGTTGAGAGAGCGCGCGTTCGACGCAAAATCACGCTTCCAACAAAAAAAAAAAAAAATCAAACATCAACGCATTACCTGAGGGTATGGCTTGGTTTCGTCGATACGACTCAACATGCCGAGCACAAAGGCCGCAGTCTTGCCAGTACCGGCTTGCGATTGGGCAATAAGATTTTTGGGACTGCACAACGCAGGAACAGTTAGTCACGAGTCGTCAGAAAATTCCCTCCAGAATGCAAAAAATCAAGACATACGGGTTGGCAAGCATCATGGGGAGTGCAGTTTCCTGGATCTTTGATGGCTTGTTGAACTTCATGGCATAAACGCCTTGGAGAAGCTCGGGGCGACTGTCAGCGTTGTCAAAAGTAAGAAATTCCATGCCAACAGATCGAACAGACGCTCGAGCAAATCCAAAGGAATAGAAAGAAACAAAAAAAACTTACAGTTGCAACTCCTCGAACGACTTTGCCGAGTAGAGTGGCGAGTCCTTGTCGTTCTGCTGGACTTCGACTTCACCCGACCAATCGATCTGGGAGGGGCCGTCCTTGGCGGCAAAATTGTAACCCGACGAGGTTGACGCGCCTGGTGTTTTTGTTTTTTTGTTTTTTTTCCCCCAACCAATTCAACAATTGCGACACCAAGTCAATGATTCACCGTCGTCCTATGCGTATGAGTGTGCACAGTGCGCAAAGCGGTATTACCAGCAGCCTTGTTTGGAGTGATTGCAACACCTTCGAGCTGGAAAAAACCAAACGGACAAAGTCAAAACGTTGAAACCAACAATACAAACAATCAGTACATGAACACGAGAGTTGGCAACAGTGAAGGTGAAGTGGGACAGCATGCATGAAATGAGGCGAGAGGGGAAAGGCAGAGATCGCAAGCGGTTTTGGGCTGAATCATCGAAGAGTGGGACGGCCCATGAGCTTGACTCCCTGGTGTTGAACGTTGTGCCACACTCGCCCATCTCCAGACTGCCAACTAGGCTGAAGCGGCAAGAGCGAACACAGCGGCGGCAAGGCGGGAAAGAAACGGTGGAGCTGAGAAACGGTAAAAAAGCGAGCGCAGCTTTCACCTTCTCTGCAAGGCTGTCTGCAGCAGCAGTAGCAGCAGGAGTAGACGCAGGAGCAGGGGCAGCGGCAGCGGCGGCGGCGGCAGCGGCGGCGGCAGGGACTGGGTCGGGAGTCGGACCGTCCTCAGAGTCGTCAGCCCACTTTGCTGGAGGGAGGGTCGACGATGAAGCCATGGCTGTCAGGTTAGGTGATGGGAATGAGGATTGAGTGGGTGAAAAAGACTGGGCATTTATTAGTATGCATTTGGATTTTGAGATGAGGTCGAAATAAAAGTATTATTATGGGGAGAACAGTAACGTTGGAGAAACGTTTCACTGTGAGTTAAAGTTTGCCATTGCGTTGGATTTGGCTTGGTTGCGTTCGGATTAATTTACTGTGATATCAAAAGGTTGATGGGCGTTAGGTCGGTTGAAGGAGTCAACTTTGCAGAGATGGATGCCGTGAGATTGCTGGGCGAAAACAGCAACGACCGCAAGTCGTCAATAACAGCATGTAACATGCAAGGTCAAAGGGCTCGCCGAATACTACATTGGTGGATGCAATACAAAGTTCCACTGACAGTGTCCAAACAAAAAGCAAAACGACTCGCCGACACTGCGAACCAGTTGAAGCCCAAAAACTCACTCAAAACAAACCAGGGAAATACAACACAAACCAGGTCAAAAACGAAACTACTAGGAAGCGTGTTGGGCACGCAATTGCGCCAACCGGTGAGACAATTGGTCTTCTTCGGCTTGGGAGGCTGCTTGGGCTGCGGTCAAGCCGGACGCGCCGACCTTTGCCGAATCGAGCTGCTGCTGGATTTCGAGGCCGTGCTCGTCGGCCACCTTTTGAATGAGGGCATCGACCTGGTCCTCTGGTGTCTGTAGCGTCGTGGCTGCGGCCATCGAGTTCTCCATGACGCTCGAGCGCACGTCCAAATCGGCAAACTGCTCCTCAAACTTGTCCATCACCTTTGAGATTTTCTCGAGGTCCATTGAGGCCATGACCTTGTCCAAATTGCGCACCAGGCCGCCCATATCTTTTGTGACCTATGAGAGAGACCGGTGTGGTGAGCAGAAGACCGCAGACAGCAAGAAAGAAAGCAAACAAACAAAAGTCTCCCGTCAAACAACCAAAAAAAAAAAACCCCCCACCTGCTTCATTGTCAGAGCTGTCTGGATGCGTTGTGACACTGCGTCGAGACGCGCCGACATGCGCAGAAAGTTGTTTGCTTCGTTACGCTTGCGAATGGCGTTCTCTGCATAGATTCGGCCGCCTTCGTGGTTGCCCTTCTGAATGGCCTGCTTGACCTTGATCTTGTTTGCCTCCATTTCCTTCTCGCATTTCTTTGACAACTTGTCCATCTGCTTGCTTGAAAACTATCGCATTCAACAACAGATTTCAAGTGTGTGAACACTTTTGGGTGAGTACGACGTTGCGAGTTCTGTAGGTTTTTGCATTGAGCAATGCAGTGAATGACTCTGCGCCCCCCCCCCCGCCTCACTGGTCCATTCAAGCTGCCTGTTTCGCTTTGGTTTCCGCTTTTGAACTGTTCCATCGTGTACTTTCAAGTCGAGCATGAGCTTTCGCTTCAGTGCAACTCCATCGTGTCGGAGGCGTGTAAGCGACCACTGCGTCACCACTTCCTTCTTCAAGGCCCTGTCGCGCCCCTATCGTCCGTCAGTGCTTCTCAGCTCGGCTCGCTTATGAAGCACTTGGTTCCAGGTCCAATGGCTCAGAGTCGAAGGCTGGTCGCAGCGGTGCGCATGAAAAGGTCTTCCATCGTTTACCTTCAAGTTGAACAGCGACTCTGAACAGCAAAGTCAAGGTCAACAGTCAAAAGTCAGAACAGTCGTCAATGCATGCATGTTTCGCAAGTTTTCTTAATGGACAGGGAGAAGAACGCACTTTGAAGCTCTGCAGTCGGATCGCTAAACAGCCACGACATTATGATTGGGAATGCTGAATAATCGGATGTGAACGAAATAAGAGACTGAGAGAAAAACCGAAATGAGGTTTTGAAAAGGGTGATTCATGGTTACAATGGTGTGTAAGAAGAGTGGAAGTTGGGATAGTGAGCAGAAGCCATGAGAGGCTGCGCAGAAGCAAAGAGAGGCTGAGCAGAAGCCATGAGAGGCAACGAGAGGCTGAGCAATCGTAACCCAGCCTACAGAGCACCCAGCACCCCCAAAAATGTTCAGACAAACTTCTTAGTGCTTGCAAGTTTTGACAGTCATGCTGAGCGTGATTTTGGTCGTTTTCAGAGCCGCTCTCTTGGTTGCTGGAAACGAGAACAAAGGAGAAAGAAGAGCGAACACATCCAATGAATCCAGAGATCTACTGTACGGTAAATCAACCACTCTATATTGAATATATCCTCTTCTCAATAAAATAATAGGAGGTCTCCGTCCAGTCGTCGTAGTCGCTCAGCGAGAGATTGAACCGACAAAGACAATGCCGGGTGAGCACCCCCAAGCCGGCCTGATCAGTCCGAGCCCAGCCTCGACGCCATCGTCCTCGTCCTCGTCCTCGTCTTCATCATCATTGCTGGACGCGTCTGGCAGCAAACGCCGCGTCGCGCTGTGCGTCAAGACGTTCGTGGCAGCGACGCACCCGACCGATCAGTGCGGCAGCAATGGCCTGCCACTCACTCCCAACTCAATCCGCATCGTCGGGCGATTCCATCACAAGCTCAAGTCCATTGCAGCGAGTGTGTCGTCGTCTGCTGGAAGTGCTGGCGGTGCCGGCGGTGCAAGTGCTAGTCGCGCACCAGTCGGCCTTTGCCAGTATATTGACATTGTCAAGGGCAGACATGGTAACAACACTGTGCACTATACATGCACACAAAGACGCCCATTTTTGAGTGGTGCTTTTTTTTTGTTTGCTGTGAGTTTTGGTGACCTGGCTCAACTTGGACGAATTTGTGAATTATTGCAGAACGATTGTTTGTCATTTCGGAGCACCATGGACGATCGCTGGATTCGCTCATACGTGCATCGGCTACGTCAACAAGAGCAGCTTCTCAGAACGCTCAGGCGCAATTTAGGTATGATGAGAAGGCGTGCTGTTGACGTGGGGGATTTGTCTGTTTGCTTCATTGCGAACTTTTATCCACTCCCACCTTCTACAGCAGCCGCAATGTCGAGCTCCTGAGGCGCATCGCATTCCAAATCGTCGATGCGTTGGTGGTCCTCAATGCCAACAAAATCACCCACCGATGCTTGTGCCTCAACAACATTCTGTTGGATAGCACGGTAAGAGTTCCCACACATTATTGGCACTGCCTGGCTCCTCTATTCCTCACAACTCTCAACCCCTCGTCATCAAAAAACACTCCTTGCAGGGCAATGTCAAGCTGTCCGACTACGGTCTCTTTTACATGACAGAGAATGGCGCCGACGTCTCATTCCCAATCAGCCACCCAACGTACACGGCACCGGAAGTCATCGCTTCGGCGATCACATTTCCCTCACCGCCCGCTCGTCAGTACGATGCTTTGCGCAATGCCGCCTCTCCCAAGGTATGTGTTTGTGGCAGGTTCGAAAAATCGGGCGGCGGCGCCGCCATCAGACATTTATTGACCACTCGCCTGATTTCAACAACAGACCGACGTCTGGTCGCTCGGCATCATCCTCATTGAACTGTGGCTAGGATACTACCTGTTCCAGTTTTACCGCAAGGACGTCGACTCGCTGCTCGAGCACATTTTGTCCTTTGCAGAACACGTTGACAATCCTGCACAGCCGTCCGCCGCCGAGGCCGTTCTGCGCGACCACCAGCCGGAAGCCTGGCAGGCACAAGTGGCGGCGATGGGGGACGACATGTTCCAGTTTATTTCGAGCTGCCTGATCGTGTCACCCCAAAAGCGACCAACGCCCCTGGAACTGTTGCGGCATCCCTTTCTCGCACCGCTGTATGACGCCAGCGACAATGACTGGCTGATTGTCACGGATGACGCGTCTGTTGCGCCAAGTGACATTCAACTTGCCGATCCCGTGCTGCAATTTACAAATTCTGCAGTTCAGACCGTGGTCGCGGCAAAAGCACTCGAGCCGTCGGATTTGCCAGTCCACGAGTATGCCCTGCATAGTGCGTCGCTCGCCATCCCGATCGCCAGTAAGTTTACCGCGCTCGTTCGTCTCGAGGACAGCAACGTCGGCGCAACCAGTGCGCCCAGCGGCACCCACGTTGCCTACACCCAAGCGCGGCAAGGCAAGCGCAGGTCGTCTCTCCGCGCAAAACCCACCTCGCCCGTCACGTTTTCGCCAGTCTCGTCGTTGCATCAGGGCGCGCTGCAACAGCAAAAGGCGGTTGCCGAGATTCGACGCCAATTTGTGCTGCAGGGCCAAATGCTGGCGAACGCAGTGCACATCCCTTCGACCGTCGCCGAGGCGGACACGTATGTCATTGAGGGTGGAATGCCACTGGGCTTTTCGTCCGCGGATCCACTCGAATCCATGCCCCTTGCGACGGCCTATCACTTTTGGACGCTTGCTGGTGGCGATGTTCAGATGGAGCTCTCCCGCCGTGGGCTGCTCCACACTCGCCCGTCAATTTCTTGCCTGGCTCGTGCTGTGTTTGCAAGCTCGGGCAGTACCGTCCTTGGTCACGAGCGCGATCGGACGACGCGGTACGACCCCAGTCCGTTCGTGCTGCCGTTGAAAAACCTGCGTGAGCGACTGATTGCACTGAATCAAGTCGTCGAAGTCAACCCCAGCATTTTGGAACTCGGACTGAATGACACGGTAGGATCAGTCGTGGTCGCTGAACCCACCGCTGCCCCTGTCTTTACGGTTGGCAGTAGCACACCATCAGACGTGGATTATTCCGAAAAACGACTACTGCCACTCGATGCGTTCGATCCCGCTCCAGCATCCTCCAGCAAGGCAACGCCAACAACCCTTCGCATGTCCGTCTCAAGCATCGCACGTTCACCCTCCCCCACCCACCACGTGCAGGACAGTTCTCAGCTTTCGCTGCACATTCGCGAGGCGGACATCGAGCACCAGTACCGCCGCATTGCCATCTTTCAGCCATTGTTGGACGCCTATCCGCTGAGCCGGCCCCGTCTTCTCGCGGAGGCGGCGAATGACATTCCGCCAATGCTGCGAGGCCCCATTTGGGCGTGCATCTTGGGAGTGACTGGCAACTGTGCTGCGGCTTACGATGCGATCGACAAGCAGTCTGAAACGAGCACCGACCACCAGATTGAGGTGGACATTCCACGTTGCCACCAATACCTGCCCCTTCTCGCTTCCCCAGACGGACATCGCACTTTCAAGCGGCTCCTGAAAGCTTGGATCGTTTCCAATCCGAGCTTGGTGTATTGGCAAGGTGAGGGAGCGAGGGGTGGTTTTTTGCGCTCAGGTGTTGCTGGTTCTCTTCAATTGCCCAACTCGTTTACTGACTTTTGTTTGTTGTTCATAGGGCTGGACTCTATCTGCGCGGCATTCCTCACGCTGAACTTTAACCAAGAGGGCGTGGCACTCGCGTGCATCAACAAGTTTGTGTCCAAGTACGCGGCCAACTTTTTCACCAACGACAATTCGAATGCCATTCAGGAGTACTTGGCCGTATTCCGGCACTTGATTTGCTACCACGATCCCATCCTGGCCAACCATTTGGATGACATTGGCTTCCCTCCGGATCTCTACGCCATTCCGTGGTTTTTGACCGTGTTTACTCGTACGTGGTTTTTTTTTTTCGTTGCGTTTGCTTTTCACACTTGTCCTACTCCTCGACTGGCCGACTTCTAACTATCTTGTGCGTTTGTCGTCGCTTGCTTTGCCGCAGACGTCTTCCCATTGCAACAAATCTTTCACATGTGGGACACCATGCTCCTTGGGCCGGCTTCGTTGCCGCTGTTCTATGGCCTGGCCATCGTCAAGCAATTCCGCGAGCAGCTGCTTTCCTTTGCCTTTAACGAATGCATTTTGCTCTTCTCGGACATGCCCGAAGTGGATATCGAGCGATGCATCCTCGACGGCGTCGCCCTGTGCTCGGCGACTCCAAGCAGCGTCGCCTTCCGACGATTCGAAATTGCCGCTGCAGAGGCTGCAGAGGCGGCAGATGCGACTGCAAGTGACCCGGCCAGTCCAGGAGCGCGCGCGGATGATGTAAGCGTTTTGTCGGTGCACAGCAGCAGTTGGCGTTGCGCTGTCGAGCCAAAATTGAATCTGACTGAGAGATTGACCGTGCTTTGAACTTTCAGCTCGAGCTATTACCTGGCCTCTCCTCACCGCTCCAAGCGAGCTCGACGCCATTCTCAGAAGACATTCCGTTGGATCAACTTCGAACAGAGTGCTTCCCGCGGCTGTCCTTGTCGGACTATCTTGCTGCTCGTCTGCGAACCATCACTATCGACACTCGAGCTGAGCAAGAGTGAGTTGAACAGCGTTTTCGTTTGGTGAGACTGTTGTTGGCGATTCCTCATCTTGCGTTTTTGATTTGCGGCACTAGTTTTGCACGAGCACATCTGAAGGGCTCCATCAATGTGTCGCAAGTTACCGCGGCCGCCACGAAGGATCTCGAGCGATACAAGGGCAGGCCTATTGTAGTGGTGGCTGGCGCCAAAGCAACCACTGGCGCACAGGTAAGAAAATTGCCTTTGGTCACACAATAGCACCTCCAATGTTGTCCCTAAATTATTTGTGCTTCTTTCTCACTGCTCTTCACATCACAGCTTGCAGAGTTGCTGGTACGGTCCGAGTTCCCGAAAGTCGCGCTCTTGCGAGGCGGCATGGAAGGCATTTGGGCGTCCATTCGCAAAGTGGGTCCACTTTGTGCATGCGGAGGCATTGTGCCAGACTTGGCCGTTCCACTTCGAACACGGCTAGTGCTTTGCCATCATCACATGTTCGAGGGATGATACTTTTTTCCTCATCGAGATTGATTGAAATTATACAGTTTTTCAAAAAAAAAATGTTCTGAAAAAGCAATCAGTTTAACGAAAAAAGCGTCGCACAACTTGGATAATGGTTTACACAAGCACACAGAAAGTGTCATCACTAAATGGTTTGCCGGCAGCACATTTGCCTTGATGCTAATCCTGCGCAGTGACAACCTTTTGGGGCTGGAGCTCCTTCTGGATGGCCAAAAAGTCGGCATCTGTCTTGAGCGACTCGGCGCCCATCAGCACCGAGAAGAACTCTTCCATAAAGGCAAGGATGAGGGGCGAGGACAGCGTCTTGCGGGTCAAAGCGCCAGCAGCAGTGGCAGCAGCAGCCGAAGCAGTGGCGGCAGGAAGCTCAGCGACAGGCGTGTCGCCCAGGAACGAGTTGTGCACGGCGAGCAACAGATCGGTGCACTTTTCCTGCTCGGCAGACAGGGCGGGCTGGACGTAGGTGCAGTCCAGAATCCGAAAGCCAAGGCGGTGCAGCACCTTCCTGCGCTCGGCAGGCACCATGACGTCCTTCTCGGCGTCGACGGCGTCCGAGTTGGTTTCGAGGAAGACGGCAGCGCAGCCAGCCTTACCAGCTGGCAGTTAGTAGTTGGAGAGTTTCAGAGGTCAAATTAGTTTTGATCAGAAGCATGTTCAGCGAGAAAGTTCTTTCTTTTGCAACTTTGATTTTTGACTCTCGTTTTTGTGTTTGGAAGACATGTCAAAAAACAAAATTTCCGAGTTGTTCAAAAACGAAACAAAAAATCCTCCCCTTTTTTGTTTTTGTTTTTGTTTTGGTTTTTTGTTTGCGGATTTTCGGTGGGGTTTCGTTTTTCAATCGCCTCATCGCCGGCGATCCGACCGCGCCGCGGGGGTGTCATGTCCGAACACCAAACCCTCGAACAGACACCAAGACGCAGGCTCGGCGCGGTTTGGTGCAAACGGGAAAAAAAAAAAAAGCAAACGACACGAGCGAACCCAACATTTTGAAAAAAAAAAAAAAAAAAAGCTCCGCATTGATCCAACTCTTCACCCCCCCCCCTGCTCCCACTCCCTCCGACCTTGCACTCGATGATTGCGAGTCTCGCAATGGTTACCTGCTTGGGCAGACTGGTGGAGCGCGGCAAGCGTCTCGGAGACGAGGACACGGCCAAGACCGTGCTTGCGCATCGAGTCGGCAACGGCAATGTAAGTCATCAGGCCGCAGTTGGACTTTGGGTAGTACTCGCACATGACGGCGGCGGCAATGCGCTCGACGGCGGGCTTGGATGCGACCTCGGGCGAGTCGTCGAGCAGGCAGACGGCGTGGAGATCGTACTCGTCTCGGACGCTGTCGCGGGTGGCCGGGTTGAGCAGCTCCTCCCAGGTCTCGCACGCCTCGAGCTCGGACTCGAACATGCCAAACGACGGCACCATCAGCTGGTCGTACAGACCCTTGAGCAGAGCCACGTCGTATGCATCGCGCAGCCGCACCACGTCCAGCGGCAATCCAGAGCTTGTTGTTGCCTTCGAGTGGCCCTTTGCGCTCATTTTTCTGGTTGATCTTTTGGTTTTTTGAAATTTGCGAATGAGCTTGAAAGATTGATGAGGGTTTTGCTCGAGTTGCTCGGAAAAATCGAAATTTGGTTGAAGCAAGTTTCGATAAAGTGGAATGGATCGTGTCATGAGCTCATCGGGGATGCTGAAGATTGCGAAATCTGCGGCAAAAGCGAGAGAATGGAGGTGTTTTTGAGAATTTCGGCTCAGTTTCAAGTTGTTTGCATTGCGTTTTTGCTTTTAAGAGCTGAGTACATGTTAATGTAATTGTCGGGAACTAGTTTTATGGTGTGTACGGTCGAGAAAGGACGATTTCTCAAAATTTCGCATTTTTTTAAACATTCCTCAATGTAGCGACACTTGCCTGGCAGAGCGTCTTTTGGCTCAATTTGTGCAAACCACGAGCTATATTATTCTCGTTTATAGAGTTAATATTACCTCATGCGATGAGTTTTTGGGAGCAAATTCAGCCCCAAAAGTCACCAACAAGCACTGCTTCTCAAGCCCAAAATTGCAAGCGAATCAAGTCAGCCCTCCACGCCTGCCCCCCAAGCATTCTACCCTGCTCTCACCACCCGCATTCTATTGCAAATGATATTTTCAATCAACTTGACCTGTTTCCGCCGCTTTCCAACATTGCAGCACGTCCATTCTCAGTCTCCAAAGTCGCCTCATTCAAAGGCCCAGTCTTTTTTTGTTTCAGTTTTCACCCAAAAATCCACCATGGCCTATCGCCCGCATCAGCACGCGCCGGACGATCTTGTCCTGCTGTCCGACATCACCGAAGTCGCCTCATTCAAAGGCCCAGTCTTTGTTTGTTTCAGTTTTCACCCAAAAATCCACCATGGCCTATCGCCCGCATCAGCACGCGCCGGACGATCTTGTCCTGCTGTCCGACATCACCGAAGATGCCGTCATGTCTGCCCTCAAAGCGCACTACGACCACGACGAGATCTACACTTACATTGGCGAAGTGCTCATTTCAGGTTTGGACTACTAAAATGTGATGTCGTTCAGTGATCAAGCCGTATCGAACGCGATTTGAATTCGGTTTCATGCTATGAGAAACGCGATTCCAATTTTTTCGCCTATGAAGGCAACTTTTTATTATTTTTATTTTTTATTTTATTATCGGCTCAATTCAATTGTCGTTTCTGACCGTTTCTCGGCTCGTTCTTCCCCTTCGTCGTTCACAGTGAACCCATTCAAGCAGATCAAGCCATTGTACCTGCCGACGACGCTGCAGCGCTACCGCGGCCGGCTGCTCTACGAGAACGCGCCGCATGTCTATGCGGTTAGTGTGGTTTTTGAATAGCCATCACAATCACCCGATCAACCGTCATCCGCTGTGGTTGGTACACAGTTCGGGGGTTGGCTGCACTGAGATGTCCTTCAGCCATTCCGCGCTCCGACTTGCGCTGATACGGAAGGGGAGAAGCGGCGTCGAGAAGCACAGAGCTTGGCATTGGAGGCAGAAATTCCGACTGCCTTCTCAGTCCTCAACTCAACAACGGCAGTCACAGTTAGCAACACAACGTAACATCATTGGTCTCATGTTCGCGTGTCACTCATTTCCGTGTTACACTGTGTGCTGGAATGTGTGTTTTTGTGTGTGTGGTCCCAAAACAGCTCGCAGACATTTCCGTGCGCAACATGGTCGCCGACCGTGAGAATGTGAGTTATGAATCAGATTTGTTCAAGTTCAAGTCAATGCTCGATTGACCATTCGCTCACTCGGCTCTCTTTGCTGTCTCATTGGTCATCTTTGTAGCATTGCGTGATTATCAGGTTTGGAATGCTGCTTCTTCGCGATTCCCGTGTTTCTTGAATCGAATTATCGTGGTTGTTTGCGCTCACCATTCGCTTTGACAGTGGCGAGTCTGGCGCAGGCAAGACCGAGGCTTCCAAGAAGATCATGGAGTACATTGCTGCAGTCAGTTCCAAGGCAGCAGACGTCGAGAAGGTCAAGCAGCAGATTCTCGAGTCCAACCCGTTGCTCGAGGCCTTTGGCAACGCAAAGACCGTTCGCAACAACAACTCGAGTCGCTTTGTACGACATCTAGCGTTTGTGTGTTGTGCGCGCACATGCCCTGAGGTTGCTGACCGACTGACTTGTTGTCTGAAACAACAACTCAACCAACTGCAGGGCAAATATTTTGAGATCCAGTTCAGCTACGGTGGAGACCCCGTCGGTGGAAAGATCACGCAATGTCAGACCATGCCGCTGCTGTGTGTTTTGGGATGGCCTCCTGCCGTGGACTGTCTTCTAAACCTCCCTTTCCAACTTGCGACAGATTTGCTCGAAAAGTCCCGCATCGTGAGTCGCCAAGACACCGAGCGGTCCTTCCACATTTTCTACCAGCTGCTTGCCGGCTCGAGTGCACAAGAGCAAAGTGAGTGCAGTGTTTGGAGCATGGTCATGCGCTGAGAACTGGCGTTTCAACTCGACACCAATTTTTGTCGTCTTCGTGTGTAGAGGAACTCCAGCTGTATGGTCCCGAGCATTATGCGTACCTGAGCCAGAGCAACGTCTATCGCGCCGATGGAATTGATGACCGAGCGGATTTCGCTGAAACCAAGGTATGTGTGTGAGGCATCGTTGTTGCTTTCCGCCAATTGTTTTTCTCACATTGAATTCCTTCTTCTTCTTCACTCTGGAAACCTTGCGGCACACAGACTGCCATGACTGTCTGCGGCATTTCGTCGGCCGAGCAGAAGGACATTATGCATCTGCTTGCGGGCATTCTGCACCTGGGCAACATGAGCTTCGCATCCGAGGAGGCCAAGGGTCAGGACGACAAGGCGGTTGTTGACAGCAAGGAAATCCTTGCCATTGCCGCTCAAATGCTTGGCGTGACGGGCGACAAGCTCGCTCATGCGCTCACTCACCGCTCAATCAAGGGCGGCTCGACCGAGGTCATCAAATCCACGCTCGGCAAGGAGCAAGCGCTGTACTCGCGCGACTCGCTCGCCAAGGCTGTTTACTCGCGTCTCTTCCAGTGGATTGTCGAGCGCATCAACACGACCATGCACACCGAGAAGCCGGCGTTCGTCATTGGCGTTCTGGACATTTACGGCTTTGAGATCTTCCAAACCAACGGCTTTGAGCAGCTCTGCATCAACTTTGTCAACGAGAAGCTTCAGCAGATTTTCATCGAGCTGACCTTGAAGAAGGAGCAGGCAAGTTGTCGATGGTTGACGCCGAGTGGTGTGTTTTTCTGTTGCTGATTTCGTTCAACTTTGTTGTCTTACAGGAAGAGTACGTCAAGGAGGGCATTGCATGGACCCGTATTGACTACTACGACAATCGTCCATGCTGCGAACTCATCGAGCGCAACGGCGGCATTCTGTCCTTGTTGGATGAAGAGTGCTTGTTCCCGAAGGTAGGATTGCTGAGCTGTATCGTTACAACTTGTGACAGTGTCTTCATTTCAGCATCGCCTGTTTGTGCTGTGCTTAGGGTACGGACGAGTCCTTCCACACCAAGCTCTTCAAGCAAGTCACGGACACGACGCACCTCACCAAGGGCGCGGGCTCCATCTTTGTGATTAAGCATTTCGCGGGTGTGGTCGAGTACGACACCAAGGGCTTCTTGGACAAGAACAAGGACACCCTCTTCAGCGACCTCGTCGAGCTCATGATGGCCAGCTCGCTCAAGCTCGGCAAGGAGATTTTCGCTGCGGACGCGGAGCGCATGAAGGATTCCAAAAAGCGCCCCGTGACTGCTGGTACCCAGTTCAAGACGCAAGTTGCTGCGCTCATGGATGCCCTGCGTGCCTGTGTGCCGCACTACATTCGCTGCATCAAGCCCAACGAGCGCAAGGTCGGCGGTTACTTTGACGACGAGATGGTCCGCAACCAGGTTCGCTACCTCGGTCTTGTCGAGAACGTTCGTGTTCGTCGTGCTGGTTTTGCATTCCGCATGGTGTATGGCCACTTTTTGCACCGGTAAGGCATTGTTTTGTAGCTCGGGGAAATGTGGTTGATCTTTTTTGGCTTGTTGTTGTTGTTGTTGTTGTTGCTTTTATTTTTTTTTCCTTTGCTAACAATCACATCGCTCTTCCTGCCTCCAGCTACAAGATGCTGACGGAGGAAACATGGCCCAAGTGGTCGGGCGACGAAAAATCGGGCTGCGAAAAGATTCTGCAGCACCTCAAGATTGCCAAGGACGAGTACCAGTTCGGCAAGACCAAGATTTTCATCAAGTCTCCCCAAACCGTCTTCAAGCTGGAGGAAATGCGCGAGGCCAAGCTTGTGGCCATTGTCAGCAAAATCCAGCGCTTCTACCGCGCCTTTGTCGCGCGCAAGTGGTACCTGCTCATCCGCGCCAGCATGCAGGACATTTTCTCTGGGCAAAAGGAGCGTCGCAAGTTTTCCATCAACCGCAAGTACTACGGAGACTATGGCAACTTCAAGCACGCGCCTTTCGTTGTTGACACGATGCACAAGAACGACGACTCGAAGATTCTGTTTGCCGACAACTGCAACAAGATCAACAAGCGCTACAAGTCGCAGCGTCGCTCCATTGTTGTCACCGACAAGGCCATTTACAACCTGTCTCTCAAGACCCCGGCCAAGGGCAAGATTGCCCGTCGCATTCCGCATGAGATGGTGACTGGCGTCAGTCTCAGCGAGCTGAGTGGTGAGTGTGGCCATAGTTGAACTGGTTGGGATTGCTGTTGTGCAAGGGGGTCTCCTTGGAACTGACCGGGTTGTGGGTGAATTTTTTGTTTTGGCTGGTTGATTGTACGTTCAGATAACTTTATCATTATCCACGCAACCGATTACGACTACTTGCTTGAAAACAACCGCAAGAGCGAGCTCGTGGTGTGTTTGAAGGAGCACTACCGAAAGACCAACAAGGATTTGGCAGTGAAGTTCTCCAACAAGTATGATTCATTTGACTTGAGATAACGTGTTTATCTTTTTTGACTTGCGGGGAATTACTGTGAGCTGATTAGTATGCACACTCTTTCTGTACAGCATCACGTACAAGGCCAAAGAAAAGGACGTCCGCACCATCACGTTCACCAAGGTGGAAGGCACTCCTCGTGCTATTTTTGCTGGCAAGGGCAAGACTTCGACGGTGACTGTTGGCTCGGATCTTCCCAAGGATGCTCGTACGTTTTGTTTCGAGTTGGAGAGTTTTTTTGGAATTGAGAATCGCCCGTCCTGTGAAACTGACTTGTTGTCTCTTGTGCTCTTGTTTTTGTTTCTTTGCTCGAAACACCCACAGAACCCAAGAGCACTTACGTGCCCGTGGAGAAGCGCAGCGGATACCGTGGCCCGGCTGGCGGCGCTGCCAGCAGCTCATCGGGATATGGGCAGGCTGGCACTCCTTCTTGGGCCAAAAAATGAACGAACGATGAATCGTGTTTTTGATCGCTTTTTGTTTTGTCTTGCTTTGTTGGAACGTCTTTGTTTTGTTTGCGAATGTGGCACCGGTTGACGTTTTTTCGTGTTCTGCCCCAACAACGCGTTTTGTTTTTGTTTTGTATTGGGCTATAACAGAATATACAATCAGTTTTGATAGCTCGGGCAAACAAAAGAAGATTGTCTTTTAAACCCGTGGCGAGTTGACAATCATGGCAAACAAGAGTCCAGAGATCAAGGCTGCAATTGGCACCGTCACAATCCAACTCAGGAAGCACCATCCAAGCAAGCGCCAGTTGACCGTTTTGGCCGATCCGGACGAAGCAAGGCCAACAAATGCGCTCGAGCCAGTGATTGCATGGGTTGTACTGACCTGCAGCGTCAGAGCGAGAGGGCGAGAAAGTGAGCAACGTAAACGCCGGCAAAAAGTTGGCTTCTCTGGTATCATCAATCACACGTCCCCCTCCTCGGGCAGCACTTACTGGCAACCCCAACTTGGAAGCGGTAAGCACAGTCAGAATGGCGCCAATCTCGGTGCAAAAGCCTCGCGATGGCGACTGGTAGGTCAGCTTGTTGCCAAGCGTTTTCATGACTCGCCAGCCAAGCGTCAGGAGCCCCAGATTGATGCAAGCACCGCCGATGGCCAAGTGCCACACGGGCACGTCGGTTTTGGTGCCAGCGACGGCCGCATTCTGCCAAATGTACCAGACCGCAGAGATCGGGCCCACCGCGTTTCCCACATCGTTGGAGCCGTGCGCAAAACTCATCGACACGCACGAAAGGACTTGCAAGAAGCTGTACGTCTCCTCAGTGCGCGTCTCAAACTTGGTGGCCTGCGACATCATGTGGGCCTGTGCCTCGCTCTCTGCAGACACAATGTCCTTGTCCATGCCACTCGAGGCCGCGGCAAGCGCCTTCCCAAACCAGCTCTTTTGAGCTGCATCCACTTGAGGAGGCTTGGCCTCGTTGACGCCGCCAACCGATCCGTGTGCGAGCGGCTCGTCTGTTGTGGAGCCGTACGAGTTTGAGCGTGACACTTCCGGAATCAACGGCTGGGGTGCTTCGTCGTGGTGAGGCTCAGCATGCTCAGGTTCATTGCCACACAGAGGAAGGGCAGCATCATCGCCGACATACGCAGGCAGATGCGGCCGTCCAAAGTAAAAGTAAAGCAAGTCCTGGTACAGCGGGCGTTGCGGCCGGATTTCAACTCGCAAGCGAATGACTTGGACCAAGTAAAAGTACGCGAAAACTGCAGCCACAATGCCGACGCCAAACACGATGCCGACAATCATTCCTGCGCAAAAAAAAACAAAAACAAAACAAAAAACAAAAAAAAAATCAAATCAACAACATGGGGATGAGTTTTGCAGTCTCCGAGTTTCTGATACCCAAGTCCAAGGGAACAGCGGCGCCAAACACACTAATGCGCATGTCGCAAGCAACACGCGACAAAAATTACCGGGATTCTCATTCTTGAGGTTGAGATCGGGCGCGCCATCGTACAAGATGAAAAAAGTGACAATCAGGAATGTCAAAAAGAAAAAGACGGGAATGACCTTGAGAGCCCGTGCGTACGAGTTGGGTTTGACGAGGACAGTGTACTTGGAGATGAGGAAGATGGCGGCCGAAATGAAGCCCGAGAGGAAGGGCGAAATAAACCATGATGCAACAATCTTGCCGACACCGGTCCAGCCCCAGTCGACGGTATCCACACCAAAGGCAGCGATACCGGTGCCAATGATGGCGCCGATAATTGCATGGGTGGACGAAACGGGGAATCCTTTCAAAGTCGCAGCCAGCACCAGAAACGATGATCCGCACAAAGCGCACATCATTGCGAGCTGTGTTTCAAAGAGAGAGAGCACAACAAGAGAGCGTCGCCAATCAGACATCAAAATGAGACAGATGTGTAAGTGCAAAACTAAAGAGTTGCTCCAAAATTTCGTCGTGTTTTGCGGTTGTTTCCGTTTCCAAAGTCAGAATCAGCGAATCTTTTCAATGCTGTACGTTGATTCAGTGTCTCTCGCATGTTCTTTCGATCTTCAACCGTCACCTCCACTGTTCGTCCTTGGCGCTTACGATTCATTTTCTAACAGTAAACGAGTGAAACGTTTTGTGCGACAATCTGCGTCGTTTCGCCTCCTCCTCAACACACACACACACAAGCTCCAATCCATCGCAATTCCGCTTTATGACACCAGAATGTGCCCAAGCGATAAATCCGAGTGACAGAACTTGCCCCAGTGCATGACGGCAGCTGGTTGACATGAGTGCGACACGGCCCCGTGGAACCGTGGAACGCAACGTGACCCCGCTTCAATCTTTAACTGCGAGCCAGCCCAGCGCCCAGCCCAGCCGTTTGCCTGACTCACCATGAGCAGCGCAGGGTTGCTGGTGAACAGACTCGTGTCGATAATGTTGCCCTTGATTGTGTCAGCGACCGACGCGCCGAGCAGCACGCCGCCGCCAAACTCGGTGAACAGGGCAATCGCGCACGCTTGGCGGAGGGTCAGCGTCTTGGCGGCCACCGCCGTCGCAAACTAGCACCAGAGCCAATCAAAAACAGCACAAGTAGTACCCAGTGAGTGAGTGAGAGTGAGTGAGTGAGTGAGTGAGTGAGCACCAACCCCGTTGTTTCGATTTCCAATTGCGAACAAACCCCGACAGCGAGCATCAGAACGACACGACACGAGATCGCATTGCATGGGTGAGCCATTCGGGGCGGGGGGGAAGGGGGGTTCATAATAGCACTGACAGCATTGCCGACGTCGTTTGCGCCGAGAGCGTATGCGTTGAGACAGGAGAGGATGAACGAGACGGCGAGAATCCAGCTGTAGTCATGTGGATCCATGGCGATTGGCGATTGGAGATTGGATGGAAAGGAAGGAGAACAAGAAAACTGAGACAAGATCAAAATGAGACAGGAACAGATCTGAGAAATGATCAAATCAGAGACAAAATCAAGTCAGAGACAAACGCAATTCAAGAGATGAACTTGAGAGATCGTTTGGCTCCGTTAAACATTCTCAGCTCAGGTGACAAGCTAGATCTACGTGGACGCAAGTCTGTGTTTCAACTTTTTTTTTTTTGTTCAAATCGATGGAACGATAGACGCAAAGAAAATCGAGAGGAAAGGGATGGAGCAAGGTTCTCCTTGGAATGAATTGAATGAAAATCCAAAATTCCAGCTGATGATGGAAGGCGAGTGATGCGTCGACCAGAGAAGCAACATCGCTGGTTGGCGATGATAGGATGGCTTGGCATACAGGTAGGACGATGAAGATGAGCGTAGAATTGGCGAGCAGTTGAATCAAAAAGGTGTAATGTACAAGACAAAGCAATTTCACGGGCATCGGAAGGTGATATCTCTGCAATATCGTCATCGATGAGTGTCAGAGGCATTACTTGAGCTCTTTATCTGCAATTGGCTTTGTCGTTCGCGTTGATGCTTGGTAAAACACTCGCGAAACGCGGCAACAACGTCGGCGCACTTTCGCCAGTCCTTGAGCTGTTTAGGACATTTCAAAGTCGTAGTATCAGTGAGCCACACCGAGATAAATCCACATGAAACACCCTCAGTGGAAGCTTTCAATCTCAATCTCAAAGCTATCGAGAATAACGCCAAGATTGAAGCTGAAACGGCTGGGATGACTGCTTTTTGCCTCGAGTCGCTGCACTGTCGCTCGCTCTTTCACATGCAACTGACCTCGGCATGGCATAACAAGACCCGGTCGTTCAGATCCGCACATCCAGATCGCGCAACGGCTGTCGTGTACGCGTCAGGAACGCCATCGTCCTGGTTCACCTTACAGTTCACCATACAAAAAGGTCAGTATCCCGCATCCCGATCACCTCCCCGAACTCACCCGTCCGCCCAACCAACATGCTCGTTTTTTTTTACCTCAGCTCGAATTGCGTGAGACTTTGGCTGAGGCGGCGTTTCTGTCATTCTGAGAACACAAGCAAGAAAGAGACTGAGCCTGAATTTGTATGGAAATTCGCATTTTACAATCTCAGTTCTCAGTTCTCAGTTCTCAGTTCTCAGTTCTCAGTTGTACAGTTTCTCACCTTGCGTCTCAGTCTTACTATCTCGAAACCAAGAAGAGCTCGAAATGGGTCGAACTGGCATTGCAGAGGAAGCGGTTGAGACTGCGTTGGATCAACTCTACGCCGCAGCGCCGTGGCAGCTGGGTCTGCTGATCGGACAGGTTAAAGCGAAGGCACTGCCATAGGATTGAATGAAAGGTTCAATGCGGAACTGACTGCGACTGCGACTTTGACACTGAGCAGATGACTGCAGGACAACGCGACCACATTGTCGCCATCGTGCCGACGCCCAAGGACGAGACTGCCAGTGCAACGACTGCGACGACAACAGCCACCGAGCAAGGCGCAGGCGCAAGCAAGAAGGCGGCTGCAGGGAAGACTCCCGCCAGTAGCAACGCCACGTCAATGCAGGCTCAGATTGAAGGCATCGATCAAGAGTGGGTCGTCGCACATGCCAGGCAGGTCCGACAAGCACTGCCAGGCGGCATTGATGTCGTCGGAGTGTACATTTACGCTCCGTCGGATCTCTCGCTCAAGACGAGCTCAACGGCAGCAAAGTTGCGCCAACTGGTGACCGCCGTCGGAGCCAACTCGCTCAACGCTGGCGAACCACATGCAATCACCTCAGAGCGCTATCTCGTGCACGTCTGCTCTGCGACCAAGAAGCGGATTGTGCGGACGCTGGATGTTGCCGATCACCGGGTATGTTTGATGAGTTGTTGTTTCGTCTCAATTCGTCAATTCGTCGATTCATTGCAGTGTGCGACGGGATTTCATGCCACTCAACTTCTATGGTCTTGCACATGGCTTGATGCATCGTAGGCGTCCCTGGCCACTGCCGAGTGGAAGGCGCAAAACACGTTCGCCAAGTTTCGGACGATTTCGGCCACGTATCACTTGGACTCGCTTGTGCCGCTCGCAGGGGCTACTGGTGACACTGGAATGGTTGTATCTCAAGTGATCAAGGCTTTCAAGCCAGTACTGGCGCAGTTGGCATCCGCCGAGACCGTATTTGACTCGACGCTTGCCAGCACTGCCCTCGACACTCCATTGCCCGAGTCGGCCAAAGGGCAATCAAGCGTGACTGTTACTATTGTGACAGCCCTCCCATCTTTTGCTTCCTTCAACGACCTGAAGCTCACCTCAACGTCGATTGCCACGACAACCTCCGTCTCTGTGAGCGGCGACGTGTACGTCACTGCAGTTGTGCATCCGAAAGCGACAATGGCCGAGGCACAACAGGTGAGCATCCTGGTGGTTGTATGAGTGTGGACAGTGCTGGAGTCTTTGTGCCGAAAGTTAGTTCTCATTTCTCTCCTGGTTTTGGCTTTGCTTGTTGGCCTGCAGGCGCTTCTTTCAGACCTCGTTCGCACTACTAGCATTCGGTTGGCTTATCTTGCCGAGGACTTGGCCGACTCTCTCGCAGCGCAGGCAGACTCGAGTGCAATGTTGGTGCAGCCGTCGCCAGTCCGTTCGCTGTTCTCGCTGCCTCATTTGCCAAGTTTCCCACTCAGCGACTATGCATATGAAGATGATTCAGCCGAGGTAAAAATGATGATGCGAGGAGTGTCTGTGCCTCTGTTTGTGAGATTTTGCTTGAACTCACCGATGCCTTGATCTTCGAACTCAGATTCTCGAGCAACGCCTGTCCGATTTGTTTGGCTTGAAAGTGACCGCGTTGGCTGCTGCAAGTGCTGTCGAGAAAGCAGGAGGTATGCATTTTTCAAGAGACCTGATTGAAACCCGGATTTTGTCTTTGGAAACTTAGAAATTGAATTGTTTTCTTTCAGATTTGAGCGGCTTTTTGGCCTCGTGCTCAGCACCGGCTGCAGAGACCAAGGCCAAGAGCACTCTAACAACGACTGACTCTCAAGTTTCAACCATCACAGCAACGACGAAAGCCACCGCAACACCTGCGAAACAAGTCGCAAATGCCGGCACTCTTCCTCTCCCCGCGATAGTCGCGATTATCTTTTTGCTTGTTGCTGTAGCCATCGGCGCTGCTCTGCGATAATGTGGGCGTGTTTGTCATGCGAAACGCGATGGATTGTTCTCATAAACTTTTGGTTGACCATCCTCGCTTTGCTGGTTGTCTTTTGGCACATTGTGGTTCCCGCAAAGCCTGCTAATAGCTGCCCACCGTTGACAATCTCGAAAAGTCCAACATGATTGCTTGAGATCTGAGTTACTGAACTGGCAGACCTTTCTGGTTTCGTTTCTAAGATTTGCTTCGTTTTCTAGATCTATTTCACACACTCACTATCAGTCTTATTTTTTTCAGTTTTCTTTTCATTCTCCCATATCACAAGAATGTCTCTCAGTGGCGGCGCCGTCTTTGTTCTGATGTACGACCGTCCATTGAGAATTTGCTGGATCCATACATTTGACTGACTTTTTTTCCATTGTATGCGTTTCCATTGCGTTATTGCCTCTCAATCCCCTTCCACCCCCTTCCACCCCCCTCCACCTCGACCCAAACCGCCTCGACCCACCCAGAGTGCTCGGCAGCATTGCGCTGTACATCATCGGCGGCATGTCGTACCGGCGCTGCGTTGTTGGCGCGCGTGGCAAGGAAATGTTCCCCAATCTGCCCTTCTGGCGCAAAGTCGGCTCGTTCATCAAGGTTTGGCGCTCCGTCTCCTGCTACTTGTCTATGTTGACGTTTTGCAAAACAGGCAGATCTTGGTCGGTGGTGGTGGGCGCGGGTCCGGTAACCCCCTCCGTTTGCTGACGCTACGCTCGTCCTCATGACCCCCCTGCTCGTTCCCCCCCTTCCCCCTTCCCCTGAAGACCTCCCTCTCCGCGCAATTGGGAGGCAAACGGCCGTCCCGTTCCATCCATCCAACTTAAGATTTTGCTCGCTTTTGACGCTGGAACAAAACGACAGTCATTGTCTGTGGCTGAGTGTCACTTGATTTGGATTTGGGAAAACACAGTGCGTTGAGACCACGACCACGACCACGACCGCCACGGTCACACAGTGGCACAAAGGAGAAAAAAAACAACAAAGAAAAGGCTTGCTTGAATCAACAATTGTTCAAGGAGCTTGTTTCTTTGCTGGGGAACGCTGGAATCGAAGCAACTCTCTGACAAAAAGTCAAGTTGATCCGACAACGCGCTTGATCATCCCTCAGCACTCTGGGGGTCGCTGGAAGCACAGCCCATCTATGACCATGTCAAGTTTGCAGCGCCTTGAACATTTTCCCAGCTCAATCTCCAAAACCAACGCATGGTTGTAAAAAAACTCACCTACTGCTCCGCCCGTTGCTTGCGTTCGCTTTTCTCTTCTGAAACTCACAGGAAGGGTTTGAATATACACTGCTGTGTATCGCAAACCGCCACAAGGAAGCGGCGGTGCGCTATCACGGGCTGGACGACGAGGAAAACCACCTGCCTGGCCTTGACGACGAGAACGACTATGACGCCGACAATGCTGAAATCCGCGCTCGACCCATCCCCTCGAGCCTACCTGCACCTTCGCCAGCTGCGTCAGTCGGTGTGCGCCAACCCTCGCAAGCACCGAGCTTGCCCGTCCCCGCCGCCACCGCCGCCGCCGCCGCCGCCCCGTCTGTCCCACCAGCAACGAGCGCGGCGCTCAATTCGACTCGCGGATTTGATGTCGGCGACGATGACGACGACGAAAAGCTCGTCAGTTTCTAGATCTAACGTACTCGGTTGATCTGTATCAGCAATTGTGATTTTCTTTCTGCCTGTATTTTCCATTGTTTCTTTTATTTTTTTTCCTTTTCAGCTTGTGGGTGTCTGTGCTCTCTTCATGGCACGTTCTTCTTGTTGTATTGCTTGTGAACGCTTCAGTGGTGACCAACAAGGGTTGTTCGTTGATTGCAGATCGATAATCGATAAAGTACAGTAAATGTACATCTTCATGCAGATGATGGCATCATCAAAATGTGACATGATCTAGATCTACTTGCAGTCATCACACATCTCCATTCTATCCAGCTCAGTCAACATCATCCAGCACAGGCAGAAGCGCTAAAGCCAATCTTGCTCCAGCGAACAATCTGCTCTGGCTCTCCCAATCAATCGAGCTCGATCTGTGCCACTTTTCCCCTCGACTTTGAATGATGAGCATTACTGACGCATTGCTCAAGAAGGTCCAGGCTGCGTCCGGACTGGGCTTTGGCTCGTTCCTCGTCCTGCACCTGTGCAACACGCTCAGGTACCCAGAGTGCACTCGTCGTTTCACTCACTCGTCCTCGGTCTTGGGCTCCGATTGCTCGATTGCTCGTCTCATTGAATGGATTTTGTCCTCTGAAGCCCTCGCGCTTTTGATCGGTCGCTGCGACGGAACCACACACACACCACACACTTCAATGGTCAGAACAATCTTGCTTCAGTCACTCACCAAACGATATATATGTGTGTGCGACGTGTCTGTGATTTGTTTGATATAACTGTATACTTGCTTGATCTCGATTGCTGGGCTCGCAAGTGGACATATCTCGCCGGCTGTCTACGATTCCGTGCAATCCGTTTTGCGATGTTACTACCAAAACCCAGCCGTCGAGCTCGTCATGGTGTTTGGATCACTTTCGATTCATGTTGGTGCCAGCTTGTGGCGCATGCAGAAGCGCGTTGCAGCGGACGCCGTGCTGGCGCAGTCGTTGAAACACGAATTGTCAACCGCAGATGTTTCGGCAACGTCCGCGCCAGACCCGAAGGCAGTTCGTGCAGCTGCAGCTGGGCCAGACACTATGACTCTGTCGCTTGTTCGAAAGCTGCACCGGTTGTCAGGCCTGGCCCTGCTGCCCTTGATCAGCGTGCATGTTATGGCAACCCGGCTGTCACCGATCGTTTCTGGCGTTGTTCCGGACATGACTATTGTCACCGGAAGGTATGTGTTTTCACAGGCCTGACGATGTTCTCGGGCTCGACCTCGCCCTGTTGATGCTGAAGTGCTCACGTTTGTTTGTTTGTTTGGTTTTTGTTTGTTTCCGTGCTTTCTTGCTCCGAAAACAAAGCGTGGTGCAATACGGGTTTATTTTCGTGCTCTGGCACTATCTGGACTGTTCCACCTCCTTGCTGGCACTGGACTGGCCTTGACGACCTTGCGTTACCGGCGTCCAAAGTTCATTCCTGCTCCTGACAGCTCGGTTTGGAAGGCATTCGTCCCGCTGGGCGCACTCCTTGTCTCCAGCGTGCTTGCCATGACCGGCTACTACTGGCACATTGCGACACCGCGCGTGTACACTGACTATGTGCAACTGCACGAGGTCTACATGCAATACGTTCCGGATGTTGTGCGCAAGCATCTTCCTCATTGATTGATTTCGCCCTTTTGTTTTGAACAATTGTATTTTGAAGGACATCGATAGGGGCATCATTTTTTCATTTGCATTCGAGCCTTTTTCGCCGCATGCCGCACAGGTGGAGGTGCTGATTGCGAAGCGCTCTCGGCCATCTCCTTGTCAGCAGCTCGCTTCGAGCGGGGCAACGGGGCATTGAGAATGTCGGGCTTGGACTCGAGCTTAACAGTCACTCCTTCTTCCACCTTGCGGCTGTTGTTCGCCTTTCGAGGTTTCGTGTCAGTTTCAGCCGAAGCTGAGGGTTCGCCAGCGACGCGGTCTTCAAAACGCTTGAGTTCCCCAGAGAACATGACCTAATCCGACACCAAACCAAACACATGAGTTCTTTGGGCCATGATTGATTGCGAAACTTGGTGCTCGGGGGAAACACACACACACACGTTTCCGTACCGAATGCGCCCAGCCGGCATATTCGCCCCAAAGTTTGCGGAAGAAATTGCCAACTTGGTCGTGCGCGGCGGCCGTCATGGTTTTCGACTCGCCCACCGCCAATTTCAGCTTGTAGTCTCGCTCTGCCAGGCGCCGGACGTGCACATCCACAGGTATTGCGTCGTGCTTGTCCATGGACATGAGGCAAATGCAATCGGCGACTTTCGGACCAACTCCTTGCAGCTGAACGAGGTTGGTCCGAGCCGTGACATAGGGCAGAGCGCGCTGTTGCAGGAGCCACTCTGAGCCACCCAACTTTAGAACTTGCTTTGCAGCCTGTTCAATAAACTTGGCGCGGTACCCAAAGCCGAGCTCGCGCAATCGCTCTTCGACGCCGTCCTGCGCGAGTGCCGACACTTCCGGAAAGTCGAAAAAGCTCTGGCCATCGATATCGCCCCGTTTCACACCATACTGCTGGCACATTCGATCGATCTGTACACGTTGCGGGCTGGCGAAGGTGAGTCGTCGTTGACACAACACACACACAAGTCGACTTCACTTCATCCCGTTATTACCATCAAGGTAATCCTCGAGATGTTGTTGTTGGACGAGCAGATGAATGAGAAGAGGTTTTCCGTTGGATCTTGTCGCAGTATTCGCACGCCTGGCAATCGCTGCGAAATGTACTTGAAGCGCGGATCGCTCGCTGCCCAGGATGCATAAAGCGGCTCCAACTTGACATCCAGCCAGAAATAACGGCGCAGCATGTCTCCAAGAGTATCATCGAGCATTGGTTTGACATCAGTGGAGTTGGTCATCGTCGGAGCAATCGATGACTGGAGCAGTACCGAGGCCTTGGTGGCGGACGAAGCACCAGCAGCAGCAGCACCAGCAGCATCGGTTGCTCCATTATCATGCGAGTCCATGCTCATGCTTGTTGCTGCAGCACTGGCCGGCTCCGACACGGTTCGGTCGGCGAACAGAACATCGTCCGCTGTATTCGCGTATTCACGATGGTGGTCAGATTGCTCAGCGATTTTTCGAGCGCACAGCAGCTCAGAACTTCAGCCATGTAGTTGTCAATGTACCTGTTTGCTGCAGCGAGATGAGCCGTCCGCCAAGCACGCTCGACCTGCCAAAATGGTCCGTCAACAACACTCGAGTTGAAAATTTGGCACCGATTGTTCGGGTTGAGCATTGCTGTCGTACCATTCATTATCGCCAGTCTTCTTCCATCGGAAACTCTGGCCACACGCCAGTGTCACGTCGATGCGGAGCTCGGCGGGTGGAGCGGCCAGCGACCTCCAGCGAAGCACGCTCATGCGAAATTAGAGCAAACAGTGAAAATGAGACTGAGCCCCGTTTCTCAGAGAAAGAATCAAAGAGTACTAGAAATGATTTGCAGCATGACAATCCTGATAAAACTTGACAAATCAAGACGGGCATACGACGACCACGGAATAGACCGAGCAACAAAACAGTGCTTGACCGAACAAACAGACACGACTGCGCAAATCATCACAACGGATTTGTGTATTGGTCAAAGACAAGAGCATTTGGTTGCTGCCACGCCAAAGCCAATTCAGGGGGCGGGGGCGAGAAGCACAAAAACAAAGCAGACATGGAATCTAAAAAAACGAAATTGGTGCGGTGATTCGTGATTTTCTTCTTTTACACGGAATCGTACTTGGGTGGGGTGGCGTTGTTCGCGTTGGGGTCTTGCGAAACAGGGTCGGGGCTTCCGCCGATCGGCTCGTAGTTGGTCGTGGACGAGACAGTGATGCCTAGAAGAAGAAGAAGAAGAAGAAGAAGAAGAGACGAGTGAGCAACAAATTCAACGAACGAAATCCAAACCATTCAGAGCCTGCTTTGAGCCAAACGCTTACCGGGAACGGTGAGCGAGCCACCACGGCGGTTGAACTCGCGGAGAGCAAAGAAGAGCGAGATGGGCTTGAAGAGGAGGCTGATCAGCGCCATGGCGAACGAGAACTTGCGCGCGTTGGGGGCATAGTCGTTGAAGACAATGTCCTTGGTGCTATAGACGCCCATGGTGATGCAGTCGTTGAGCATCGTAAAGACGAGCGCGATGGCGTAGAGCGTGATTGCCTCGAGGCTCGTCTGATCGCCCAAGGCCCAGACGCCAATCATCGACAGGCCAAAGCTCGCGTAAAAGTACGCCGTGCCGAGATAGCCGTCGAGCACCGCCCTGTGAAAGCAATCAAGTTGCAAGCAGGAACAAAAAAAAAAACAAAAAATCAAAAAGAATATCATAGGACGAGTGTGTGAGTTGGATTGAAAGGGTGGCATATGGGATTGGAATCAAAAGCGCAATAGGACAGGGGCACCTTTTCCATCTCGCCCTCTCCCTTCCCCCCCCCCGGACTCTTCCACTTGGCAATGACTCTATCTCAGGTCATGCTGGTTTGTCGCTCCGGCAGAGGGGTGGTTGTGGTGGTGCCATTCATCACTATTCATCACAATGAGCTCGCTCTCTCTGGAGCGATCCAACCCCCTCCTCTCCCCAGCTCAATCAGCAGACAACTTGCTTGCTTGCCAATGAAAAGGAGTCTTGTGACTCTGTTGGGGGGTCTGGCAGCACCCTGCCGTCCGAGCGAGGCTTGCGTCACAGTCCGTCAAATTATCACAAAGTCGGTTCTGCTGCTGCCTTGTGATCGCCAAAGCACTTCGGCTCGGCTCGATTCGCGAGCTGGCATCGTCGGTGAGCTCAAGGTGAGGTTGATTTGGCTTGCAAAAGGGCGAGCAGAGGTGGTGGGGAGAGAGGAGGGGGTGAAGGGGGAGAGCGAGGGTCGCGTGGGTGAAGAAGGCGAACTCCGACAATGGGACCATTGATCAATGGGATTGAGTGGGGGAGAGGACATTGATGCTGGTGATGATGATGCTGGTGATGGTGGATAGGGGGAATGGGGGATGGATTGGGTTGTACCAGATGCTGAGGAAGGTGTGGAAGAGCACAATGGCGCGGAGCGAGAGTGCAGGGACACGCAGAGTGAATGTCATTGGAGGAGTTGAAACACAGAAATTGGACTGGAGATGAAGGGAATGAATAATGCAAAACTGCGGCGAATAATGGGGGGGGGGAGGGTGGGAGGAAGAGATGGAGATGGGAGGGGCATAGGGACTGAATCAACAAACAAGGCTGAGAAAACAAGGATCCCTCCGCTCGAAACAAAAACAGTCCCAATGCACGACTATCATCCAAAAAGGATGACAAGTACACTACTGTAGCTCATCTGCTACTTGTTTTCACTTTTGTTCGAATTCGTGGACACTAATAAAGAATATAGTGACGAATGAAGGGATGAGCCCAGTTCGTAACAAGTCCTTTTTTGTTTGTGTTGTTGGATTGTTGTTGTGTTCTCTTTGATGTTTGTGCAACATGTACGCATTACTTCATGGTTTGTGTGCCGTATGAAGCTTTATTAAAAGAATCAAGTGAAAGGCAAGTCGTAATTGCAACACTGAATGGCATGCCGTGACACACACACACCAAAAAAACAAACGAGCAAAGTCATGCACTGACAAGCAGCAGGTGTTAGTCGCGCTCACAGCTCCAAGGTGCCGAGCTCCCAGTACGCGCCAGAGTACGTCAGGTAGGACTGCTCGTACCACGCATCGACATCATCACGGCCAAGCTGCAGTTCAGCCGTTTGGTCTTCCTCAGCACCCATGCAGATCGACAGTGTCTGCCACTGTTCTTGGGAGTATGGAACTTGCGTGCGCTTGCCGGGATGAATGTCAGGCCGAGTCGGTGTGTGGAACACCTCGTAGTCGTACTCGCAGTCGGTGGGCAGCGTCCACTCGGGAGAGTTTAAGCGCGGCCAGTTGTGCAAGGCACCAGTCGTCTGGTAGCGTTGGATGCACGCCCAGGAAGGGTCCGGGCGGCCTTCCGTGACATTCGTACCAACAACATAAGCAGAAATCTTGATGCAGGTGGTGCCTGGATGGCAGATTTGGTTATAATCCGCCTTGTAACCACCGTCAATGGCTGGTTGCCCACGGAAGGTGGTGTACACCCATGGGGCGACAAAGCAGCTGAGGTACGAGCTGGCAAGAAGCGCCTCTACAAGATCTGCCGCACTCACAAACGAGAATGCCACAGCGGGCTTGGCATCATCAAAGCCAGTGCTGAGCTTGTTTAGCAGCGTGTAGCCGACACGGACACGACCCTTGCCGCATTTCTCGTAGGCCGCTTGGTCAAACATTTGGTCGTAAAACTTGCGTTTGGCCAACGGACTCAGCGTGCCTGTGCAAGACTCGATATTCGCGTGGCAGCCGGCGTACATCTCGGCAAAGCCAACTTTGAGCTCGTCAAGTGACACTCCGGAGCATGTTGCTGTCGAAATGATTGCACCGCCGCTGATGCCTCCAAACAGAGTTGATGAGCGGTCAACGAGGCGCAGCTCCAAGAGCCGTTCCATGGCTCCAATGTAGTAATGGAACAGGAATGCCGAACCAGCAAACGCAAAGCTAATCGGGGGACGCGGCGTTTCTGAACAGGAATCAGCAGCAAGAACACGAACTGTCGCGTCAGTCACAAAATCGCGGTCTGCGGCGAAACCCGTCAGTGCAACTTCAGAGATGGAGCCTTCGAATGTGAGGGACGGCGCCAGCTCGGTCAAAGAGTCTGGAATCTCGTAGTGGTTTGGCACTCCACCCAACAGAAGAGAGCCCTGAGGCGCAAATGGAGGCAGCGTGTCGCTGGCCACAGTGGCATTGCCAACGCTCGAGTCAACCACCAAAACAACAAGGTCATTGTGCCACGAGACCGACACATGGTGGGGGAGTCCATCATTCACAGTGTTGCTGGATCGGACAGTTGCCATGGGCTCCACCTCAGCACGGTGGTATGCAGCAAAGACGTAGCCATCATCGATAGCAACGGCAATCCAATCACTATCGTCGTCTCCGGCCTGGAAGGCCAGCAAAGCCTTGTCACGGCGTGTCGACACAGTCATGCGCAGTGACGAGCCATCTGCATCAACGCGGGCTCCGGGGAACGCCACGAAAGAGTTCTTGTCAAAGATCGCGCAAGTCGACTTGCAGACATAGCCAGCGACGGCTGAGGACACTGCGAGTTGCTCAAAGTCAACAACACCGCGAACGCCGGGCAGGACAACGTTGCGGATGCAGCCTCGGAACGCGGACGTGCTAATGCTATCAGGGTGCGGAACCACGTCCCAAGGAAGGCCGCCAATGTAGGCAAAACGGGTTGTCGTCAAACCAGTGGCCTCGCCAGGCGATGAGCCAGTGCTGGTGAAGATGTTGTCAATCTTCAACTCGCCTTCTGTTCCGGACAGAGTGGCGACAACGCGGTGCCAGATCTTGTTTTTGAGGTTGTTGATGCTGGATGAAACTACGGTGCCCTTGCCTGATCCGCAGTTCCACTGGAAGGACACTCGACCATTGATGAGCTCGAGTGAGACGAAATCGACACCGTTCAAGCCGGGCTGGTAAAGGAGCAGACCCGAGCCGTTGTTTGTGCGGAACTCGAGCTCAAACACGCTTGTGTGAGCAATTTCCAGCTTGGGCAACTCGACAAACGAACCCGTTTCGAACTTGGCCAGGTAGTTTGAATGCTGGGTGCACATGTCTGCATCCGCCAGGTTGACTGTGACGGCGGACGCAAAGTTGAGAAGGCCCTTGCTGCCAACCCTCGCGTTGCGAAGGCAACCATTAAACAAGGTCGCTGTGGTAGAACCTGCCTGCAGTGTGACATCGTCTGGGATGCCACCCACGCAGAGCGGGCCTGTAGCGTTTACCGAGAGAAGGGCGCCAGGGCTGCTGCCAGACACTGTCGGCCGGGTATCGACCGTCAGCGACGCGTCACGGAAATGAATGGATGCATCAATGGTGTGCCACTGGTTATCGTTGAAGGGGCCAGAAACGATCAGCTGGCCAGCACCAGAGCCGCAGTTCCAGCGGAAGACAACGTTCGCGTCTTGGAGCTCCAGGGAGAGGAAATCGATACCTGCCAGTCCGCCCGTGTACATCAGCAAGCCAACCGCAGATGCTGTCTTGAAATCCAGGCGGATGGGTGTGGGCGCATCAGGCAAGACGAGCGTGGGGAAGGTAGCATAGTACCCTCCTCCGTTGAACGATCCTGTGTCGGCAGCAACTGAGAGGTGGAGGGGAGGAGGGGGGAGGAGAGAAAGTGGAGTCATAGAGATGTTAGTTGTGTGTGATGAGAGAGCAGTGTGTTTGTGTTGGTGGATGCGCTTGTGCTTGTTGCTTGAGGTGCGTGTTACTGATCTACAAACACTCAGGTGTTTTGTGTGTTGTCATGGGCTCTCTCTCTCTTGCTCAATGTGTTTTTGTGTTGCTTTGGTGTTTTGTGTTGTCATGGGCTCGCTTTTTTCTCTCTTTTCTTGCGGTTGTCAAGTCAAGATCTGTTGCTCCCAATGGTCAACAACTGCGCGTGCGATTGCAGACACCAGGCACGCGGGGGCACGCCGGTCAACACGAAGGGCATGGGTGATCATGCCAAGGACACACAAAAGGCGGGCGATCGGGGGACGGTGGAGTGCGAAAAACAAAATATGAAAAAATAAAAAAAATAAAAAAATAAGTAGGTTCGCTCAACACAAAGCAAGCCGACGACGCGCCCAATCCCATCGCACAACAACAGTGTGTGTGTGTGTGTGTGGGTGCGTGTATGTGAGTGTGTGGATGGGTGCGTGTGAATGGCTGGGTGCGTGTGTGTGTGTGTGGGTGCGGGGGTGTGGGTGGATTTCATTAATTGGTCACTTCATCGCAACAGCGCGAGGACCAGCGCACTGCACCCGATCACGACTTACCAAATGCACCGGTGAACACAAGCACCACAAGCGAAAGCTGCAGCATCAGCAGCCGAGCAGAAGTCGCCATTGCAGTCGGAACAAAACAAGAAACAAACCAAAGGCAAAAAAGCAGAAAAAAAAAAACAAAAGAAAAGAAAAAAGAGTGGAAGTTGCAACTTGCCAAATCCGAGTTTCAGATCTACGAAGAAGCGCACGAATGGGCAACGACGGTGTGCTGCAACTTCACCGACGTTGTACGCAAGGGTCGGCAGTTTGTTCGGCAACTGATCTGTGAGACATTGCGAGTTGATCGTGGTCAACTTCGCGCTTGACAAACAACTCCCAAATAAACGGGTGCTTCGTGGCTCCCGCTCCGTTTTGTTCACCGACTATGAGCATGAATGCCGAGCACGGACCTGAAAAGTGCCAAAGCGGACAAAAAAAAAAAACAAATGTGGCTGCTCTGAGATTGAGTGAGTCTGTGAAAACGGAAACAGTCCCCTTTTTTGTTGTTTGGCTGTGTTCAACAACAAGCTCGAATCTGAAGAAAAATGAACGAGAGACAGCACGAGCTGTATTACAAAGTCAAGAATAAGAGTGGGGCGCTCAGGTAAGACATGGCCAAGTGCCCAGTTTGTTGGAACAGCAGTGACGACGCGCGCGTGTATTGACGAGATGGACGCCAGTCTGGATGGGAGCTTTATTGGCGATGCAGATACGCAGGTGATTGCTGAGGCCCTCAGGGTGAACACGACGCTGACGATGCTCCAGTAAGACAGCTCACTTCTCCCCCTGATGCGTGCGAGCGGTTGATTCAGCAAAGCGTGCTTGGAGTGCTCACTGCAGGATGGGGGAATGGGCAGTCTGAACCGGAATGAGATTGGCGATGCTGGCGCTCATGCTCTTGCTGAGGCACTCAAAGTGAACTGGGCGCTGACTTGGCTGTGGTAGGTCATCTCGTAGTTACTGATGCATGTGAGTGGGGCGATCCAGCAAAGGGCGTTCGGAGTGCTCACTCGTGATGGATGGGATGCACAGCCTGAGTGAGAATCACATTGGCGATGTTGGAGCGCAAGGGATTGCTGAGGCACTCAGAGTGAACAGGAGGCTGACTCACCTTTAGTAAGTATCGATTGCTTGAACATGTTTCTAACGATTGTTAGACTCACACCACAATATGACACAACAATAACAACAGTATTGACAAAAACCTCTTGACAAGCGCTGGAATCACTGCGCTCAACCAAACAGGAAATACCATTTGTACTCTGTAGTAAGATTCCGCACGTTGATTGGAGTCTTGCATGAAGCAAAATTCAAACAACGAGCCATTCACTTGCTTTCATGAAATTGCGTTTCGGTAGCCTTGCCGACCAGTATGATATATCGCCTGCCGAATTGGCTCAGATTGCAGCTCGTGCAGCAGCGATCGCTCGTGAATCCGAGATGCAATACTTGCGCTTCGAGCTCGCTGCCAAAGACGACAGGCTCTCTGCCAAAGACGAGGAGCTCGCTTTGAAAGACCAAGAGCTCGCTTTGAAAGACCAGGAACTTGCTACCAAAGACCAGGAGCTCGCTGCCAAAAATCAAGAGCTTGCTACCAAAGACCAGGAACTTGCTACCAAAGACCAGGAGCTCGATGCCAAAGACCAGGCGCTTGCAACCAAAGAATGGGAGCTCGCTGCCAGAGTTCAAGAGCTCGATGCCAAAGAATCGGAGCTTGCTATCAAAGACAAGGAGCTCGCTGCCAAAAATCAAGAGCTTGCTGCCAAAGACCAGGAGGTTGCTTCCAAAAATCAAGAGCTTGCTACCAAAGACCAGGAGGTTGCTTCCAAAAATCAGGAGCTCGCTTTGAAAGACCAGGAGCTCGCTGCCAAAATTCAAGAGCTTACTACCAAAGACCAGGAGCTTGCGACCAAAGATCAAGAGCTACAACAACTTCGCTCCGATTTGCAGTCAGCTCTTGATCAGATCGACGTACTTGAACAACCAGACATTGGATTCACATCCAAATTTGACGAACCCATCCCGCAAGTGCCTCTTGCAACTCTTGTCGCCGCCACAAACAATTTCGCCTCTGACTCTCTGCTTGGCGCAGGAGCGTTTGGTCGCGTGTACGGCGCCAGTTTGTCTGGCCGTCGTGTGGCTATCAAAAAGCTGTCGGCTGAATCCAAGCAGGGCACGGTCGAATTCAAGTCGGAACTGGATTCTTTGTCGAAATTCCGTCACGCCAACATTATTGCCATTCTGTCCTATGCAGAAGAAGGCGACGAGCGATGCCTTGTTTACGAATTCATGCCCAACGGCTCTGTTCGCGATCGCCTGAATCGGAAGCACAACACCCCTCCGCTGACCTGGTCTCAGCGCCATCGCATTGCGGCTGATGTTGCCCGCGGCATGCACTACGTTCAAACAGCCTTCCCTGACCATGCACTGTTCCATCTGGACCTCAAGACGGACAACGTTCTCCTGGACGAGCATTTCAATGCAAAAGTGTCGGACTTTGGTCTTGTCCGCGCTGCCAAACACCTCGATGAGCAAAGCTACCTTCGTACGCATAGCATGCAAGGCACAGCTCCTTACATGTGTCCGGAGTTCTTAGAGGAAGGGCGCATGACCATCAAGACGGATGTCTACGCCTTCGGCATGATTCTGCTTGAATTGGTGACTGCCACCAAACCCGGCGCTCGGCTGAAAAAAGATGCGCGAAATGCTGCGAAAAGCCAGAACGCACTTGGCATGCTGGACTCGGCGCTCACAGCCACCGAAGCAGAGCGGGAGAGCGTCGGCAATCTTGTTGCTCTGGCTCTCGAGTGTCTTGACGAAGAAGCGAACGAGCGCCCGTCGTTTGGCACCCTCGTTGTTGCATTGGATCCTTGATGACAGGCGGACGTCCTCCAAGTTGATGTTTCAGTTCTGAGTTCGAGTGCTGCATGTTGATTCTGCTCCGTCATTCTTCTATTAGTCCATCTCCATAGTTTTCGAAGAAGCATCATGTTCGTGCAAGCCTATCCAAGGTTTTGCTGTCTGTTGCTGTGATCGTTGAATACAAGATCAGTTGCCTGCTACATGGCAGGTTGCTTGGCTTGGGAGCAGAAGATTCGAAATAAATAATGCATTAACTTAGAGATTGCAGCAACAACAACAGCAAGCTGCAAGAAAACGGCAAAAGTTCCCAAGCCAGCACGCGTAGTTTTTTTCGAAGGCTGTCGTGAACGACGAGACTTGGATTTGGGAGGCCGACGTTGAGCTGCAGCAGGAATTGTTGCCTTCGAAAGAGATCGCTGAGAATGTGATGAGTTTGGCCGACTTTGATCTCGCGGACGGCGGGCCCTGAGATGATCCCACTTCGGAGGAAAAAAAGCCAATACTTACACCACACCAAGAGAGCGTATGGTGTGCTCGCACTACTCGGAACGGGATGCCGGCGGTGGTGATGCCAGCTCTGAGCGATCGAGCGGCCGTCCAAGCACAGCACGCTCCGTTTCATGCATGGCACGACGCAGGAACATTGCGACCGTCTGCAGCGTGACTGGATCAGGGAACAGTGGTTCATTGACCAAGTGTCTCGGAAGCGACTGCAGGTAGTCCCATCGCTCGCGCGTCAGCGGCGGGCGTCGTGCGTTGGCTTCCTGGCGGGCGACGACTTCCTCCTCGATGCGCTTTGCCTGTCGCTCCTCGTCGATCTGTCATCATTGCCATCGCGTGACAAGTTATGCAAATACAGTCAGTCGAAGGAGAGGGAATGGTCGAAGCAGTCGAACAAAACTCAGGTACCTGCTGGAAGAGCCGGAAGAAGAGCACGGTGCCCACGATGGCGCCCGGGTACTGAATCCACTTCTGAAATCATCAATCGAACAACGCAAATCCAGAGACCAAGGGTGAGATGGGACGAGGGCGCGTGAGGGCGGGATTGGGGAGGTTGCTTTACCGGGAGCTGCTGGAGCCGATCCCATACAAACAGCCGCGGCAAACGGGGCAGACGAGGCATTGGAAACTGGAGCAAAAAAAATCGCAATATTCAGGACTGGATGTAAACTGGATTCATGGAGATTGATGGGGGGAAAAAACAGCAAGAAAATAACAAAAACAAAAAAAAAGGCAGTCAATGAACAATTGAGGGGTTTGAGCATTTTGAACGAGAACTCTGGTTTCTAGTGATACGTTGGGCCAGCAAGATAGCAAGAGGAAGGCAATATCATTCACATGTGCAGTAAAACAGGAATGGTTGGCAAACACAAACACCGCGCAAATCAAACAAAACAACAAGTCGAACAAGAAACAGCTTCGCGCTTCAGTTATTGCGCCATGGCCGTTGATTGTGAAAGCTCAGCTCTGGGAAAAGGCAAGAAAGCAAGCGAAAAGAAAAGAAAAAAAAGCAGCAATCAGAGAATGAGCATGCGATGGGCAAAAAACAACAGACTGTTATTGCAACTTTGCATCTGTGTTGAATGCTTTGCGCCATACCGGAGTTGCTTTGCAAAATCGTCCTCTGCTGCATCATCGTCCCAGTTGTCCTCCCAAAGTTGTTGGTCGGTCTTGTCCTCTGCCGAGCCGTTCCACTCTGAGAAGAAGCAAAAAAGGAGCGAGAACAATTTTGGTAAGCATGAAGTTCAGAGTTCTGAGTCACATCCACGCCTGTTCCCTGCTGCAAAGACTTTGTATCAAGTCTCGCTGTGTGCAGCAAGAGTCGTTTGCAAACACCAACCACAGTACCTTCTTGAGGGAACTCTTCAAACTCGTCGTCCTCTTCGAGCAAGTCGACGTTCGCGGTCGCGGGCTCCTGTTTGGCGTCCTTTGAAGCAGTAGCAGCAGACGACATTTCGTTTTGTGCTTGTTGTTGAATAACTCTGCGAACAAACGAGGAAGAGAGAGAGGAATCGTTAGTTGGACAGCTGTGCATTGAAACGCAGCGTTTCCCCTCTTCATCATGAGCCTCCAAAGACAAAGGGGGGACTCCAGTGAGAGCAGCCGAGCAATGCATCAGCGACTCAACCGAATGAGCCGCGGAACGAGACGTTGTATCTGTTCAATGGGGAGGCGTTTGATGACCTCAAACAGACGGGTTTCGAGATCTCTTTTGCAATGGCGCTCCATTGGAATGGCGCTCACTTGCGCCGCTGCGCTTCGGACTCGCGCTGGGTTGGTTGCTCAGAGTGTGCGTTTTGATATGGAGACATTGAAGGCGGGCCGACACGGCCCCCAAAGGAAAGGAAAGCCTGCAGACCAGGAATCAAAAGCAAACGCAACTCACTTGCAAGACAGAACGAAGACTGACTTTCGCTCCCCATTCTAGACTAGATCTAAGGCATCCATTGGATAATATATTATGATATATCAAGTCGAAGAGCAAAATAGCGTCAGGTATTCTCAATGACTGCTGGAGCGGAAGCAGCGCGCGCACTCAAAAAGAAACCAACCCTGCTCAGATTTGAACAAGTCACAATAACAACACCAGCCGTGGATCTAATGGACTTTTTCGAGCGAAAGCGTGTTGCTGTTGATGTATTTGGGATACCGCTAGCTGTTCTACGAGAGGACCGCGGCTGTATGCGGGGTTGAGCATTGATTTTGTGCTTGGTGGAAAAGTTTGGGGCAAAGTTGTTGCACAGAACACGCCTGACAAGTAAACACGAGTGAATCACTGAATCGTACATGCAAGCCAGACCCACGGCATGCTCTACTAGTGAACAAGAGTAGCAAAAAAAAAACCAGCACGACAATCTGCGATCGCTTTGCAAAACGAACAGCTTCATTCGATCTAGTTCGCAGTGTCCATCGCCAGGAATTGTCGGAACCAGGTGGCTTCGTCAGCCATTTCTTGTGACGTCCGAGCCCGCCGTTGGGCTTCCTTGTCGTGCTGATCGAGCTGGAAAGCATGATGAGGAAAAACCCCCCATAAAAATGTCAGACGCGACAAACAGCAAAGAACCAGTCCACCACTGCATCACCAAGCATCACCACTACAATCAACAACTGACATCCAACTCCCCGCTTCCCTACCTCATGATAAATCTTGTCGTTCGGAACGAAATCGTCCTTGTGCCGGGGAATGATGTGGACGTGGACGTGCTCGACCGTCTGACCAGCCCCAACACCGTCTTGAATGGCAATAGTCAGGGCAATTGATTTGTATGCAATCTCAATTGCGCGAGAGACACGCTGGGTGGTCTGGAACAGGTCGGCAATCTCGTCCGGATTGAGATCGGTAAACCGGTGCACAACGCGCAACGGAGCCACGAGCATATGTATCTAAAACCAATCCAACATCATCCAACACAAAACAGACGCAAAAACAACATTTGCAACGACCAAAGGCGCAAACGATTCTCAGAATGTCAAGGAAACGACATTTTGGCCGCAGAGGAGCGAGAGATTGACGACAAAGTGCATCCAGCATCACATCAATGGCAACCCAGACCAACCAACGCATCGAGTTGCAGCTAGAACAGTTTCAATGATAAAGCAAAAGGGAGGCGAGTTGCCGATATGACCAGGGACGATTGGCTTGAGATTGACGAACGCGTAGCTCAGCCTGGATTGGAGAAAGCTCTGCAAACACAGGAGCGGAACACGGCGAATCCAATGCGACGCAAAAATGGCAAAGTTGATGAAGTGAGTGGGAACAAGCGAGGTGAGAGCGATGGATGGACGGCAGCGAGCGAGTGCAGACCTGTGAATGGGAGACAATGTGAGGTCCAAACCGAAACCCTTCAGCCAAAGCCATTGTTGCTGCAACTCCAGTCATTTTGAAAAAAAAAGGAGACTGGTTCTGGTTCCAAACATGAACGAGTGTGGGTGTTATTGCAGAACGAAAAAAAAGTTTGAGAAACAGGGGCAATTCATAAACATGCAAACATCCAACGAAAACAAACAAAAAACAAATCCAATCTGAGAAAATCAGAAAACAAACCGCTGCTGCTGCTGCTGCTATCATTCATCGTCGCTATTGTCAGCGGCGGCCGCAGGGGCAGACTCACTGGCTGCGGAACCGTCGGTCGGTGCATCATAGACGGCTTCTTTGCCTTCAAAGAACATTTCCATGCGACGGAGAACACGGAAGAAGCCTTGGCCTTCCCAGTAAATCTTGTGACAACCTCCGCACTCGCGGAATTCCGTCAGGGCGTCGCGTGCCGCAGTCAGCTTGTCGCCTTTCTTGCCAGGAAAGGTAAAGCCACTGACAAGCAGGGCATCCAAGGTCCGCGGGATCCAGCCGACCGAGTTGCACAGCTGGCACCGCGACAGCACGTCCTCCTTGCGAACATCCACTCGAAAATGCCGCAGCACTTGCATCAGCTGCACGCGCGGCTTGTCCGTTGTGACTTGGAGCGCGCGTCCGGGCTGGCACTTTTTCGCGGCGTTGCGAAACATTTGACCATGGCCCAGCAGAATGCGGCCTTGCTGTCGCGAAGCTCGCAAAAAGCCCTCCGAGTCACGATCGACGTAGACTTCACAGTCAATGCCCACGCCGCGCAAGCGACGGCACAATCGTGCCAGGGAGGAGTCGGCCAAAAACCGAATGTCACTCACTCGCACGCGCTGGTCTTCGGGAATCGGCGTCGTGTTGGCCTGGAACTGTGCTCCGAGCGGCGCCCTCAATGCAGCCAACTCTGCTGCTGGAATATTGGGCAAGGAGGCGACATTTGAGCTGCCAGAGTCGTCTGCATCACCGCCAAACAGAGCGGTTTGCGCACGATCGTGGCTTTGAGCCGGCGGATGCGCGGCATCGAATGCTTTCATGGCAGCATCCATCAAGTCGTGAAGCTTGAGCAGGCAGAAGGCATCCAGAGCTGAGCGGGTGGGAGAGCGTAGAAATTGGGAAAAAGTGTGAAACAGTGAGTGACCCCCCTTTTTGTCTTTCATTTCCTTTCTTCTGGCCGCCAACACCAACAACAACACCAACAAACACCGCGCAGGCGGGAAAAGACGAGAAAAATCGCACACTGTAGCCATACCTGCATAGTGAACCTGCGCCGGGCGAAGCGGACGACGCTCCCAGTCGGACATTTGCTGCCGCTTGTCGAGAGTCTTCTTCAGGACGGCGCGAACAAGACCAGCCAAGCCCGGTGCAATGACACCGAACTGTGCCACAACACCGGCGTGGCTTGTCAGTTGGGCCAGATCAATCAGCGAACGAATCGCCGGGAAATGGTGTCCGCGGGGCTCCTTTTTGCGCGCAGAGCGAATTTTCGCCGGCAGACTTCCACTGGCACCCGCAGTTCCTGTCGCAGATGAGGGCGGCGGATCTGGCGTGCACGACATCTGAAGGGCACTCATGTCGCCGGTCATGGCGTAGCCGATTTTCGTGACTGCCGCATCGCTGAACAGCCTGTCCACAAACTGGCCGAGCACAGCGCCACGCAAGACACACGTATCGATGAGGATGGTGCGATCTCGCGTGGCCAGCTGCAGCAGAGCTGTGGCGGACGAACCCTTGCTGTTCATCACCGTTGGGCGCCACTCAGTGTCCATCCCGACGACCGTGCCGGGAACGTGCAGGTAGGCCGACACCTCGTTCAGCTGTTCGGGGGTTGTGACAAACGTGGGCTCTGACACCTCAACGGGCAACGTCAGCACGTCGGAACTTTCGTCACTGCCATCCTGCAAGAGCTGCGGTCCTTGAGCAGCTTGCTCTCGACGTTGCGCAATGGCGTCAGCATATTGGACTGCGAGCTGTGTCAGGTCCAACGGGGTCCCTGACAAGTCCCGCATGTCCACTTCGGCCGAGGTGACGGCAAACTTTTCGGCGCAGTCGAGCGCGTAGGCAAAGTCCTGCATGGCCAACGCCTCGCGCACAAGCGTGACCTGCAGCTCGTGGTCGTCGCGCACGGCCACATCAAGCAACTCGTCCCAGTTGGCCGCGGGCTTGATGAGAAACGTCTGGCGGGAACCCGGGCCCACCGAGCCCCACTTGGGCGCGTCCGCCGCCACCGCCGCCGCAGGCGCGCCGTCGTCGTCTTCGTTGTCTGCAGGTGCCGCCGCGCCGGTAATGGACGCGTACTTGGACCGCAGCAAAAACTTGAGGGCGCCCATGCGCTTGACGGCGATGGAGCTCGAGACGTCGACGGCGTCCTGTGGCAGCTTCCACTTGTCAATCAGCTTGAGGGTGGTTTTCGCCCAGCTCTTGCCGCGGAGCTGCTTCTTGCGGACAAGCCCAGCGTGGCGAGCCGGCACAAAGTACGGGCTCGAGGCGTAGTCTCTGATCGCCGAAAAGCTGTCGGAAATCTTGATGAGCAAAACCGCGCGTTCGGTCGAGTTGCCAACCAGCCGTTCGGCCACAGAAAGCTTGTCGGAGAGGGCGAGCGAGGTCAGCAGCTCGGCAATGTTAAAGTTCTCGTACAGATTCAGCTCGACAATCAAATCGGCCGCCTCCTTGAGGTGGTTTTCTTCAAAGTGGCCTTGGATGTACTGCACGAGGAGCGATTTTGTGGATGGCAAACGAGCAAGGTCGAAGAGTTTGGCCAGTTCGCGCACAGACAGAGGGTCGGCAAATTCGAGCAGCGTCGCGGCCCGAGTGCGCAGCTGGTCGGTGATGTGAAGCGCAATGCCAAGTGTCAGCGTGCTCGCGGTGCGCATCGAGTCGGCATCATCCGCTGTCGCTGCTGTGAAGTGGTGGCGGTCGGCAAAGTAATCGCTCGCGTTGGTGCCTCCGTTGAGCGTGGGGGTTGACGCCTCCGATCCTGGAGTGGCTGGAACGTCCGGGGTGCACGGGATGCTCCCAGTGGCAATGTCATGTGCAGCGACGGTACCATGAATGTGCACGGCGGCGTGGTCCTTGCGCATGACGCGCTCCAAGCAGCTCAGCAGCAGAATGGCAACGGCTTTGCGCTTTGTCTTGCGCTCCAACCCTTTGGCCGGCTGTTCAAACACGGCAATGAGCAGATCGAGCGTGACAGACGCGCAATTGCGCGCGGTTTGCTCGCCAGGCACGATGTTGGCTGAGCCGGTGGAGCGATGGCGCCCATGATGTGCGTGTAGATTGACCTCAAGCAGCGCCGAGCACACCGTATGCCGCAGTTGATGCACAGACAAGTGCGCGTAGATTGTCGCAATGAGCGACGAAGCTTCGGCAGCGACGGTTTGCGCGAGATTGCTGCGCGACGGGTCGGCCGTGAGCAGCGCCAAGAATCTCGGCTCGCGTTGCGCAATGAGCTCTTCCAGCTCCTTTGCACTCTCGGTGCCGTCGTCGTCGTCGTCTTGGTCGTCAGCATCGGACAGAGATTGCGTGCTTGATTCAGCAGCAGCAGAGGCGGAGGCAGAGGCAGAGGCAGCGGGTCGTGCGGTTTCGGTGGCGGGCAGTCGGATACTCGGGCTTGAATTCGACCTGGCAGGAGTACCAGCACTGCTACTTTGACTAGCACCAAAGGATGATGATGATGATGATGATGATGATGATGATGATGATGCGGCAGTCTGCTGGGCTCGCTGCGCTTCCTTGAGCCATTCGCCACGCACAATCTCATCGAGGCAAGGCTTGGACTTGCGTGAAGGTGACTTGGCGCCAGTGCCATCATTCGCATCAGTCAAAGTAGTAGTAGTAGTAGTAGTATCACGAGCCATGGTAGTAGTGTTGGTGGTCGGAGGAGTCGCAGATGATGCAACCGAGAGCGCGGATGGCGACACTGTCAGCAGCGACAGGGCAGCGGTGACGCCCGCAACAGCGACAGATGCGCTTGAGATTGCGCTTGCGATTGGGGCTGGGGTTGGGGATGAGCCTAAGATTGAGGTTGAGGGTGAGGGTGAGGGTGAGGGTGAGGGTGAGGGTGAGGGTGAGATTGGGTTGGTCGCTGCACCACCAGCGATGCCGCTATCCCGATTGTTGATGGACATTTTTTTTTGATGGGTTGTGATGGAGCTAAGATTGGAATAGTGAGAGTGAGTGAGTGAGTGAGTGAGGTTTGGCCAAGCGTGAACCAGAGTGCAAACTTCAAGCATCTCCCCGCAGCATCTCAGCCAAACTCAAAAATCTCTTCTACTCGAGACACACATCGCATATTCGAATGCAATCGATCAATCATGCAATATTGACTCTGGTTACGACTCTCTCCGTTTTTTTGTGGGAATCAAAGCCGCTCAGAAACGCCGACTTTCATGGCTTTTTTGTTGTTTTCGACATTTTCGTTTTGATCTCTGATGCATAATCCATTCATCGTGATCATGTATTGACATTGTACATTTTCTACATTGACATTGTTCAGTCCTTTCAATATTCTTTCAATGGCTTTGCTGCTTCGTGCATCGTCGACCTTCGCCAAGCAGTCTGCGCACCAAGGCAAGGCGTCCCCATCTCAACCGCTCCAGCATTGGATTGAATCCCCCGTCCCTCTGCCTTCCTCTGCCTTCCTCACGCGGTCTCATCGGCCGAGTCTGCGTCCGGCTCTTCAATGCAAAGAGAAGATGAAGGGCGGCGATCTCTCGCTTTTTTTTTTTTTTTTTTTTTTTTTGGAATCCTTCACTGACCCCCCATTCGATCTGCTGTGGTGCCGTTCTGCTGTTACAGTTGTGCGACACATGTCGAGTGCTGCTGGGGACGCCGCAGCGGTCGCCAAGCACGCCAAGGAAGCCATGAGCACATGGAAGAAGTAAGGCAGCTGAGTTTGCATTGGGATTGCTATGGAGCTCTTGGCGCCTCCAGTCGTGCCGACCCAGCGACCCATGCTGGCTTTTGGTCTTGCCGTGGCGCTGGATGCGGATGGCACAGCAATCAGACACAGACGCCCAAACGCTGGGATGTGGAGCAGTCTGTCTCACCTCCCTTCTCTCGCCCTTTTGTCAGACTCTCGCTCGCCGTCTGCCTGCCAGCATGCGGCTACCTGTTCTATTACAACTTTGTGGCCCACCCCATGCACGAGGAGCAGCGCCAGTTTGTTGCCTACCCGCATCTCCGCATCCGAACAAAGCGGTTCCCGTGGACGGAGAGCGATCTCACCCTCTTCCACAACCCCCACACCAACCCTGGCCCGGACAGCGGCGAGCACGAAGAAGAGCACGGTGCTTCCGCTCCCTTCCTAACGCGTCTTTTCGCCTCTGGCATGGACACTGCCGAGCAAACCCGCGAAAAGCGCGAGGCGCACCTCCGGTACATCCAAGCCAAGAGCCAGGCCTAGTACGTGACACAGAGTTGCGGGAGTTTTGTTGTGCTTTGACTGTCTGTAGTTGTTTTTGTTGTTGAAGGTACTGTCGAGTTTGTTCGATGTCTGCGTCCCTCACTCTGGTTTGGTTGTCGCTGCCTTTTTGTTCTTGCGTTCCAGCATTGCTCAACGCGAAATCACAGCCAAGCACGAGCTACGCGTGCCTCTGACTCACCGCGCTGCCAACGAGTACGGCTTGCGAATGGACGACTACCAGAGCAAGCAGTAGAAGATTATTTTTTTTTTTCTGTTTCCACTCGTGGTGGTTTTTGTGTATTGTCCTTTTTTTGTTTTGTTGATGTGTGTGTGCTTGTGTGTGTGTGTGGTACTGCTGTCCGTGACTGGCTCAAGTACATGTTTATCGAGTACGCATCGTTCATGTGGAAGCATAACTGTATTTCAAAAAAACAACGGGGTTGCAGAAAAGCGGGACCTAAAAGGAATGTTGGTTTGGGGTTCTGGTCGACTACTGGGCGCTAGCAGGGACGGCAACTGGTGCGGTGCCGTGTTGTTGGGCTTGTGACTTGGCGTTCTTGATGACCACAAGAATGTCGTTAAGATTGTTTTGCCACGAGCTGAGGCGGTCGTGCAGTTGCTGCCACTGAGGCTTGCCAAAGATGCGGTGCGTTGCTCGGCCAATGACAATCTTGCCGTTCAATTGATCAATCTTGGCCTCGATCAGCTTGGCAGTGATGGCCTCAATGACCCACGCCTCGACCTCCTCCTGGGGCACGCTCAACGTCTCGGCAATTCGTGAAAATTCGACCTCGGAGCTGGTGGATGCAAGTGTGACGAGCGTCAAGATGCGCATCTTGACCAAGTTTTGTTCGTGGGAAAGACCTGCAAGTTGGAAGAAGAAAAAAAAAAAAGGGTCAGTGTCAGCGCAGCGTAGCGGCTCCCCCCCCCCTGGCAACCGGAAACACTGAAAAAGCAAACAAACAAAAGAAATCACAATAAACACGGTCAACAACCAAACAGACAAACGTACCAGCTGACTGAACAAACGCAGTGTGCGAGTTGTAAAACTGCTCGTATGCTTGGAAGTTGTCTCGTACAAAAATGAGCAGCAAGTTGTGAATGTCAGAGCCCTCGAGTTGTTTGACGGCGGCGAGCTGCAAAAGCGAGTCGAGCTGGAAAATTTGGGGAGCAGCGATGGCCTCCTTGATGCACTTTTCGGCACTCTCCTTGACGGTGGCCAGCGTCTCGGCATCAGCAGTGTCGTACGTGTGCAGGAGACGCTCGTGGAACTTGTGCGCAAGAATGCTGTAGTTTTATCGAAAACGGTCGAAAGAGAGTCAGCTTCAGAACGAGAAAAGAAAAAAAGAGAAAGAGAGAGAAATCAAAAAAAAAAAAAAAAAAAAAAAAAAAAAAAAAAAAAAAAAAAAAAAAAAAAGAAGAAGAAGAGAGAAACAAAGCGACACTGATACCACTTGCTGTCAAGGGTTACCTCTTCTTGTTCTGGGTGAGAACGTCATAGATCAAACGGTACAGAGCACGGGTTTGTGTTCCAGTCAAACCCCACTGGCCAATCCAGTCGGCAAGGGTGTCAAAATCGAGATCGACAGCCTGAAGGTGGCCGGTGGCGCCAGCAAACGAGACGAGGGCCTTGAATGTTTCAAATCGGTTCAGGGAGTTCGCATCGAGGGTGTTGAACACGACCGAGAGCCTTTAAAAGTTGTTAGGTGAAAACGGATGTGAGTTTCAAATAATAAGAAACACAAAAGCAGCTCGGCACCAAGGAGGAACGCGTCGGACTAAACTTACACTCGCAGCCGCTCAAGAGATCGCTTGTCCGAGACATCGGTGGCGACTGCAGCAAGCAGCGCCTTGACGAGCTCGGCGGCATCTTCTGACTTTTGCTTGGTGGCGAGGAAGAGCAGACTGTTGAAGGGAGCCTCGATGTCTGAACGAGAGCAAGCAAAACCCCAGGCATGATGAGTTTCCATGCCATTCGAGGTTGAGCGCTTGGCGTCTCTGAAGCAACATGATCTTTGATGTCGACATCGAAAAGACATACCCTTGTTCTCCGGGGCAAACAAGGCTGCGGATGCGGCAATGACCTGCTTGAGGGCCTCGGTGGTCTTGCCAGCAGCAACAAGCGCGGCAGACGACGCCTCCAGCGACGCGTTGGCGGTCGGTGCGACCTTGGCGATGAGGGAAGCAACGTCGGCGAGCTGCATACACACACAGAAGCGTCAAAGTGAGCAAAAGTCCCACACAGGTTGTCCCGCCTAACCCCCACCTCCCGTCAACCAGCATCATCACCAACACGGTCATTGTCACTGCGCGGTGGACGCCGGAGACGCGAAACGCATGCACGGGGAGCTTGCCAATGCATTTCCAGCCAAAAAGGCCATGTGCGTGAGCCGCTTTTTTTTTTTTTTTTTTTTTTTTTTTTGGTTTTCTGCGAGGATTGTTCACTCGCGGCGTTCCAAGTCTATCGCTCGCTTCATGGAATCGAGCTTGGAGAATGGTGTGATCTGGCTGTTTCGTTCTCTCGGTCGGACAGCGATGCGGTTGGTGACAGACGACAAGCAAAAAAAGGGCGAGATCTCTTCCTTGGTTGCTGTCCTTGCCCATCCGCTTGCTCGATCTCTCCCTTTCTCTCTCTCTCTCTCTCTCTCTCTCTCCTCTGCTCCAGCTGAATCATGCGCTGCATTGAAAGCTATGCGCCCAAGAAGAAGAAAAAAACTGACCAACTCGCTGTCGGTGCGCTCTGTCGATGTCGCAACCATTGTTTCAACGCAAGTCTATTGAATTGAAGAAAAAAAAAAAAACTGATCCAGGCCAAGACGAGCTTGAGAAGCAATAGGTTCTGAGAACAACGCAAAAACACCCCTTCAGCAAACCTGGGACGAGTGAATTCTCGTCGATTCTATCAGTGCGGATCAACGAGGTTTGAGTGCGAGACGGTCAGGGCAGAAAGACGAAAAAGCGCACAATCAACGCTCGTTTGCCCGCCTCGACAAGTTTTGAGCCCCATAAACTGTGTGAATGGGATGGTGATCATCGTTTCACTGGGCTCATAGACTGCGCGAGAGTTGATCGTCATCCGATGAGAGCTTACGTCAAAGTAGAACCAGTTTTTTTTTTTTTCCCCCTTTGGCATGTCAACGATCGATCCGGCAAAGCGCCCCATTGGTTCCAGCGACGAAGGGTCATCGGAGGAAAATCCGACCAAGCGCGCTCGTTTGGAGGATCCAGCAGCAGCAGTAGCAGCAGCAGCAACAACGACAGTGCCGGTCTTCGTTGCTCCCTGCACGACAACCTCGTTGCAAGCCGCATCGACCGCCGCTGCTCCACTCACTCTAACAACCTCACCAGCAACAGCAATGATGACAACGACTGAGTTGGCAGCTTCAGCACCGCCCAACAGTCATACCACAAGCTCCGCCGAGACTGCTAAAGCGTTCTTGTTGTTTGTTTGTTTGTTTTGTTTGTTTGTGTTCGGTTTTTTTTTTGTTTGTGTATTGCTCTCCCCCGCACTTGGTTGCTCTGGCCGGAGCTTCCACGGGCGGTCTTGGGCACGCACGCACATGCCGTCTCCATAGACACAGTGGACGGTCAGCAGGCCGTGTGTTAGGGGTTCTGGTTTGGCTTGGTTGTCATGTCTCGGCTCTTTCTGCCGCCTTCCACCCACCGCACACATGCGCACAGGAACAGCAACGCACGAGTCGAAAAGGCTAATGGGATTCAAATTTTTTGATTGTAGACCAATGTCGCGGTACAACCTCAAGCTGGACCATCCACGAACCCTCAAGCATCATTGTCCACGCCAAATCTTGACGCTATTTTTGCCCAGCTTGACGGTGAGTTGAACGCGGTGAAAGCGAGCCTTTCTTTTTTGCAGCTTTCTTGGTGGCTTTCATAATCTGTGCGTGCGAATGAGTGCCTGTTTCTGACGAGCTTTGTGTTGGAATTTTTCTCAGCCGACGGGAAAGTGGCTTTTTGGCAGCTGCTGCGTGCTCAAGATCAGGAACGACAGCAGCTACTGGCTGATCTGCGTGCTAAAGATCAGGAACGACGGACGGAGCTGCAGGAACGACGGACTGAGCTGCTGGAGCTGCGTCGGGCTCATGAGCAGCTGCTTGAGAAAGATCGGCAGCTGCTTGAGAACCAACGTGATCAAGCTCAGCAGCTGCTTAAGAACGAACGTGATAAAGTTCAGAAGCTGCTAGTAGATCGAGTTCGTTTTCGTAAGTGCATCCGCTGCTCCCCCCCCCCGTCGGTATGCAATCTTGGTTGAAACTCAGTGTGAACGGCACGATATTTGGTAGTTTCTGAGATCGGATCGAGCACCAACGCAACCTTTGTAGCGCGTTTTGTCACAGAGGATCCTAACCCCACGTTGCGGACCAACCTCCGTGACTTGCGACTGCCACCCCTGGACAGAAATGCACTTCATCAAAAGTTGGAGGACGTCAGGAGCGATGCGAGCCGGACTGGTCACGAAACGGACATGCATTGGGCTGTTGCCAACTACTGCCAGGCCGTCTGCGAACAAGTTGGCGCGCAACTCAACTTTCACGCTAACAGTAGCACAAAATCTGCTGATGTAATTGCGACCACTTGGGCAGTTGATCGCGTTTCTCCCCGTGCGTCTCGTGCTGCCTCCGCTGGTTCTCGAGTGGACGTTCTCCTGTATTACAGCCGTTTGTTTGTCGAAGTCAAGAAGGTTTTTGCCGATGTTCAACATGCTCGTTTGCAAGTCGCCAGCTATGTGGCTCGCTCTCTGTTCAGAACAGGCGTGCCGGCGACATCCTGGCCAGACTTTCTTTACGGCCTCACTTGGTGCGAAGCCGACACGGTCTCTGTCACTCGAGTCGATTTAAAGCAGAATGGCAAGCTCATTGCGCCCAAGGTTACGTTTGCCGAAACAGAAGATCCAGCACGAGCAGTTCTTTTTGTGGTGTGGCAATCCATCCTCGCGCACCACGCCGCTGCAAAAACCAATGCACCATCAAACAGCGACGACCCGAATTCTTGGACATGCAACTTTGGTTGTACTGACCCACGCGCCGGAAATCCTGGCGCCGCAGCTCCAGGCCAGCCAAACAATGCAGCCGGCGGTGGCGCGCCCGCTGGTGCTGGAGGGAATGTCGTCACGACCAATTCCCTTGTTCTCAATTTGGTAAGGTCTCGTCTGGTTTGGATGTATCATCCGCATCATGTGCATCTTGTGCAACTCTTTTGTCTTCACTTTTCGCTTTTGGCTCTTGTTCTTCGACCTTGTGCAGACGACCGGCCCGCAACCTCTGCTCGATGCCCAGGTCTTTCATCGCGATTTCATGTTCACCGGCAAGCTCCGCCTGAACTCGAGCGAGGAATTCACCAACGTGGTGGTCAAGGTTGCAGCCGCAAATCGCAAGTCGCTCACAGAACAGCTGGCGCGAGAGGGCATGGCGCTAGCCCTTCTCAACCGTGACCGAAAGGAAGCTGCTGCTCATGGCATTCCCGAGCTGCTATCGTTCTGCACTGTCAATCTCGACGGAACCCCTGGCCTGGCGTTGGTCACGGGCCTCATTTCTGGTCACAGTGTGGACTGGATGCAGCATCAACCGTATGCGGCAAACTTTGCGTCTCAGGTCTGCGACACGCTTCGCTGGATTCATGCGCAAGGTGTGGTGCACGGCGACATTCATTGTGGAAACCTGCTCGTCACCGAGACGCAATTGCCCAGCTCAATTCCTCAGCAGCAAGAGACTCCGACCTCGACCCTCGTGCCTCCCAAATCCCCACATCTCTCGATTGCGTTGGTCGATTTTGGGCTTTCTTGCTTCCTTCCAGCTGTGACGCGCGAGCATGTGCAGGCAGCACTCTTGGCAGCGCCTGTGACGGTCGCAGCTGCTCAGGAGCTCCAACCGTGGCTCGGACATGTCGAGGCCAACTCGTGGAGCGTGTGGCCAAGCCACTTTTACCACATTGCGCGCAGTGACAGAGTCGCCACTCCGCAAGCCGACTTTCTCAGTCTAGGCTTGCTTGCTTTTTCGCTAGAAATCGGTGGCACAAGAGTCCTGGAGCAGCGGGCCCATCTGGACGACTCTGACGACGCTGTGGCTCGTGCTCAGCGGCGTCACTTCCTGCGCAATCAACGTCACCTTCAGTCACTCCTTGAGAAACCCACGGCAACTTTGACTGAGGTTCAGAAGATTGTTGCGCTTGCAGACGACGACGTGCCAACTCCTCCGGCTCTGGTGTAACCCCTTTCTCCTTGTGCGTCGTTCAACGTGTATTGTTTCAACTACCTACTCAACATAGTGTCTCATCCACATTCAAACGGCCCATCCATCCGCATGCTGCAAGGCGATCTGGTATTCTAGATCTAGTTGATTCTGCTGTCCGTCATTCTTCCATTCATCCTTCTCGCAAACTTGTAGCATGTGCGTCCGCTCGTAGATAGAGCAGCTAGCGGTATCCCAAACACATCACAAGTTTCCGATCGAAAAAGTCCTTTGCAGCCTGTACAGTATTTCCATTTCGCTCAATCTCACGCCAAAATCGCTTGGAACGCTCATCGTCGAGCCAATCGATGTCTTCTCTCACTTTTTTTCTCTTGTTTTTTAATTTTCTATTCTCTTCTCCTGTCACTTCCCGTTTTGGATTTCCTCACTCTTTTTTTTTTTTTTCATTATTTTCACACACAATGTCTGATTCCATCCTCAGCGCCATCGCTTACAAGTTCCTCACCGACGCCGGCCACACTGCCGCCGCCGCCGCCCTCAAGAAGGAGGTGGTACGTTAACTCCCTCCCTCTCTCTCTCTCTCCACACACACACACACACACACACACACACACATCGACCTCCTTCTCTTTCTCTTCCAGCCTCACGCTACAAAATCATCGAAACACAAACCCATGTGGCGCCCATGCTTTTTTTTTTTTTTTTTTTTTTGCCCAATAATCCATGTGGGTCCTTTGCTGTTCTGCCATTCAGCTTCCTGTCACTCTGCCTCGCTTCCACCCAATGTTCTCGCTTCTTTTTGGCTTTCGTGCTTTGCTTTTGCCTCGCTTTTGCATGGACGAGTGTGCATCTGCGCTGGCTGTGGGTGGCGCTGTTTTTGCGGCGTGGGTTGTTTATCCACATGGCGCTGGCTTTTTTGCTTCTTCTCCCCTTCTCCCCTTATTCCCCTTCTTCCCTTATTCCCTCTTTCCTACATTTACTCGTTCACTGCATCCTTACTGTCGCTGTGTCGTTTCTGGCGCGACGCTGATGGGACTCGATTCTGCTTCGTTTTCCCCGTCTGTGGGCTGAAACTGTGACGACGCTACACGCGGTGCCTTAGCTTTCCTTTCCCATTCCCTCTCTTCCCCTTTCCCCCTCCCTCTTCCCTTCACTCCTCGCTTTCGCCCCTCTCAAACCTTCACTCGACCTATGTTGCCTGTTCTTGTGTCGCTCCCGCTTCTCTCTGATCCCCCTTTTTCAATTCATCATCCATTTTGTCCACTTTTCTGTCGCCATGTGTTGTCTTTGCCTTTCGCATTTTGGCTCATCTCTCTCTCCCGTTTCCCCTCGTGTGTCCCAACTCGCAGAAGAAGCTCCCCTCTGCCCCCGAGGTCACTCTCGGCCAGCTCTTTGAGGCGTACCAGGCTCGCACCTCGCAGAAGCGCAAGGCTGAGGACGAGGCCACCCCCGCCGCCAAGCGCTCCAAGGACGAGTCGGACTCTGATTCCGATTCCGACTCTGACTCTGACTCTGAGGAGGAGGAGGAGACCAAGAAGAAGGCCGATTCCAGCAGCAGCGAGTCCGAGGAGGAGTCTGACGACTCTAGCTCGAGCGAGTCCGAGGAGGAGTCTGAGGACAAGGAAGACGAGAAGGAAGACGAGGAGGAGGAGTCCGAGGAGGAGGAGAAGCCCAAGTCCAACGGCGCTTCCGCCAACGGCCACAAGCAGCACAACGACGAGCGCTCTGCTCCTTCGTCCGTCCTCTTTGTTGGCAACCTCTCGTGGGCTGTCTCCAAGGACGACCTTTACAACCACTTCTCCCAGTACGAGGGCCTCACTGACGCCCGCATTGCTTGGGACCGCGACATGGATCGCTCCAAGGGCTTTGGCCACGTCGAGTTCAGCAACGCTGACTCTGCCGCTAAGGCTCTTGAGGAGCTCAACGGCTCTGACCTCGGTGGCCGCGCCATCCGCCTCGATTTCGCTGGCGAGCGCGCCAACGGCGGTGGCAACGGTGCCTCTCCCCGCGGTGGCGGCTTTGGTGGCCGTGGTGGCTTTGGCGGCGGCCGTGGCGGCTCTCCCCGCGGTGGCGGCTTTGGCGGCCGTGGTGGCTTTGGTGGCCGTGGCGGCTCCCCCCGTGGTGGCGGCTTTGGCGGCCGTGGTGGCTCTCCCCGTGGCGGCGGCTTCGGTGGCCGTGGCGGCTTTGGCGGCGGCAACAACTCCCGACAGACCTTCGACGATTAAGTTTCATAACTTGACGTCGTTTGTTTGTTTGTAGTTTGTTTTTTTAATCACACAAAAATTGTTTTTTATTTTTCCTGAATTGATGACTTTTTTTTTTCTCTCTCTTTCTCTATTCTTTTCTCCCTTTCCCTCATACTGAAATTGGAGGGAAAACAAAAGACAATCCCTTTTATGTGCTTTTTTGCCCCAACACACCACACCCGTCTCTGTCTGCCTTGATTTTTCTACTTGTTTTGATATTCTCGTGTCTCTGTCGCATTTGGCTTGAAGCTGCTGCGATTGTGGATTCCAACCGTTAATCCCGTGTACTATTAGCCAATACACACAATCCAATGGTAAAAAAAAACCGAAAACTTTGAATTTTATTTGCAAAACTTGATGTTCAGAGCAACAGGTACAACAGCGATAGATCATGCATCGGCGCTTCATGTGAAATGTGAAACACGGCAAAAACCAAATAAACGAGGCAACCATAACAATCGAATCAAACCAACCTGGCTTGATGGTTTACACGAGCCGTTCAGATGCTGGGGGCAACGAGTTCAGGCGAGCAGGGGGCGAAGGCGCCGATTTCACTTGCAGTACAATCTTGCCCGAGACATGACCGGTTGCACTGTAGTTCAAGGCGTCTTCCACGTGGAAGAACTCGAACATGCGATCGACGACAGGCTGCAATTGCGAAAAGAGAATCAGAGTCAGTAGACTGTTTTTTGTTGTTGCTGTTGTTGCTGTACTTTGTTTGTTTCAGCCAGACTTTTGCTTTCTCACCTGAATCGTCCGGTCTGCCAGCCATCGCGTAATACGCTGCAGCTGCTCTCCGCTTGGATGCATAAAGTAGTACTCGTAGCGAACGTTGTGCTTCTTGGCCGCCTCGCGACACTTCCAATGGCTGTATCGGCTTGCAGTCAGCAGGGACATTTCGCGGGGCCCGTGGTAGCCTCGCAGGCCGAGTGAGCGGAGAATGGTACGCGTTGGCAAGCCACCAATCTCAATGACAAGTCCATCAGGCTTGAGGCATTTCATCGAGTCGGTCAGGCATTTGCCACCGAGCGAATCAATCACCACGTCGAATTGCTGTCCAAGCACCAAGTGGTCAGTCCAGATGGATTTGAGTGAGTCACGCTGCGTGAGCTGAGACATCCAGGGGGGGGCGGTTGAACACTTTTATCTGGCTTACGTTGAGATGGTCTCGGAATCGCTGAGAGCGGTAGTCGACGACAATGTCAGCTCCGAGTGCTGCTCATCCCCCCCCCCAGCAACCAAGTCAGTGTACGCAGCCAAACGTTGCCCAACTAATCACGAGCAAGCTCGTTGCTAAGCCTCTTACCTTTGGCAGCATGCATGTTGCGAGCAGAACATGTCGTGGCAACAAAGCAACCGATTGTTTTGGCAATTTGAATGGCAAACGAGCCAACTCCGCCGAGTCCAGCGTGAATCAGCACTCGCTGACCGGCAGTGACTTGTGCAACGTCGACCAAACACTGGTACGCCGTCAGCGCGGCCAAAGGGACGGCTGCAGCGCTCTCAAAGGTCAAGTTGTTTGGCTTCAGCGCGACCGTGTCTTCGTGAGTCGCACAGTACTGCGCAAATGTTCCAGGACGATCGCATCGCGCAAGCACCTCATCGCCAATCTTGAAGCGGCTGGCGCGAGGACCGACGCGGGAGACGACGCCCGCGACATCAAATCCAAGTGTAAACGGTAGCAGGCTGCCCCTGACGACGGGCAAATCCCCGTCCAGCATTTTCCAGTCGATTGGATTGATGCCTGCCGCGTAGACCTGAATCGGCAAGAGCAGATGCAAGCGATACATGTCGAGTCAAAGTGAGATGAATTCCGTTCATGCAAAGTTTTCGAACGTTGCCAAAAACCAATGCACTCGATGCACTCGATGCACTCGATGCACTCGATGCACTCACTGACCAGTGATCAACATGACACGTGTGCTCTCTCGACACAGGTGCACACCACGGGCCAGGAAACAAAACCGTCTCCATGAAAAGCTCAACCACCTCCTCAAATCCCACACCAACCCCTTTCTCCGCTCTAGGCTATAATTTTTTGTTGTTTTCGCTTGCCAAGAGGATAAGCAAGTGCCGTTGGTCGCTCGACTGGCCACTGCAGGACTTTTGATAGGGTTCAACAAAGAACGCCAACTTCCTATTTGAGGTATGCGCCTCCTACAGCTGCCGCACTCACGCGTTCAAGGTGCTGGCTCGCTCAACTGCGTGCGCCAAATAGCCATACCTCAATCAACACGTCGTGATCGGCCAGCCGGGGAATGGGAGCGTTCGCGTTGGCGTGGATGCGGTGCATGCCCAACATAGAAGTAATCTGCATCGCGGTCATTGTCTGACGCTCTGCGTGCGCCACGAATGTGTCAGCCTGAGAATGGAAGACGCGCGCAGATGTTTCTGCAGCTCCAGCAGCAGTCGTGGGTGCAGCAGACACGCTGGGCTGCTCGTCAGTTGAGGCAGCAGCAGCAACTTCGGCAGGCTGCTCCTCGCGAATGACGGTCGACTGTAGAGCACTTGTAGGAAGCGGTGCGAACTGCGTCTTGGCCTCAGACCGCTTCTGAGCAAGTTCATGTGACACGGACGGCTCCATCGCGGGTGCCGAGACCACCAGTTGGCTTTCGGTTTGCGCTTCCGGCATGGTTCTGGGACTTTCGGGGTTTTTGTTTGTTTCCGCTTGACGAGGTATGCTTCGAGTACGCCTCAGTGACAAGAGTACGACGCTGCGAGCCTCGTTTTCAAGAAATGAGGAAATGAGGAATGGCTTGTAGGAATAACTGTCAACAAGGGCGGAAAAGGAAACAAAAAGGAACAAAGATTTTGGATGTGTGTGGTTTATCAGATTTCTGAGCGTTGCTTGCGGTTTTTGTCGTACTTTTTGCGTATTGGTGTTGCTGGTTTACTCATATACACTTGCTGCTCCACTGCGCAGTTGCAGCTGATGAATCACCGCTTCTGAGAGCGCTGCCGGAAACAAATTCAACACAAAAACTGGACACTTCCGGTGAATCTCCCAAAATCCCAAGTTCTCTCATCACTCTTCTCACTCGTTGAATATACTAGTCTTGTGAATAGAATGTCTCATTCTTACTTTGTTCATGTCCGAGTCCTCTGAGCTTGATCTCGGCTGGTACGAGCGATTCCAGCACTGGTCGTTGTCCATCATCCTCTGGATTGAACAAGATCCAGCGTCGGCCGTCCTTGTCTTTGCTATCATCATGTCGCCCATGATGCTCGTCTCTGCATACTCTGCCTGGGTCATGCTCAATGAGCTCACTGCCAAGAACAAGCAGCAAGCGGCCCTCGCTCGCGGTGCTTCACCAGCCGCCGTCGCAGCCAGCGCTCACTCTGCAGCAGCCGGGAGATCAGCAGCAGGTGCGTTTGGTTCTATGCTTCTCCTACGGTGACTTGTTGATGGTGTCATGGGGAGTCTGGTGATTGCTTGGTTTCCGTGTGCTCTCTCACCACTCTGAGTGCTGCACGACGTTGTAGGTGCTTCAGCAGGCAAACATCGGGCAAGACAAGGCAAAAAGAAGCACGATTGAGATTAGTTACAAAGTAATGGGTTTTTTTTGTGTGTGTCAGTGTCTCGCTGATTCGACACGTTTTGTTAACAATTGAAATTGGTAGTTTTTGTTTTGATTGTTGCAGCAATATGATCACTCCCATCGACATGAGCCTGGAGCAGAGTTGATGTTTGGTATTTGTGCTTGGTGTTGCGAGATGAAGGCACACCTTGTGCACATTGTGAACGGGGGACAAAAACAGGAAAAAAAAAAAACACATTGTACAAATTGTTGAACAAAGGAGCTGCAGTTCGAGTGTGATCACCGCATGAACATGGACAGTCGCACATTGCATGCATCCCCTTCGTTGTTCAAGACGCGCTTTGGCGATACACCTTGCGAAAACAAGGCTTCGTTCGATTCCAGCTTTCGGGGCCAAATATTGACAAAACAGGTCATTGCTGCTTCTGCTGCTTCTCTTGCTGCTGCACAAACTGTTGCAACGCAGCTTCAGAAATGCGCACCACTTTGCCTGTTGCCCGAGCGCTTGCAAAGTCGTCCTGGCATTGCTGGTAAGCGGTTCCAATCGCAAATCCGGTGCTCAGGTAGACTGGCGCCATACGACCTACCCAAGCCCCCGCAGTCCCAACATGGAATTCTCATCGTCAGATCTTACATACATGCAATGATGATGGGTTTTTGGTTGGACGTGATTCAACCAAAGCTGCAAATCTGCAATGGAGCCTTACGCTTGAAGAAGATCAGCGAGAGGACGATGCCGACGCCCGCGCCAACGCCTAAGCAAGCACAAGCAACACAAATAAAGTATAGCGAGTCAAACGCACACCGCAGAATTGAAACGTGAGCGAAACGCAGCACATCGAGATCAGAGCGTTGTTGGCTGGATTTGCATTAGGATTGGGACCGTGTCCGTCTTCTGGCTGCAGCGACCTCCTAAAGCGCTTCAACAGGTCGAGTCTCATATGAGGATGAGAGACTTGCCAGTGTGCACGAGCATGTTGGTGAAGCAGCGGTCCCACTTGGCGCCGAGCTGAGCCTCAGACGCGATCTGCTGCTGCTGCTTTGATTCAGTAGTGGTAATGTCAGAGCTCATGGATGATGACCAAAGAATCGACTGAAGCTGAAAATGCTCAGAAAACGAATAAAATAAGCATCCTCGAAAACTCGGACACTCAGAAGCATGAAAGAAAGAAAGAAAGAAAAAACGATGTGGAAAACAAAAAAGTTCACGATGCGTAACAAACTGAAACTAGCAAAAGCTTCACTCTTTGCAGCGCATTTCGTAACCCTTCCGTATAAACAATTTCGCCACTCTTCATTTCCACAAGAACAACTCCGACACTACAAAAACGCATCATGTCATCGACTGCTGGTCAACCGATCAAGTGCCGCGCCGCCGTCTGCTGGGCTGCTGGCCAAACCCTCAAGATCGAGGACATTGAAGTCGCTGCCCCGCGCGCAGGCGAGGTCCGCGTCAAGGTCACTGCGACGGGCGTCTGCCACACGGACGAGTACACGCGCTCAGGTTTGGGGACAAAGCATATGACAAGGGGGAGGGGGTCCGCGATTCATAGGAACTCGCATAGAGCTTTACTATGGAGATTGCAGTCGACTATCGTGGGGGCGGGGGACGGGGTTGGGATGACTGTGTGAGCTCACTCGCTGGAGAAAACGCTCCAAAACACGTTACAGGTGCCGATGCCGAGGGCGTTTTCCCCGTCATTCTGGGCCATGAGGTAACCAACACAGATTCACAAGAGTGGCAATGGCAGTAGTGCGTGCGTGGTACAAGCAACGAAGCTCACTTGAACGTTCAACCTGCTCCGATCTTGTCAATAGGGCGCTGGCATTGTCGAGAGCGTCGGCGAGGGCGTCACTTCCGTCAAGCCAGGTAACAACAGACCTTCAAGCCACTTCTCATAGTGATGCGCAGTTGATGCGTTTCATTGGGGTTGAGAGAACGCCATCAGTACGGTCGAGGGGAACGTGACCGAAAACAAACGCCCGCACTTACGGCAATGTCGCGTTTTTGCTTCCTTGTCGACAGGCGATCACGTCATTCCTGCGTACATTCCGCACTGCGGCGAGTGCAAGTTCTGCACCTCCAACAAGACCAACCTGTGCAGCAAGATCCGTGCTACGCAAGTAAGAAGTTGGAAACCTTTTTTGTTGGAACATGTCGTTGGTGTAACCTGTTGTTGTTGTTGTTGTTGTTGTTTCGTTCTCTATTAGGGCAAGGGTGTGATGCCTGACGGCACCAGCCGCTTCACTTGCAATGGCCAGACCATCTACCACTTTATGGTTTGTCTCGAGATTGTGGCACATTGAGACAAAAACCGATCCAACCTCACTTGTTCGGTTCACTCTGTTCATTGGAATAGGGCACCAGCACTTTCAGCGAATACACTGTCGTCGCTGAAATCTCTCTCGCCAAGATCAGCGAGACTGCCCCCCTTGAGAAGGTTTGTGGCAAGAGGAATTCTGTTCCCAAACCACGAATTTATTCTCACTCTTTGTTCCGCTGTCTCAGGTCGGCTTGCTCGGCTGCGGCATCTCCACTGGCTACGGTGCTGCTCTCAACACCGCCAAGGTCGAGAAGGGTAAAATCTCGGGGATACATCGAGTTTACATTGCCCTCCTTTTGTAACTCATCGTCGAATCTCTTTTTGATTGTAGGCTCTACTTGCGCCGTCTGGGGCCTGGGCGCCGTCGGTCTTGCCACCATCATGGGATGCAAGGAGGCTGGCGCATCGCGCATCATCGGCATTGACCTCAACGCTGACAAGTTTGAAGCTGCCAAGCAGTTTGGCGCGACCGAGTGCATCTCGCCCAAGACTCTTGGCGACAAGAAGCTGACCGATCACCTCGTCGAGATCACCGATGGCGGTCTTGACTACACTTTCGAGTGCATTGGCAACGTCAAGACCATGCGCGAGGCGCTTGAGAGCTGCCACAAGGGCTGGGGTCAATCCGTCATCATTGGCGTCGCCGCTGCGGGCCAAGGTTTGTGTCTCATAGCGTTGAGAGTTTTTGTGGTTTGTGTCTGATAGATTTTTTTTATTGTTCCTTGATCCAGAGATCTCGACCCGTCCGTTCCAGCTTGTTACTGGCCGTGTTTGGAAGGGCACCGCCTTCGGAGGTGAGTCGGGTTTTGAAACGGGCGCATTCCGATCGCTAATCTTTTCAATGCTCAATTTTGCCGCCTTCGACTTGTTATTCCTCAGGCTACAAGGGCCGCAAGGACATTCCCCACCTCGTCCAGCAGTACGAGCAGGGCCGCCTGAAGGTCGACGAGTTTATCTCGCACAACGTCCAGCTCGCGGAAATCAACCACGTCTTTGACCTGATGCACGAGGGCAAGTGCCTGCGTGGCATGGTTCACTTTTAAAAGAGTGGCGCCTTTTTTTTTTTTCGAAAGGTTGCTGTCGTTGTGTGCGGCGTTGTGCCAGAAATACAACGTGATCTATCATCGCACGCCATCTTCAGTTCATGTTTTTCTTCTGCATGGCAAGATAACGAACGACAGAGACTTCGAATTAAAGCAATCTTGATGAAATAATCTGATGAATCAAAAAAAAAACTTGCGCTTCACTCAACCATGGCGTTCGACGAATGCGTGCCGTTGGCCACGGCATCATTATCAATCAAATCATTGTCCCGATCGTCTTCGTACAACTCGTTTTCATGCTCGACCATCTTGTCGCTTGCGCGTTGGGAAATGCGCTCGTCTGGATCGTCTGCTTCGTCGTCTTGGTCTTCGCGCGGGATGAGGTCTGGCGGGACTTCGTGCATTTGAACACTAGGCGCGCCTTGCAAACTGCGCAGATTTTCGAGCACGCTGTTCTTGAGCTGCTCGAGATACGTCCGCGAGTTTTCGTTTTCAACGCGCGTGTTTGTGTCCGGATGCAGCGTAAAGTCCGGGGCAAAGTACTCGAGATAGTCGTTGAACGGGAGATCATTCGACACGGTCGTGTCCACCAGCAAGGAGGTCTCGTACGTCCAGCACCGCGCCACGTTGCGGATGGTGTAGCCGCCGCCTCCGACGACCAGCGTGGGCACGCCAAAGCTCTTGACAAAGTTGACACACTCGCCGTGGCCCTTGATGCTCAAGTTGAAGCAGCCGAGACGGTCGCAGCCGAGCGAGTCTGCGCCGCATTGCAGCACGATTGCCGTTGGCTGGTAGTTTTCCATCACGGCGCCAATGATGGGGTTGAACAGCATCTTGTAGGAAAAGTCGTCAATGCCGTCCTTGAGCGGCACGTTGATGCTGTGCAGCTTGCCCTTCTGGACACCCACTTCGTGCAGGTCGCCCGTGCCAGGGAAGAAGTTGTTGCCGTACTTGTGGAACGAGACGGTCATGACGCGGTCTGTCGTATAGAATGCCTCCTGCACGCCGTCTCCGTGGTGGATGTCGATATCGATATACAGCACTCGCGGGTGGTATCTGACGGAGAGAGTGAGGAGGAGGAGGTGAGGGTGAGCAACAGAAGACAAAAAAGCCAAAAACAAAAACAAAAAGCAAAAACAAAAACACTCGAGAAGCAGCGTTCCGGGTTCCAACAACAACAACAAACCCCCACATCCAAAGACTGCAAAGCCATGCGCATCATAATCATGCTCAACGTACTTTAGGAGCTCTAGAATGGCAATGACAATGTCGTTCACGTAGCAAAATCCGGACGCCTCAAACTTTTTGGCGTGATGCAGACCGCCCGACCAGTTGACTGCAATGTCGGACGTTTGTAGATTGAGCTTGGCAGCACCCTGGAGCGATGCGCCCGTGTAGATTGAGCAGAAATCGTAGACGCCGTCAAATACCGGGCAATCCTCGCCAACGTTAAATCTCGACAAGGCTTGGGAGAATTGGCTCAGATTATCCGGAGTGACTCTGTTCGTAGCGAGACATTTGTAACAAGCCATTGTCAACAATCATCAGAAATAACAATAAAAAATAAATCAGAAAATCCGGGTAAAAAAAATAAAAAATAAAAGCATATGGGCTTTGCATTGGGGCGAGCATTGGGGCGTGCATTGGAGAGAGCAATCCAGCATCCCGCTGCCTCCGCTCCTCCCGCTTCCTCCGCAAATCGTGATCATCCTCTTCTTCAGACTGATGCTGAACTCGAGTCGGGAGTCACGGCTGGAAGCGCGGCCCAATCCTTCGTCCACTCTCTGCACTTCAACATGATACCGCGCTCTTCGATCTCCAGCACAAAGACCCGGTTGATTCACCCCCCACTACGAACGTGCAGAGACGCAGGAACGCACCTCTTGAGAAAGTCAATGTAGTCCGGGGCGTGGAAGGTCTGCATGTCGCTGTCCGTCGCGCGTGAAGCACGGTAGACTTCCATCTTCTTGTAGAGACCATAGTTCAGGACGAGGTTGTGCGTCAGCGCCAGGCGGTGCGGCTTCATCGGGTGTCCAGGGCCGTAGTGGAAGTTGCCCACGTCCTGATCGTAAAAGTACGACACGCGGCGCTTGGACGTCATTCGGCGGGGGCAGTGGATCAATAAGGAGGACTGCCATTCTTAAAAAAAAAAAAAAAAAAACCAATCGTTTTGTATGGATTTTGCATTGGGTTGGAAGGTTTTTTTTTTTTTTTTTTTTTTTTTTTTTTTTTTTTTTTTTTTTTTTTTTTTTTTTTTTTTTTTCCTTGGATTGTTCGATTGTTTGCATTGCACTAACTTGTTTGACCCTGATGGTACGGATTGTTGCACAGTGCGCGCAGCTGAATTTCGCAGTGGTTTCATTTGTCAACAAAACACAAACTCAGCTCAGTCCTCCATTTCTGTGCGCGGCAAAAAACGGAACTTTGGTCTCAGAACAATCGCTGATGCCAACCCACGACTAAATGTCTGTCGTTGGATCAGCACTCTCGCCTGCAGTGTTTGGAGTGCTCGTGGCGCCGTTCCGTGGTCGGGACTGCGAGAATGACAGACTGGTCGCTTTGGCGCCAAATTTGACCGCGATCGGACACGAACCCGGCGTCGCTGCTGCCGAGCGGGCATCATGGACGCTAGACCAGCATTCAGAACATGCAGATGCATTGTCACAGCCACTCCGGTGGTCGGACACGCGGCTGTGCGAGTCGATTGCAGCCACATTGCGTCAGAGCGTTCATGACCCGTCGCCAGCAACCACCGACACGGCCATTCTGAGAAGTGCGGCATTGCAATTGAGTCAAACCATTGCTCAAATTCCAGCTCCGACCGCTAGCCAAGTCGCGAGGCTCAGACAAGGACTTGAATGGATGTCTCAGCATCAGGTGCGTTGGAAATTGTCAATCGGCTCAGAACTCTCACCTCCACAGCAAGCACCTCACACTCGGAGTGCATTGTAATAATGTTTAGGTGATACACGTTTCTCTGGACGCGTGGATGGGCAACACGTTTGCCTCTGCCAAAATGGCCTGCGCTCTGGCTATGACTGCGCATCTCGAGCGATCTTTAGCAGATGTAGGTTTCATTCGATCAGCCTCCTTGTGCGGCTGAGGTGACCCTGACAAAATCTTCACCCATCCCACAGGTCTGTCGGTGGCAAGGCGGGACAAGACCGCTGTTGTTTCGAGATTTGCTGCTGGTGCCTGAACTTGTCGAGGTTTTTGGGCCAGATACCGTGCGTACTGTACTGTTCTGGTTTTTGCGGAATGATCTGAAAATCTAGTCATCTCATGTGCCGTGCGCTTTTGCTGTAGATCTTTTTGCTCCGAGTGCTGTTAGGCCCACCTGCAGGATTGAATCTGCGCAACATTATCTGGCATGGATTTCTGACTGTTGACGAGCTCGCAGCGCCACTCGTCTGGTTTCTCGTTGCCCTTTGTGGCCAGCTGGGGCAGCAGCTGAAAAGCCACTCCCAGACGTGTTCATTTGTTGCAACTCACGCCAGCGAACTGAAATCCTTTGCTGCGTACAATGACGCACTCATGCAGTCGTTCCCCGCAACCGGTATGGCTTTGGTGCTGGAAACAGCTAAAACCTGTGCAAGATTGCGCGTGTGCCCTTCTTTGTTGCTCATTGGCCTTGATTCTGTTGCTTTCAAACAGTGGAGTTTCCCCTTGATGATGCTCGAATGGGAAATGACGCCGTTCTGCTGCTTCAAACCAGCACGCTGCCGTTTTCGCGGTACTTCGGTTCCATTCTTCTTCTTCCGCAGCTGGAACACGCCTTGCGCATCAGGTTTGTTGAGACCAACAACTGTCCTGGCAGGCTCCTCACCGCCGAGCCCGACGAGCTGTTTACCACGTTTACCGAGATTCTGAGCACGTCCTCGACAAATCTGCTGGTTGAGCATCTGCCACGACAATTGCTGGTGAGCGTTATTCTGGTTTTTTTTTTTCAATCATCGACTTGAGCACCTTGAAACGCGACGTTGCACTCACCGCGCTGGTCCCTTGCGCAGGAGCTCTTGCTGGATTTGCTCGTGTGCCAAACAGGACCGCGCATCCGCGATCGGGTATCGCACGGAGATGCCGATGTCAGCAGCATTACTGATGGTGTTGCTCGAGCGCTCTTGAATCTGGTAATCAGCTTGCAGTCGCCCGAGTCCAAGTCGCTCGAAAGCTATCGCTCCCTTTATCACCCACTAGTTGCGGTCGAAGACAGCATCAGCGATGGAATTGAGGCAATCCGGCAATGCTCAGTTCGGTGGACGGAGGCACTTCAGCATGGATTGACACTTGGAGAAAATGCCATCGATTTCGAGCTGTTGCTGATGCAGTATCAAGAGTCGTCTGCTTGTGCAGACATTCATGTGGCGTGGCAATCTCTTTCGGAACATTTGGAGCTGACGTTCGGGCTTCGTCCGCTAGAGCCGATACCCCCAAGCGAAATGCAGCCAGAGTCGCTCCTCGCTTGGTGGCCTGTTCGGACTCTCCGGCCATCGCTCGCCGTGCACAACTCTAATCACATGGAGGTCGCCCAAACTTTTCGACTCGCTGCGTGCACCATCCCAGTGATGCTCGACGCGGTGAGATGAGGAAAAACATTTTCACTAAAGCGTTTTTTGTTTTTTTTTGTCAGTCTTGGCAACCGGTTTTGCTCACCTGACATGTATTTTGTTGTTGCGCGCAGATCAATTCTCATATTTCGTTGCGATTCATGGAGAGAAATCCCGAAACGTTGAATCGCGGACAGTGGCAGACTCTGATGGCCTGCTTCACGGCGCTTCCAGCGCTTACAAATGCATGCGCCGTGTATCTCGCGTTCGTCAGTGTGTACTTGTTTCGACTGAGACAGCGCCTGCCCCAAACGCGCGCCGCAACTGACCTCTTGTCCAAAGTCGCCCGAGCATCACTAAGGCTGTTCGAACGAGCGAAAGCACGCAGCCTTGGAAATCGATTTCCAGATGCAGTCCAGGCCGTCCTCGAGCTCGTTCAGACACTCCCAGTGCACCTTCAAGGATGTTTATTGCTAATGCAAGGCGAAATACAATCGCAATAGCCCTGCATGCAGCTCTTTCACTTCAGCATGTTTTTTTTTTTTTAACTCTAATTCTTCTAATTTACACTTGCATGAATAATTCACACCATTTGGCCATGGCTAAACAACCCCTCGGCGCTGTAATACTTTTTGTCCTTTAGCTTTAGGAAGGGACAGTACGGCTTGTCGTCGTTGTCATCCTGGTTTGGCGATTGCCAGACTTGCTCAGCCAGAGGTGGAAGCGTCACTTCCTGGATCCCGTCGTCCGATCGCTGCTTGACAGTGGTGAGCTCTTGCCCGTTCTGGTCCGTCGGACGAATGGACACATGTCGAACGCCGAAAAACGGCTTTTTGCACACGTGAGTCGCGACAATGTCGACGGGTTTGCTGGCGATGGGGCCAAGCTCAAAGTCAAAGCTGTCGTGATTCGGAAATGGAGCCAGCTCCCCGTGTAGTCGATGAGCGTAAATCGTCCACTCGGGTGACATGTACCGGATGGACACGGGCGCACAGTAGAAAAGAACAGTCTGCCATTCGTGCAATCCTGGTTGCGGCGAGCACCGGCCAGTCCCATACACTTGCCCAGCACGGATGATTTCAGAGTATGCTTGAAATGATGTAATCCACGTGAGTTCGGAGGGATCGTTGTGATGAGCGCCCTATCAGAGAGAACACGACAGCCTCAAAAAGTCAGGCTTCCATCAACAACAACAAAAAAACCATCAACAAACAACAACAAAAAACTCTAGATCTACTGGCTCCCATCTCCTCCTGCCCGCACCTCCCCGACTCCACTTACAGTCACAGCAAGATCACTGAAGTGCGACGTCACAAAAACAGTCATTGGGTTGCGCTTGAGGAAATCGAGCAGCGGCTGAACGAGAAAGCCCTTTTCGTACAAAATGTCCGGTCGCGAGGACATGACAATGTCGCTTTCGCCGGGATTCAGCGCGCCGATATTCGGAAGCTGGGAAAGCATGAGCAGCGCTCGATGAACGCCCACCCAGCTGCGATAGCGCTCGGATGCAAACGCTCCGCGGACCATCTCTTGATCGCCGACGACGGCGAGGTATGGTACCTGGAGCGCCTTGAGTGCCGGCTCAATCTCGTTCTCGAAAATGCTCACAGGAGTACCGTGGATGCGAGTTTGATCAGCGACGTATGTGGCAGAGTTTTCCTTCCACCAGGTGTCGCGGTACGGATCATCCAGGAAGTGCCAAGTGTACTCGGCCAAATACACTTGCGCTCCCTGCGCACGCATCGCTTTGACAAAGCTTGCAAAGTTGCCTAAATTCTTGCCCTGTGTTCGCAAGTGTCCAGCCATCGCGACAAAGATGCGTGTCTGGGTCTCTGGCGGGCTGGGCGGCGGAAAGTCGGACGCGAAAATCCGAGTGACCTGACTGAGATCCAGGAACTGTGCTGCCAACTGCAGCTTGGCGGCATCCGAAGATGCGTTCATACCACCAGCACCACCACCAGCAGCAGCACCACCAGCAAGACCGGTAGCGAGCTGGCGCTTGGCTTCCAAAAGCTCGGCGCGAAGAATCGAGTTGTCACAGCGCGTCGCGCCCCACGACGGCCGCACCAGCAGCGCCAGTGTCGCCAGATTGAACAACAGCAACAACAGCAGCACGACTACCAGCTTGGTAGCAAGTGGCCGTGATGCCAGCGCAGTGAACGACATGTGCTTTTGCGCTGTTAACGGTACAATAATTTAACCGAGTGTTTTGATCTGTTTTTAGACAAAGTGGAATGAATGAATTTGACAGCTCTGGGAACGATTGCACTTTTTTGGCAATTCTTTTTGCTTCTTCTCTCTTACGTCCTTCCCGTTTATCATTGATTGTCAGCATCAGCAACTCCATCGCATCCACATCGAATATGTAGATCAACCTCAGTAAATCAATACGATGAAGATCCACTCTTGTTTTTTTCCCGTTCAATCGATAATGCAGAACGACGACTTTATCCAGCTCGAGCACATCAGTTCGCCCGATCCGCAACCGGGCGACGAAGAGGCCGACATCCTCATGTCCCTGCCATCCGGTAAGCTTCTCCCAACCCCCCCCCCTAAAAGTCAAACCAAACCTTGGCACCAAGCGTTCGGGTGACGCGGGCGGGCAGGGCAACAGCGAAATTTGGCGCGAATTTGACGTCATTTCTCAGAACACGGGACCACCAGCTGTGTTTTGGCTTCTTTCCCCCCCCCTTTTCTATTGGCTTGTTTGCTCATCTCGCTGTGTCTTGCTTGATCTTGTCCATCAACGCTATCCACAAGGCGTGAACGTGTTTGGCGTGGACGCGAACGGCTCTTCGCAGACGACGCTCCTGCTCGAAGACGCCCCATTGACTGTGTGCCGCTTTCGCCACTCGCACGCTGCCTCTGCCTCCCCTGCTCCGTCATCATCGGGAGCGCCGTCTGCGCCTGCGTTCGAAGAGACGCTCGAAGGCTTTCTGCAGTGCGCCGAGTGGATCTTCCCGCTGATGCGCGACTCGCCCGTCCTGCGCGCTGGGCCGCGATTCTACATCTTCCCAAACCCACTGCGCGACGAGTCGCTCCCAGCGCACGACCAGACGACCGCTACTACAAGCAGCTTGCACACGGCCGAGTTCACCGGCCTCATCCTGGGCTACTCGATCGAGGACAACTACGTCCGGCTGCTCGAGGAGATGATGCGCCACTTTTGCGACTTTCGCGATGGCGGACTGAGTGCTTCGTCGTCGTCGTCGTCGTCGTCGTCGTCGTCAAGCTCAGCGTCATCGGCACGTTCGTCCTCCATCAACTACAGAAACCCGTCCAGCTCCAGCGCCGCCAGCACGTCGAATAGCGCGCCCGTCTCTCGTTCGAGCTCTTCCAGCGCCTCCGACGTAAGAAAGCATCAACCCCAAAGATGCTCAGGTGTGCAGAGATGCTCAATCTGGTTGTTTTGGTTTTGTGCTCTGTTGGGGGGCGGTGGAATATTCGATGCAGTCTGGCTGGTTGGCGACAGGATTGGCGTTTGGCAAAATCGCGTTCGAAAAGGCCAAAGAAGCTTCCACGGCTGCTGCTTCGGCTGCCAAGATGCAATACGACGCGTATGTGAATCTGCAATATCTTGTTGAAAGTGCAGTTGCTCGGCGTGTTGCTGACTGCAGGTCGGCATCTCACAGATACCAAGAACGGAATCGTGTTGCTCGGGTCCAGCTCGACTCGGATGGGTCCATTCTCACAGCCAAGAATGTTGTTGCCTACCTGGTGAATGCACAGGATGAGTCTAAGCTTGCTGCTCAGGTATGCTGCGTTTGGAGGGGATGGCAGAAAAGCGCGCAGACATGCTCAAAATTGCTTGTCGTTCTCACCCTTTTCTGTTCTTTTTTTCTTTCTTTCTTTTTTTCCTTCTTCAACCACCAGGGCGAACTGAAGCTGTTTTCGAGCGAGGCAGATTGCAAGGTGCAAATCCGTGACTTTTCCATGTCGTTGACAGAAGTCACAAAGTGCATTCGTGATCGCAGCAACAAGGGCTTTAAACTGCTCCTGCGAAACGCCAGTCAGCTCTTGCTGCTGTTTGATACACGATGTCCCGAAGAGGTGTTTGACAAGTACGCCTTTTTGTCGTCTGCACAATTTTGTCGACCGTCTGATCAAAACGATCATTGAGCTGAGCTGATGTTTCTGTCTCTCGATCTTTGCTCTTTTTTTCATGGGGTGTGTTTGACAGATTTGAAGAGGTCGCGCGTCGCTACATTGGCGAGGCTGCAGTCGTCCGAACTCGAACTGCTAGTGAAGAAGCCGATTGGGCCGACTACATCCAGCAAGCCCTTCAGCGCAGCTCGGTTTGGATTTCAGAGACGGCCGTTCGCGGTGCTGCCGGTATGACTGACTGACTGACTGACTGACTGGAGCGATGGACGCAGCTTGCTCGATCACGCCAACTCATCATTTTTTTTTGTTTGCGACGTTTCCATTCTTCAGTTGCCGGACAAGTTGTGGTGCAAGGGGGCGACAAGCTGATTTCCGTCCTTCCAAAGTCGGAGCAGCCTGCTCGCGTTGATCACCAAACGAGTCGGAACTTGCAATATGCCAAGACGTTTACTGGTACTGAACTTGTGTCGTGTGCTGAATCGTCGTCGTCGAATTTTGAGTGTGCCATTTCTAACTGACGGCGTGGCTGCTTTCTTGCTTTTTTTTCGAATCTTCTCGCCACAGGCGGTGTTGTCAAAGTCAGCTCGGTTGTCGTCAAGGGCGTGCACAAGGTCGCCTCACACGTGGCCTTGCAGGTCACACCGCACATCAACAAGGCCCTGTATGGCCCGCAAGCAACCGAGCAGACCAAGCCGAGCAATCTGCATCGTGTGGCCGCCTCGGGTGCTGTTGCAGTTCACACGGTGTTTGAAGGTCTTGAGCGGGCTGCGGAAATCATTGGCAAGGACGTGCGCTCCGCGACTGTTGCCGTGGTTGCACACCGCTATGGCCGCCCAGCAGGCGTGGCTGCTGGCGACGCCATGGACACTGCCGGCAATATCGGACGCGTTGCCCTCAACACGCGCAAGATTGGCACGGGCGCGTTTGTGCGAATGACTGCAACCGAGGCCAGCAAACAAGTCTTGGCAGGCAATCAGCAGCGTCCAGAACAGCCGCAAGGTCCTCCTGCCCTGTCCGCGCCAGCCTCCATGCCTGCACTGGAGGCTCCCCGCTCGAGGCCCATGATTGAGGCTGCTGCACCAGCAGAACCTGTCGCACGACCAGTCTCGGCGCCTGCGCGTCCTGTTTCACCGCGTACCAGCACTCCGCAACGCCCTCCGCCACCGCAGTCCAATGCTTCACAACAGCGTGTGATGATGACAGAGTAAATGGGGGCCCATTCTTTTTCCTTTTTTTTTTGAATTTTTGATCATGTTTCGGATTATTTTTTTGCCACTTGTGTTTCAGTTGATGCATTGCAGTGTGTGTTTTTGGTGGTGTGTATCTATTGTTGTCCCACTTTGTGTTTAGTTCATGTCTTGCAAATTTGTGCAGGTTTGCATTCTTTTGTTTTGTGACGTTGGGGCTTATTAAACAAATTGACCGTGTGCAACTAGTCCCTCGGTCCCGAAGTACTTTGTGTTGGTGTTTTGCCGGTTGATGTATGGACAGTAAGGAATGTCGTCGTTGTCGTCGAGATTGGGCGACATCCACACCCTCTCCGTCAAGTTGAAGGGAACCTCCGAAATCCCCTGCGCGGTCTGCTGAAATACTGTGGACGCCGGCAACCCGTTCCTATCGATAGGAGCAATAGGCACATGCCTCACACCAAAGAATGGCTTTTTGCAGCGATGCGTCTGGACGAGATCCAGCGGCTCGCCCGAGACGAGAAGGCGCCCTCGACCCCATGCATTCCGGTTGGGAAATGCTGCCGTCTCACCGCTCAGTCTGTGATAATGAATAGACCAGTCTGGAGAGAGGTAGCGAACGGTGACTGGCGCACACTTGAACATGAGCAGCTGGAATTCGTGCAAGCCTGGGTTGCTTGTGCCAAGGGTGCATGTGCTGACGTCCATGGTCTGCACCGTCTGAATGATTGCATTGTACCCTTGCACTGATGTAATCCAGTTGAGCTCGCAGGGGTCGTTATGATGTGCGCCCTGTCGAGACAGACCAAGTTGAGCGAAAACCAAGGCGGCAAACACACACGCCATCTCAACAAACAAAAAAAAAACGTACCGTCTTGGTTGGATCGTGGTAGAACGACATGACAAACACAGTCATTGGGTTGCGCTTCAAGAAGGCCACGAGCGGTCGCACCGCAAAGCTCCGCTCATACAGCACGTCGGGTCGGGTCGACATGACAATGTCTGCGGGAGCGACGGTGAATCGTCCGCTGTTTGGCATGCGAGGGAGCAAATGCATTGCTCGATGGACCCCGACCCAGCTGCGAGCACGATGGGAGTGAAACACACCACGCTCTGCTTGTTGATCGGAAACCACAGTCACATACGGAATCTGCAACCGACGAAGCGCGGGCTCGATTTGCTTTGCAAGAATGTCGACCGGTTTGCCGTGGATCAGAGTCTGCTCCTTGACCAGTGCAGACCCGTTCTTCTTCCACCAGCTATCCTGGGGAGCATCAAGATCCGACCACAAGTACTCGGCCAGGAAAATCTGCGCGCCCTGCGCTCGCATCGGCTCGACCCAACTTTCAAAGTTGGCAAGGTTCAGCGCCTGCGAGCGAAGATGCCCCGCCATTGTGACGAATATCCGACTTGTAACAGCAGGCAATGGAGCTGGAGCAAAGTCGGATGCAAACACGCCCACGACCCTTGCCAAATCTTGGAATCGTTCCGCCAGCTCGGGCAACTCGAGATCAGCTTGGACTGGGTTTTCTGGAGGCGAGGCCAGTTGTGTACATGGCACGTCGATCGCGTCCTGCAAACTGATGCTCTGCACGAGCTGCTCCAGCTGGCGTCGGGTGTCCTGCAGCTCCGTCTCGAGCGACGCGATCGTGTCTTGGTGGACGGATTGTTCGGCCTGTTGCGTGTCCCACGGCCGCAGAAGCACCACGGTTGCGATATTGCACACGAGGAGCAGTACTATTAGGACATTGTGAGTCTGTTTCGATCCTGGCGCCATTGCAGCGGGAGCGAACAGGGAGAAGGGCGATTCAGGTTTTCCTCCCAATGGAGCAGAACAGAAGACTGCGGTTGAACAATACAAGTTAGTCTGGCGGTAATACTAGTAGCAAATGCGATACTCTACTAGGTCAGACATTGAGCACTAGCAGCATGCCGCCGATAGCTTCTGCTGGACAGCAATTGAACATGCTCAAGCCAAGCTGCTTTTTGCTTCCAAACCATTTTTAACGAGTACCATTTTCCATGTGTTTATGACGTTGATGCGTGATTCTTTGGACTCTGGAGTAGTAGGAAAACCCAATTCAAGTCAATGCAAGTCCAGTCATTCAAATCTCCAACAGTACAAGTTTAGCTGGAGAGCGCCTTCTTTTGACCGTCCTTACCCCGACCCTCCCATCCCAAGACAACCATGAGTGCATCTGGGCTTGCCATTTCGAATGCGTCTGCTGGCGGCGGCAACCCGAACAGTGTGGCTGGCTCGTCGCCTCCGAATCTTGGCTCAATGTCACCGAGCCGTGCTCAAGCTCAAGCTCAAGCTCAAGCTCAAGCTCAAGCTCAAGCTCAAGCTCAAGCCCAAGCCCAAGCCCAGGCTCAAGCTCAGCTGCAGGCCTACCAAATGCCACCCAGCGCAATGGTGCCTGCGCTGTCCCTTCCGCAAGCGCCGATTCCCACCGCGACAATGCCGTCGAGCACAGCGTCGTCATTGCAGACGCAGCAGTCGATGGACGGCAACCAGGTGCTTGGCGCGACAACGCACGTCAGCTTTGTCTGCCAGAAGTGCTCGCTGCCGCTCAAGCTGGACGCGTCGCTGGCGGACATGGACCAGGAGACGTGCGCCAGAATGGCCCAACAGCTGCTGCAACCGCCGTCTCAAGGTAGGTGGGCGTCGGCCATGTTTGCTCAAAAAAAGCTTGATATTTGCATTACGAGCAAATTAGTTTGGGGCGGGGTGGTGTGATGGTAACGGGAGGCGAGGCGGAGAGGGTACAGCTTACTTCGCTGCACTGACTCTCACTTTTGCTTGCTTTTTTGTTGGTTTGTGCCCTTCGAGCAGGAGACGCTGCTGATGGCGATGGACGACGAGCCAGCCTGACTCCAGGCGTCGGGGCATCGCAGGGACCCGCGACTGGCGGTAGCAGCACGCTGACACCTTCGTCGTCGTTTGCAGCAGTCGACCTTGCAACGAGTGGCAGCTCTACCCCCACCAACAAGAAGAACAGCAGCCTCAAGTACAGAATCCGAGCAGCGAGCAGCTTGTTTGACTTGATGTCGAGCATGGGCGAAGTCGACCACCCACTCTGCAAGGAGTGCAGCGACCAACTCGTCGAAAGCCTCGAAGATGACTTGCTGGATGCAGAGCAAGAGCTCAACTACTACCGCGAGTTCTTGGCACGGTCGCAGGAGGAAGATGCCGATCCGCGTGACAGCGCACTCGAGCGTGAGGAGCTTCAAAAGCTGCGCTTTGAAGAAGCGGGTCTGCAACAGCGAGTCTTCCAGCTGGAGACGGATCGAGAGATTGCCAGTCAGGAACTCGCCTCTCTGACTGTGCAGCAAGCTGAAGTTGATCGCGACAGCGAAGTCTATTGGAAAGAGTACAGCGAGTTCCAGCGGCAACTCCGCGAGTTTCTCGAGGAGCATGATTGGTATGTTTGTTTGTTTGGTTGTTTGGTTGGTTGGTTGGGGGGTTTTGATCAGCGTGTTTGTGTTGTCATCTGACCTTTTGCTTCGGGGGTTTCTTCTTCCTTGTGTGTAATGCAGTATCGAGATGCGTTTGCAAAATGCGTCAGCCTCGCTGAGCCGATTGAACAAGACCAACATCTACAACGATACGTTCCACATCTGGTTTGAAGGGCATTTTGGCACGATTAATGGTTTCCGGCTCGGGCGCCTGCAAAACAGCCCGGTATGTTTGTCACTTTCCTCGCATGGCGTCGTGCGGAAGCTTTGAAATTTTCGAGGGTGTCATTCTCATTTCGTGGGTTCAGGTCGACTGGGCTGAAATCAATGCGGCGTGGGGCCAAACCGCTCTGCTTCTTCAAAGCATGGCTGAACGTCTCAAGTTTACATTCAACAAGTACGTTGAGATTTTTTGAACAAGAGGTTTCGTGTGATTTTGTGGTTTTCTGGAGGCTCTCACTGACCTGTTTGGAAATCCAGGTACCGAATTGTTCCGCTTGGGAGCTACACTCGGATTGAAAACGTTGAAGATGAAACGCGCTTTGAGCTGTAAAGATCCGCTGATCTATCTTTGCTCGTCTTTGCTCTTCATGCTGTGCTCACTGCCTTCATGCCCCTGCTTTATTTTTCTTGTTTTCTCTAGGTACTCGACCGGAGCCTCAAAGCTGTTCAACTTTGGCCAGTCCAGCTTTGACAGCGCCATGATTGCGTTTTTGGACTGCTTGCAACAATTGACGCTTCATGTCGAGAGTCGAGATCCTCAGTTCCATCTGCCATATCCGTATGTTTCGACTGCACATCACGACTGCTTGCGTTGTGTTGCGACTCTTGTACAGCTGACTGACTTTGTTTTTTGTTTCGACTCGCTTTGCTTGCGACAGTGTCGTCAAAGACAAGATTGGAGAGCAGTCCATCAGGTTTGTCAACTCCAAGCTGGAAACGTGGACGAAGGCACTGAAGAACTTGTTGACGGATTTGAAATGGTGCTTGGCTTGGGTGAGCAAGATGATCCCCCAATAAGCTCAGTGGTGTTGAAACATCTCTTTGTGTTAATACTATACTTTTTTTTAAACAACGAATCGCACGAAATCGAAAAATGAAAAAATGTCGTGTCTCCGCCCGTCTCACCTCCGTGGAATGGTCTGTGGATCGATGGCCTCGCCATGGGTAAAGAATCCCTCGGCTCCATACATTTCGGTCTTGACTCGGTCGATGAACGGACACAGAGGAACGCCATCATCACCGTCATCGAGATTGAGGGATGGCATTCGTCGCGAAACGCCCGGTTTCACCTCAACAGTCGTGTTGCCAGTGTGGGTGAGTTGGCTCAATGTAGAAATAACCTTTCCTCGTTTCGAGACCAGCTCAAGTGGCGTGCGCTGAAAGCCGCGGAATGGCTTTTTGCACACTTGCGTGGAAACAATGTCAAATGGAATTGGATCGACCACCAGGTGGCCCATGTAAGGAAAGTCTGCCTGCGGGAAGCGGTGCGTCACGTTGTGCAGTCGATGGAGAAATACTGGCATTTCTGGCGCAATGTACCGCAGCGTGACTGGAGTGCAAGTGAACATGAGCACTTGAAACCAATTCAAACTCGGGTCGGCTCCCGGTGAACACGGCCCTGCCCGGCCAAAGCTTTGCAAGCTGTAGACGAATGCATCCTGTGCCTGCACAGTGGTAATCCATGTGACGTCGGATGGGTCGTTCTTGTGCTCACCCTGCAGCATTTCACAAAAGAAAAGCACAGCCACAAATGAGCGCCACCACTTTACGAAAGTTGTCAGGCCAACTCTGATGGCATAATCAGCTCACCGTGTAAGTGCGCTCGTGTGAAATGACAAATATTGTCATGGGATTCCGCTTCAGAAAGGCAACTAACGGCGCCAGTTTCAGCGACTTGACAAACAGCACATCCGGCCGAGTCGACAAGACGATATCGTGCGGGTGCATTGCTACGCCCTCCTGTTGCGCCAACAACCGCGTCGCCCGATGCGCGCCTAGCCACGATCGAAAACGGTTGAATTCAAAATTGCCCCGCTCGGTGGCGCTTTGTCCAACGACAACCAAGTGAGGAATCTGCAGTCGCTTCAATGCCGGCTGAATCAGATTGGACAGAATGTCCCGTGGCAGACCGTGGATCTTGGTCTGCTCGGCGACATAGTCCATTTCGTTATGCTTCCACCATGTCGCTCGAGTATCGTCGTCCAGCTTGGACCAGGTGTACTCCGAGACAAAGGCCTGGCCGCCTTGCTCCCGCAGCGACGCGACAAGGCTCTCAAAGTTGCGCAAATTCCGCCCTTGAGAGCGCAAATGGCCTCCCAGCTCAATGAATATTTGATGCGGATGTGTGGAAGAGGGCTCGGGCGGGCTGATATCCGAACGAAAGATGGCGGCAACTTGAGCCAAGTCCTGGAAGTGATTCGCCACAGACTGATCTTGGTCTGAAAGAGCAGCCTCGGACGCAGGCATGGATTGGTGCGACTGGCAATCGCATTGGGGCGTTGGCATGGCCGGTTGGTGCGCTTCTGCCAACCGACGTCTGAGCTCGAGCAGCTCAGAATTGGCTTGCTCCAGCTGGAGCAGCAACGCGCTGTTTGAGTCGACAACAACGCCGCCGCCGCCGCCGCATGTGTCACTATTCAGCGAGATGGAGTTGGCTGGATGAAACGGATGCCACCAAAAGCAAGCAAACGCGAACGCCGAGACTGCGAGCACAGCCGCAAGCCGGCGAGCGCGGGTCATCTGTTGGGCGATTCGACAACACGCACAAGAGTGACTGACTTTGGCACGGGTCGAAGAATACCATGTATAGAAAAGATGCAACGTCAAAAACCAATGTGCTTTTATTGAGCAATGATCACACCAAAGAATAGGCTACCTCAAGATTCACAACTGGGGCTTGAGCCAGGCCTGCAGATATTGAACAATGCTGGCCTGAATCGCTTTGACATTGGAGCCGTCGGGCTTGCACAGAGACGTGTCGCCATTGGTTTGAGCCGGAGACTGTTCGTTCGACAATCACATCAAAAACAGACAAACGCATAGCTCGTGAGGACTCCAGCAACTATCTTCCAGCAAACAACAACAGCAACAACAACAGCAACACGAAAAACAAATCATGACATCCATCATTTCTTACCTGAGGGCACCCGCGCATGTCCACGCCGTGGCCGCAGTTGTCGCAGACAGCAGTTGCAGTGGGTCGCAAGGGGTTGTTGGAAACCTGGAGTGTCACGTTTTGCCAAGGATCTTGGGCGCCGTTGGTGAAGAAGGTTTGCGTCGAGGCAATGTTGCGCGCGCCATAATATTCGTTGGTGGCGTTGATGACCGGGGGCCAGACGCCAAACACGTTCTGGCACAAGGACTGATAGTAGTCGATGGTCAGCTGGCGCGAACGAATGCTAAAGCCGGCGGGGGCGACCTGGAAGTAGCCCATTTCGGCGCACGTCTGGTACGTCCACTGACGCGCGCCAGAATCGGGACCCGCTTGCACTTGCTTGAGGTACTCTTGGCTGTATGAGAAGGGATCCACCTCAAAGATGGTGTAGAACGAGGTGGTCACGTACTGCGCAAACGCCAGGGTCATGTTCTGGCCAGCTTGGAACGCCTGGACAAGCGGCGGGCACATGGAATCCTTGTGGCCGTACTGGACGGACAGGGCGGTCGAATCGGCAAGCATGGACAAAAAGTCGAGGTTGCTGGAAAGCGACGTCGCCTTGAACAAGACCTTGGTCGCGACGGGATTGGCAGCAAGCAGGGCTTCGACGCCCGACATGGCCGCGTGCAGGGCATTCGCGCAATCGGAGCCCACCGAGCGAGTCACCTGCTCATCAAACTCGGGGAAGGACAGGACGACGTCGACGACGCCCGAGCTGGCCAGGCTGCCAGCAGTGAGGTGCGGGAACTTGAGGCGGAACCAGGCAGAGAGCGCGCCAGAGTACGACACGCCGTAGGTAAACCAGAGATTGTCGCCGCGTCCAGCGCGCTGCTGAGCGTAGCGGACGTCCACCACATTGTGCTGGTAAAAGTCACGGAAGGCAGCCAGATCGTTGATGGCCTGACGCGAGGTCAAGTACTGCAGATTCGGCGTGGTGAGCTGCGCGAACGGCGACGACTCGCCATAGTAACGGTGCTCCAGCGTCACAATAGCGGCATTGAACTGCTTGGACAAGACGCGAATGTAGTCGTTGGGAATGCCTCCGCAGGTGGCCTCGCCGCAAATGTACAGGAAAATGGGTCCGTTGACGGGATCAAAGTTGTCCGTGTTTTCAAAGTAGCTGTTCAAAGTCGGAAGCAAAGGGGGGAAAGGTGATATTCCGTGTAATAAAGGGCATGATGTGAGTGACAATTGTTTTTTTTTTTTTTTTCACTTGGGGGTCGATCTCGACATGTCAAGAATAAGATGCTCAGAACTGTAGAAACAACAAGCCTTATTTTGGCAGAATAACCAGCCACACATGGTGCGATGCCATGAACATGCAAAAGGCACCATTTCCATTGTTGACTCGTGGAATGCACCCCAGCGACGAGGACGATGAGCGATCACACGGCCGAGGCGAGGTCACGGTGCGGACTCCAAACCTGACGAGCTCACCCAAACACACACATATCAAACCCCGGCTGCTCGTTTGAGATGGAATTCGAGTTCGACTCGTTTTCTAACGCTTTTTTAAAGGAATGAGGGGATGGTTGGACGAACGCACCGCTGCTTGAACGTCTCGCGGTGCTGCGGATTGAAGTGATCGATCAGCTGGTTGAAGACGGACTGGCTGTCGTTGCCCAGCGCGGAAGCGGATCGGCGTTGGATGAGCGAGGCAGGCGTGCGGCCGAGAGCAGTGGCTGCGTCAGGCGCGAGGCACGCAACGAGGAGCACGGCGAGGCCGAGCGAGGCAGCGGCAGCTGCAGCGCGGCAATGGAAAACCATAGGAAAAAACGAAAGGATAAAAAAAAAAAAAAAAAAAAAAAAGAGACTGAGACAAAAAAAAAAACTCAGACGACTCTCTCAGAATGTAGGCACTTGAGCGAGAAAAAGGAGCACCATGCAACACTGCCCTTGAAGCATCAATATCATCATGGTCCGTTATGCTGCTCAACAGGTCAATCTCGTCCGTGTTTGGTGCATTTTCTTCGCTGGCCGGCAAAAACTCAAGAATGTATTTTTTGGTCTAATAATCTCACGAACGGTCAACTTATTGTGGAACAACGCGAAGCAGGACAGTGTCCTCAGAGACCTCGACGAGCTCTTTGAGGTTGGAGCGAGCATTGGAGAGCCCGTCGGCTTGCATCGGTCCAACAACGTCCTCCAAGGGGTTTGAAAACCAGCCCTTGATGGACTTAACGAGACCGGAATCGTCATAGATTGTCTTTGAATGGGTGTTGTGGAATCGAGATGACAGCGTGAAAAACCGCCCTTCGCCAACTGGAGGGCGGTTCATGACCTTCGCGTTGTGAAGCCATCCGACACTCTGCAATCGTTTGAAAAAGTTCTTTCTGTGGAAGCGGCAGCGAAAGGTGCACGCCACCAAGAAGAGAAAGCAATCAGCAGCAACCGCACAACGCATGAGAAAACGACGCACACAGCGCAACACAAAAAAGTGAAACCAACACTCCAAAAATTAAAAGGCTTCCAGCCGTCGTACCCTTCTGCCGAGTCATCCAACTCGTTGGAAAAGCCATTGACGGAGACCAATTGAGCATACTGCAAGAGATTGACGCCGCCAGTGTGATGCGGCGAAGCCGGAATAAATCCGATTCGATCGAGTTCCGCACTGAGTTGAAGTGGCAGTGGTGGGACGGTCAGATAGCTCACGCCATCCATTGGCAGCGTGTCCACATCGTGCAATGCCACGACATCGGCGGCGTACGTTTCATGTGCGTAACGCGCTCCGATGTTGAGCAGCCAGTTTCGGTTGAACGGTAAATTGTCTGCTTGCTCGACAACCACAAACTTTGCAAAGCGACAAATGGGCTTCTTCAGGGGATCTGCCTTTCCTTTCGACCACTCTTGCGTCCGAACGGCGTGCTCGGTCAGCAAGTGTCGTCGCATCCAAGGCAGGAAGACTTGCAAGTGCTCGTCTCGCCTTCGGAAGGGCACCACGATCGCCAGCGTGAGTGTATTGTTGGTGCACAATTGCGCCGGCGTTGGCAGGCTCTCATCTGTAAAGGACGTCGCCTACCAAGAGCGAAGAGCGAGGAACGACGTAAAACGATCAAGGTGAATCAAAACAAAGCCGCTGGTGGTCTTTGCAGCGAGGTCGAAGCGATGATGGTCTTTTCCCGGCCCTGCCCCAGCCAAGCCACCTCCACCCAAACCCCCTCAATCATCAAAGCAGTAAGCTGTCATTGCCATCGTGGCCCTTGGGAGTGACGAGATTGAGCTTTTACCTCAACAGCGAGCTGCTGGACGTAATCCGAGAGCTCGTCAGCGTGCTGCTGCTTGACCCGCAGCTGCTCGCGAATGTGCGCATCCGACTGTTGCTCGCCATCAAGTAACAAAGCAACCATGCATCAAAGCAACAACCAAGCAAGGCAAGTGAGCGATGGCGGCAGCACAAAACAGAGTTCGCACGCTGGAGGGTGCTGTTTGGTCCCAAAGGAGCTAGCTGAACCATCATCCATGCGACTCATCCAGAGTTGGGTAGTTGGGGAGGCGGGGGGGGGTGAAGTTGTGACAAGGAAGAGCTGCTCTCAATCACACTTACACTGGCATGGCTGACGATCAAGACCAGCAGGAGGATGAGCGCTGCAGCAGCCAGCAGAACGCGCGGCTTGTACATTTCTGAGAGCAGGGGGAAAAACAAAAACAGAATGAAAAGAAAAATCAGACTGGGTCGAAATGCACGCGCACTCGCACACGCATAGTGGATTCTGAGACAATTTCGATTCAGCAACAGATTTCAAAGAATCGAATGTGGATACTGAAAATGGACGAATCTGCCATTTGGGACGACTCATTTCCCACATATTGAATGACGGCTCATTCACAGAACAGCGTGTAACAGGGTAAACGTCGACAGGTGCATGAATGTATTGCAACAAACGAAAAAAAAAAAAGCTTCCTGATCAGATCCGACATAGATCTAAAGAGACTCGAATCGAAAACTGAAACCGTTGCAGGATCGAAGCTGAACTTCCCAGCCCTCGCGCATTTGTTGGAGGATGAATGTATTCAGTATACTGTACTTGTACTTGTAACTGGAAGGGATCCGGGGGCACAATCGTCCTTTTTTGTTGTCGTGGCAGCGCGAACACGCTCGATGATGGCTGTCAAACTCCTGTCGCGGTTATCGGCTCATCGCACCGTGCTGCTTGCCGTGTGCATGGTGCTGGTGGTGGTTGGGTACATGGTGTCTTCGTTCCAAGCGGTGAGGCGCTTTGGTGTTCTGGCGGCGCTGCGCTGTGCTGCGCTGTCGTGGCTGATCAGCTGCAGCAAACCTGTCAAACTCATCGACATTGACATTTTGGCAGGCCGAGAAGACCAACAAACTCCTGGTGCGCAGCCAGTCGCACGCTCAAGGGCTCATGGATTTCATTCAGCAGTTGGCTTACGAGGTATGTGCGGTGTGCGTGTGCTGTGCTCCGATGACGAGTGGGAGGCTGGAGAACCCAGCGAACGAACAAAAGCCATGCTCTATTCATTGCTTCAGCTCGCCACCACCACCACCACCACCCGCCTTCGACGTCACGCCGCTCGCTGATATCGCATGCAACGACAATGGTGGTACAGGACTTGGTTGAGCAACCGAGGCTTTCGAATCTCAACAACTGGACCTTTTGAACCATTTCGCTCACGCGCACTCTTGGAAGGTGTTTCGACCAGTACTTGTCGCGATCGCCAGTGGTGCAAAAGTGCCAAGACTCTTGGCACATCTCCCTTGTGTGCATGTGCAATTTCCTCTTTACTTTGAAACCGCGGGAAGGGTGCAGAGAATCGGAGATGATGGCAAAAGTAGTTTGTTTCGTTTCGCTCCTGTCTGTGTTGGTTTCTCACGCCGACTGTCTCCCTGCCCTTCATTGACACGCACTCAGGTGACAGAAACGTACCGCACCAGCCTTGAAACACCGGTTCAGCTTTGCTCCAACTCGACCTCGACGCTGGCCATTGTTGTGCCCTATCGAAACCGCGAAGCGCATTTGAAAGTGTTCCTGCCATGGATGCGTCGACATCTACTGGCCGAGCACGCACGACGGCTGGAACAATGGTCGCAAGGGCTCCAAGATCAGGCAAACCCACCCGTCTGCCAGTTTGCCAAGTTTGTCATTGTCGAGCAAGCCGACAACACGCCCTTCAACCGCGCTTGGCTGCTCAACATTGGGTCGGCGTACGCGTACTCAGAGTACGGTGCGGATGTGCTATCCTTGCACGATGTTGATACGCTTCCTCTTGACGGCGTGCACTACTTGAACGTTCCACCATTGCCTCTCCAACTCTCGGGTGAAATTGACCGGTACGGATTTGTGCCGCACTATCCTGCCAACGCTGGCGGTGTAAATCTCCTGCAATATTCGCAGTTTGCGGCTTTCAATGGGTTTTCCAATGGATTCGATGGCTGGGGTGCAGAGTAAGTGCGCAATGTTGAACGAGTGTGGAGGTGACTTTGATGTTTTTAACCAACGCGTTTCCCCTTCCTCCCTTGCTTCCTGCGTCAGAGACGATGACTTTTTCCATCGTCTCGAAAGCGTAGGGCTGATAGAGCGTGCTGGCATCATGAATCGGCCACCGGTAGGGCATGGAAGGTTTTTCACCCTTTCCTCGAAAGATCACACGGAACGCGACAAGTCTGGCTACAGCGAGAGGATGCAACAAACCTACGGCCGATCGTACGACGCTGAAAGTAACGCCGCCGATGGATTGTCGACCCTGCGTTACCACCTCAAAGACGCCATCGCACTTGCCGACGACACTGTGGTATTGAAAGTGGTTCGCAAGCCGTCACACTAAGATAACACAACAAATGGATGCGATTTCGGTGTAAAAATCATCGTACTTGTCAAACGAATCATGGATTGATTGTAAAATAGCAACATTCTCAGGACACACCACAAGATCCAAAAAATTAGGCGTTGGCGGTGCCGCTGGTGGACGCGCCGTTGGCTTTTTGCTTGAGATGAGTTTCGTACGCCTTGGTCTGTTGCTCAAACGCCTTTTCGAGCTTCTTTCGTGCGCTCTTGGCAACCTCGACACCCGCAGCATCGTGCGTCGGAATACCCTACGTTTGAGTTTTGCGCGCAAGTCAGTGAGCCGAACGTGTGGTTGTTTCCGACCAAAACGCCGTGCTATCTCGCTCAACAAAAACCTCACCTTCTCGTCAAACTTGGAATACTTGTCGGTTGCGCTCAGGAACATTTCAGCGGGGTTGATGCTGTTTTGGGCGTCCTTCTTGGCCTTGTCCTCAGCGGCCTTGCGCTTGGCTTCCTCCTTGGCCGCTGCTGCCGCTTCGCGTGCCTGCAGACCAAGTCCAACAGAGTCAAACATGAGGATGGGGGCATCGACGTTTGAGCAACCACGGTCATTTCTTTTGTTTTTCTTTTTTTCTGTTGTGCTTTTTTTTTTTTGGTTTTTTTTTTTTTTGCTTCTTCAGCCCCAGAGCGGGTTGCCAACCTACCTCCTTTTCGCGTTGCTTTTCGCGCATAATTTCCTCGCGATCGACAATCTTGACAACGGCATCGCCGCCTTCGACGTCTTCCAGACGAATGCCAAGTTGGGGGAGGGTCTCGTCGCGGAGAGCATCGCAGGCTTGCAGCAGCGCAGTTGCCTTGGATGCACGCGCCTCTTTGCGCACGACATCGCGGAAGGCAGCAATAGTCTTGGCTGCGGGGAGCAGAACGATGTCGGCGCTCGCGCCGTCTGCGCCGCCGATCGGGAAGCCAATCTCGCCAGCGCGTCCGTTGGGAATGACACCGACGACGCTCAGGATCCAGGTGGCAAAGTTGCCGACGCCGCGCAGAATGTTGGACTTTGGCACATTGCCGGGGGTGTTGAGGTAGGTGTTGGTGGCCGAAACGAGATCCTGGAGGTGACCAAACACGGCGGGCGTGTTGATCGAGTTGAGGAAGGCCTCGTGGATGGCCTGCTTGGTTGCTCGCAGCTTGGCCTCGAGCGCCTCGTCAGCAGCAACGAATTTGTTTGCCGGTGCCGACTGGAGCGCGGCTTTGATGTTGAGGAAGAATTCCTAAAAACAAAGAAAACAAAAAGAGTTGCGAGAGAAAAACAGGGAGGAAACCAGGTCGAGTCAGTGACAGACGGCTCATTGCCCGATGAAAAAAAACAACCAACAGGGAACAAAACACTCTTACGTTGAAGGACTTTTCAACGCTGATAGCTTCGGTCATCGTGCTCTTGCTGTAGTCAAGGCCCTTGTTCCATGCGTGGAGCAAGAACATGATGCGAATTTGACGGGCAGTGTACGCCTCGAGCGCCTCCTGTAAAAGTTGGCAAACAAAAGTCGTGAGGCAAAGATTTGTTGGAAAAGCTGAGCTTTCATGTGCCACCTCTAAGACCACACACTCTGATACGTACACGAATGGTGATAAAGTTCTTGAGAGACTTGGACATTTTGCGGCCTTCGATCGCGAGATGGCCAGTGTGCATAAAGTAGTTAATCCACTGCTTGTTATCAAAGAAGGCTTCCGACTGAGCAATCTCGTTGTCGTGGTGGGGGAACTTGAGATCAATGCCGCCACCGTGAATGTCCAGCGTCGAGCCAATGACCTTGCTGTGATTGTGATGGGAGCAAGGTGGTCGCATTGGTGAGTGGCCAGTCAGACGACGACGCACAACGGAGAAGGAAAAACAAAAAAAAAATAAAAATAAAAAAACACCAAAGAAAACGACAAATTCCAAGCCAAACAAGCAAACCAGCACTCACCCAGCCATGGCAGAGCACTCAATGTGCCAGCCGGGACGGCCCTTGCCCCATGGCGAGTCCCACGCGGGTTCGCCAGCCTTGGACTTTTTCCAAAGGGCGAAATCGTTGGGATGCTTCTTGTCCGAGCCCGCATCCGTCGCGGAAAGCTCGCCCTCGCCTTCGGCCAGGGAGGCGGCATTGCCGACGGCCTCTGGCACGAGCTTGGCGTAGTGGTGACCCTTGTTCTGGTCAAAGGAAGTCGTCGAAAAGTACACGGAGCCGTTCGACGCATACGCGTAGCCGTTGCCAATCACCTTTTCCACAAACTCGATAATCTCGTCAATGTAGTCGCTGACACGGGTCAGACGGTCTGGCTCAAGAATGTGGAGCGCCTTCATGTCAATGTTGAACTGCTCCTCCCAGTAGCGAGCCGTTTTGGCGAAAATGGCCGGATCCGTCACCGAGGCGCCAAACTGGCTGTCGAGCCACTCGGCCAGCGCGTCGCGGGCCGCGTCGCACAGCTCGGACGCCGGGGCAGCAGCGTTCGCAAGCAGCGCGGTGACCTTGTCGGCCAGCTTGGTGCGGAAATCCCGCTTGCCATCGTCCGCGGCCAGTGCGTTGGTCTTGGCAGCGAAAAACTCGAGAGCGGCAGCAATGTCCTTGCGAACTTGGTCGACAGCAAGGGCCTTGGCGACGTACTCTTCAAACAGGTGGTTGCGGCGTGCCTTGAGAATGATCTTGTCGTCGACGTCGGTGATGTTCATGACCCATCGCATGTCGTAGTGAAAGTAGTCCGCCAGCACGCGGCGAATCACATCAAACTGGATGTACGTGCTCGCGTGTCCCATATGCGACGCGTCGTACACAGTGGGTCCGCAAATGTACGCGTTGACCGTGTTTCCATTCGCGGGAATGAATTCGTCCTGTCAACAAAAAATCAAAGAGTTAGTGTTTGTTTTTTCAATGTGAGTTCGTTGCTTTTAGCTGACGCTGGAGGTTGAGAGATTTGAGTGAGGATAGGCTGTTGGGTTGTGAGGTGAGTGTTAGCATTGGTTGCATCAGCGCACCAATCCATTTGCATTGCGTTTGAACCCTCTGCTCCTCCACTCTCAGCGAGTGAGTATCAAACGAGGATGTCATCATCTGTTGTATTGTTGTCGACGACGTTGGGATGAACCCATGGCCGTCATCCCTCGTGGAAGCACGCTACAGTCAAATAAACCGCATCTCGAACGCAAGTCTCTCTGGTGGTTCTGCCCCCCTTGCCTGCCTGCCTCCCCTCGAGCGGGATCCGTCGACTGTGGTGTTGCTTTGAAGGGGGAGAAGAGGTACTTGTGAGTCGAGAGTTGATATGTGTGGGGGGACGGTGGCAGGAACACCAGCTTAAATGCAGCGGCGTCGAGATCGCAGCAAATAAAAACGCGCGCGTATTGGTCCACCGTTTGGCCCCGAACAGACAGAGAGCGAGAGGCAGGGGCAGAGGGAGAGGGGACACGAATTGGACGGATGTGACTGAGAGACGCACCACTTCACGGGTGAGCGAGTTGTGCAGGCGAAGACCGGTGCGGACGGCGTTCGGGTTGCTGGGCTTCTCCCAAGCAGGCTGTGTGCGTTGCGCCATGAGCAGAGACGAAACAGTGAAAAATAATAACAATAAAAGAGACTGAGAACTTGAACTAAATGCATGTTACAGTAACAACACACAGTTGCGGTGGATTTGGAAGGGGGAGGTTTGGCGTTTCGAACTTTTTCTTCGTTTTTGTTTTCAGCAAAACACAAAAAGCAAACACAGACATTTGACACGGCTGAGGTGAACGTTTCCCACAAGAGAGAGATAGCAGGAAACCAAAAAGTACAATGCCGCGATTCCATCCAAAACGAAATCGCGCTCGGAGTTTGTATGATTTGTGACCAACTTAATGATCGGTGCGTCGCCTGTGCAAAGAACAGACAAGTCAGTCAAGAGCAAACAACGTGAACGCCAAGAGTCAAATTCTTCCGTGCACTCACCGTGGGGAGGCCTTGATGATGTCGTCGACACGCAGAATCATCTCGGCAGCCTCGGACGCTGACACGAGCACCTGACGCTTCACCTTGAATGACTCTGTAATGCCAAGCTCGACCATATCGCCAAGAATACCCTTCTCCATGTCTGTTTTCCGCAAATCAAAAAGCGTCAAACGTGAGTTGCCAGCATCCTTCAAAAAAGCAAACACAAAAACAAACAAAAAAATGTACTTACCCAAGCCAATAGTGTGCTTGCCCTCAGAGTGGGCAGCACGGAGGTGCGAGACAAGCTCAGAGCTGTCAAAACCGCCGTTGTCAGCAATGATGGTGGGGATTTGTCGGAGAGCGCGGGCAAAGGCCTCGATGGCGATCGACTCCTTGCCGGGGGTCTTGAGGGCGAGGGCGTCGACAGCGGTGGACATGATCATCTCAGAGCAGCCGCCACCGTAGACGACGCGGGTCTCCTTGACCGTTTGGGTGAGGACGCAGAGGGCGTCGTGGAGCGAGCGCTCGGCCTCGTCGAGGATTTGTTGGGTGGCACCGCGGAGCACGACAGTGCAGGCCTCGCCGCGAGCGACGCCAGAGAAGCGGATCAGACGGTCCTCGCCAATCATAATCTCCTCAATCAGCTTGCACTTGCCAAGCTTGACGAGCTCGGGGTGGTCGAAGGTGGACGAAATCTCGCCGCCAGTGACAAGAGCGAGACGCTCAATGTTGTCGAAATCGGCGTGCTCGATGGCCATGACGCCCTTCTCGGCAAACAGCTGCTCGGGGTAGTTGTAGATGAGCTGGCGGTTGATAAAGCAGTTGATGTTGTGCGAGAGGATGCGGTCGACCTTGGCCTTCATCTTCTCCTTCTCTGCAGACTCAATCTCGGCAACCTTGGCAGTCGAGTCCACTCGGACGCGCGAGCCAAACACCTTGATCTTGTCAGTGTCCATGGCGGTGTTGCCGAGAAGAATGGTGGCGTTCTCAATGCGCTTGGGCTGGTTGACGCCAATCTTCTTGTCCAGGATGAAGCCCTCGTCGAGGTAGGAATCCTTCAGGTTGCCGCCGAGCTTCTTGATGATCTGGATGTGCTCGAGGTCGGTGCTGCCCTTCAGGCGGAGCACGGCGTCGACGGCCAGGTTGGAGAAGAACTCCTTGTTGTGGTGCAGAATCTTTGAGCTGAGCGTGGTGCGGGCAATGTTGACAAGGTCCTCGCGGAACTTTGCCGGGTCTGAGCCGTGGTCGTGGGCAGCCTCAGTCAAGGTGGCGCGCGCCACATCGACGGCCTTGCGCCAACCCGAGATGATGGTCTGCGGGTGGATTCGCTGGGCGATGAGCTTTTCGCCCTCGCGAAGGAGCTCGCAAGCGAGCACGCTGATGGAGAGGAAGAGAGGGAGAGAAAGAGCGAAGAGGTGAGAATCAGGCAAAAAAAAAAAAAAAAAAAAGCAAGAAAAAAAATGGCAACAAGCCCAATACACACAAACGAATGCGGCCTCTCGAAGGCAGCGCACTTACCAGACAGAGGTGGTACCATCACCAACTTCGGCGTCCTGGACCTTGGAAATGTCAACGAGGACCTTGGCGGCAGGGTTGTCGACACCAATCGAGCTAAGAATGGTCGCACCGTCGTTGGTCACCTGGATGGCGCCGTCCCGGCTGGACAGGGACTGGAGGATCTTGTCCATGCCCTTGGGGCCGAGTGTGCTCTTGACGAGGTCGCCGATGGCAATCGCGCCAACGAACGAGGACTGTTTGATGAGGAGAAGAAGAAGAGCACAACAGTGAGCAGACCGTTGTTGGTTTCGGTTTTGCCAAGTGCTGGTAATGACATGCGTTGGCTTGATCTCTCTGATATCTCCCACCGCTGCTATGCGCAACCAAAGGCTGTTGTTTGGTGGATACTTACGAGACGCGCGGTTTCGCCCTTCTCTTCGACGGCTTGGTCGCCCAGGACCTGAACTGGCTGCAGTGGGTTGACCTGTTGACCAAATTGACAATTGACAATTGGCAGTGTGAGTACAAAGACACCGGACGGTGGTGGGGTTTGTGGTTTGGAAGGACGTCCAGTGCTGGCGTAGGTGCTTCGTGGAAAGGCAGCGAAAAAATAAAAAATAAAATAAAATAAAATAAAATAAAAATAAACTCGCATTTGCCGCCGTCGCTTGGCATGATCGCGGTGCCGCTGGAGCCCCCCAGAGAGTGCGGTGTGCACGTCCCAACAATACGCGCAGCATGTGCACGATGCCAGTCGCTGGGTCGACGGGCGAGCGTCAAAGCACTTGGAAAAGAGTCGCGATCTCGCCAATTTTTCTTTCTTTTTTTTTCCCTTTCGTTGCATCGCTACGCGCTTTTCCCCTTGTGCTGAGTGCGTGTGCTCGGATGAGACGCATAGCGACTGCGACACGAGCAGATGAAGGCAGGCCGAGCGGCAGGCGGGGGGAGAGTGTGCAGACTGGCCGCACAGAGACAGCGATGAAAGCTGCAACTTGAATGGAATAAAAAAATTAAAAAAATTAAAAAAATAAAAAAAAATAAAAAATCCAATGTGAAACACAATGGGAAAAAACCATGTGCGATGACCATTGAAGAAATGCATTGGCGAGGCCGACTGGTGGGGGTTCAGGGCGTATCGTCCCCCTTCATCAGCCTTCGTCAGACTGCTGTTATGGAATAAAACCGAAAGAGCGCGACCGAGGGACGCTTGGACGGGGCGATAGAAAAGGGCGAAAAGGCGAAAAGGGGTTTTACCATTGGAAATTTGTATGGAAGAACTCAAAAGACTGCACTTGCGAGTTTTCGATTGCAGCAATGTTTGATTTGGTAATGCATTTATCAGAGTTATGAGGTTGAAGCGAAAAGAGATTGGTAGGCTCGACCATGTACAGCAATGAAACGAAAAAAACGCGCGAAAAGCAGATTCTGCTGTCAAAAACCAAATCCAATGGCTGACAATTTGATGCAGTGCAGATGATTATGTGTGTTTGCAACCAACCATTGAATTCAATGCCCAAATCGAATCTTGTCTCAGACTGCTCAGCTCAGTCCTTTTTGTTCAGTAAGTCGCTCTTTTATTCTTTTTTTTTTTTTTTCTTTTTTGTTGTTTCATTTTGACGACTCCCCGTCGCTCGTCGTTCGTCGTCTTTCCTCCCATGTTGCCTTCCCCGTTTCCAACTCTTCTCTCGTCTCCTTCGTTCTGTTGCACTTTCGCTGCCTCTGATGCGCAATCTGCTCTTCGGGGCAATCGTTGTTCCATCCACAGTTTCGACCATGTGCTTTTTTTTTTCCCTTTTTTTTTTTTTTTTTTTTTTTTGTCCTTCTTTTCTTCTTTACGTCTCTCTTTCTCAGCTTTTTCTTTTGCTCTGCGGCAGTGGTGAAATTTTGTTCGATCGCGTCCAAAAGCAACATTCAAAGTGTCGCTTTTATACTATGACGTGTAAACTATTTTGATGTAATGAGTCTGAGCCGCTTTTATTCTCTTTTTTTTTTTTTCTTTTTCCTTTTGGTTTTGTTGCATGTATTTCTTTGCTCCAACCTCAATTCAATCGTATGTTCTCACTTTCATGCCATCCACGTTGGATTTTTTTGTGGCAGAAGCAAAAGTCTACTCGAATCGAGTTATTGGCGGAACAGTCATGACACAGGGAGCAATCTGAGCCGCGAAAGAGTAGCTGGGCGCGTTCATGTCGAGCATGACAAAGTGCCCTCGCATCGATCCACCCATCCTGGTCGAGTAGCTCGTCGCAGAGCAGTACTGAAAATGGGATCCAGCCGCAATCTCGGGATAGAGGCCAACGACGCCCGGTCCCTCAACAGTCTCGCTTGGCGTGTCGGGCTGCTCAATTACCCACCGCCTGGACGCCAGCTTGTACCGTGCACCTGCGGGCATGGCATTCGTTCCAACCATGCTGTGTGAGATTTTTTAGGTCAAGGTGAGCAAACCAAACAACAGCAACAAAACAACAACCAACAAAGGTCAGTTGCAAATCTCAAGCAAGAAGAAGGCTGCGTTGTGCGTGCATTGCCCCTACCGCAGTTTGTAAATAAAGCCGTATTCAGAGCCATTTTCGTGCAGCCGAGTGCGTGAGGGCCATGGCAAACTACTCATGCTGATCTGGATGCCATTTGTGGTTGCCGTGCTGACGCCCTCGCCAAAGGTGGGGAAGAGATCAATCACGCCATTGTCGTCGGCAATGAGCCTTGTGCTGGCAAGATCGCGAGCATACCCTTCAATCCATTCTGTCAGCGAATTGGTTTGAAACCCATCCAACCCCTTCGAGTCAAAGGAGATGAGGTCCAACAGGGGCGCGTCACGAGCGTCCGCGTTCGGCTCAAGTAGTGGCATCACAATGCATGGGGCTCCCATAAACCTGATCAACTGCCTGCCGAGCACATCCAGCTCACGGAGGCGTGGAAAAAACAGGTCGCGCACCTCGTCGTACGCGCCCGCCGTCCCGAAAACCGGCATTCCTATGTTTTGGCCATCGTTCATGCGATAGAGGCAAAGTACTGCCTGTGTGAGGGATGCGTACTTGCTGCAACGCCGCGCAAACAGCGGTTGCACAAAAAGTGGCGCACAAACATTTTGTGTGTGAGTGTCACGAATCAAAGCTACTGAACAAAACCATTGGAACCCTCGGCGTACCTTGCAGGATACAATAATCCAAGCGTCCCCGGTCGGAGCAGCCCGTGAATGCGAGGGGAGTTGACACGGAGCCAACCTGTGAATATCCGCCAAGCGCGACGCATGCGCGTGTACGTTGGAAGCAAGTGGCCAAACGCTAGATGATGTCGAATGTATCGACGACGCCACGGCGACCCTGCTGCTGCTGCGCGGTCGTTGCGCGACTCGTCCGCCGTCCGCCACAGCGTCGGATTGAGCGCGCACGACGGGATGCCGCGAGCTCGGGCGGCTTCGTGCACGCGCTCTTGGTCGACCTGCGTTCCATCTCCGCCAGCAGCTGACATGATGCTTGTGAGCTCTCGCGGATCGAGTGGCGCGTCGGTATCCTGGTCGGGGTTGGACTCGTCCACGCTGAACGTCGCAACGCAGTGTCGGCGCCAGATTGCATCCGAGCCCAGCTCGACCACATCGCGCAGCGCACGGCAGGTGGCAGAGACAGCCACGAGATCGCGCACGCTCACTGCCGGGTCGCCCAGGATGAGTTCCAGCAGCTCCAGCGGCAGCGTCGGCAGCGAAGTCATCGTGCGAGAGCGAGCGGTTCAGGTTGATGACTGAATTTCGGATTTGCCAATGCCAATGTAGTTTCATACAAAGCCTCAAAGTCACTTGGTTTCAATGCTTCTGCTCATCGCTCTCCATTCATCACGAATCGTTTTGTTTGTTTGTTTGTTTGTTTGTTTCTCAGATTTGTTGTTGGTTTTCAATTTCTCAGTCTCTTTTTTTTTTTTTTTTTGTTTGTTTTTCGTCCAATCGTTCTCTTCCAACATGTCGTTCGTCGACAAGCTCGCGCGCGCCGTGCTCGGGAATCCCGTGCTGCGCGAGTACGAGCTCGGCGCCCAGATTGCGACAGGCGGGCTTGGTCTGTCCTGGAAGGTGTTTGACGCCCACAGCAAGGCGACCAACGCGCGCGCGTCCGTCTTCCTGCTCGACAAGAAGCAGCTGGACAAGTTCCCAAAGCCCCGGCGAGAAGTGGTCAGTGGGACGACAATCCATCACCCCAAACCCTCGACGCTGACTCCATTGGCAAATCGACTTTGATTTCCCCTCGGTGGCTGGCTTGGTCGTTGCGATCTTGGGGAGCTCGGGAGGAAGCAAGAAGAAGAAGGGGGGCTGCCCATCACGAGCTCACTCTCCACCTACAACACTGGAACTACTGAACACTACTGAACACTGGAACACTACTGCAGGGCAGGGGTTGCAATGGTACATCTCACTCACTGTGATTCTGAAACCAAAACACCAAAACGTGCGCGTCTTGATGTGCTGATTTGTTTAGATCCTCGAGTTTCTGAGACGCGAAGGACAACAGCTGGCAAGACTCAGACACCCAAACATTCTGGACGTCGTGTGCCCGCTGGAGGAAGCCGGCGATTCGCTCGCGTTTGCCACAGAGCCGATTGCTCACTGTCTGGCAAACATTCTGGCACAACCTGCATCGTCGTCGTCGGCGTCGGATGCTGCTGCTGCTGCTGCTGCTGCTGCTGCTGCTGCTGCTGCTGCTGCTGCTGCTGCTGCTGCTCCAGCCCTCGAGGAGCTCGAGTTGCAGTTTGGCTTGCTGCAGTTGACCCAGGCGCTGCTCTTCTGCCATCGCGAGGCCCGTCTGATTCACGGAAACATCAATCCAGGCGCTGTCTTTATCAACGCAAAGGGCGACTGGAAGCTTGGCGGCTTTGCATTTGCGCTCACCGCCGTGTACTCGGCCGACGGCGCGCAAACTGCCTTCCACCAAACCGCCAATTACGACTATGCGGCCGCCAACCATGCCGACATGCTCTACCTGCAGCCCTCGGTCAACTATCTTGCGCCCGAGTATGTCACTGTGCGGTATTGCACCGCCGCCAGCGACGTCTACTCCCTGGCCAGCTTGATCTACGCGCTCTTTGCCAAGCAGCCTCTCGTCAACCACCAGACGGCTCCGGGTGGCCCCAAGAACTTTGAGTCCAACATTGGTCTCATCCAGCACTTGCAACTCGAGCAGATTCCTGCAGCGCTCGCGCCGTTCGTCCGGCGTGCGTCGAGCTTTGAGTCGCAGGGCCGTCCGGCGCTGACTGAACTCGCCTCCAACCCTTGGTTTGACAATGCATATGTCGTGGCGTTTACCTTCTTGTCGAGCCTGGCTGCGGTGCCCGATGCACAGAAAGTGCAATTCCTGAAGGGTGTCCCGCGGCTCATCCCAAAGCTGTCGCAGCGTGTCTGCCAAAACCGCGTTCTGCTCCCGCTGCTGGTCGAGCTGAAAAACACTGCTCTCATTCCCTTCCTCCTGCCTTCAGTGTTTATGATTGCCGAAAAGGCCTCCCAGCAGGACTTTGCAACGCACATTCTGCCCGCACTGTTGCCCGTGTTTGCCTTGCAAGAGCCCATCCAAATCCTCATCTTTTTGCTCCAAAAGATGGAGCTCCTCTTGGCCAAGGCCCCCGCGGCTGCCGTCAAGCAGCACATCCTGCCCCTGCTCTACCGGGCGCTCGAGAGCTCCAACTCGCAAGTCCAAGAGCTCTGCGTGCGCATTATTCCGACAATCGCCTCGGGCATCGACTATGCCTCCATGCGTGGCTCGGTGCTGCCTCGTCTCGAAAAGGTCATTCTGGAGAGCGAGTCGAGCACAGTCCGCATCAACACGCTGGTTTGTCTGTCCAAAATCGTGGATCACCTCGACAAGCACACCATGGAGGAGAAGGTCTATCCGTTGCTCGAGCGCGTTCCCATCAGCGAGGCAGGCGTGTGCATGGCCATCCTCGGCATTCACGACTCCCTGTTCCGCCACGCCAAGCTCTCGCCCGACGCGTCGCTCATTGCGAGCCGATTGCTTCCTTTCCTCATTCCCCTCAGCATGCATCCGACGCTGAATGCACGGCAGTTTGGCATGTTCAGCACCATCCTGCGCGACATGTTCAAAAAGTTTGAGTCTGAGCACATGTCCAAGCTGGAGCAAATTTCCCAACTCGACACGATGGCCAGCGGCCCCATCAACGGCAGCACCGGCTCCTCTGGCGGCATCCCTGGCAGCGCAGACACGGGCATGATGTCGTCCAATGGATTTGCAGCTCCTGTCTTTGGTGGAGCTGCGGATGATCAGTTGCGACGAATGGAAGAGTTGTTTGCGCGCGAGGACGCAGGCGGTGCGTCGCCTGCCGTGATGCCTCAGGCGGTCGCGCCACTTGCCGCCGCAAAGCTGCCCGCCGCGCCTATGATGACTGCAACGAGCCCCAGTTCTGCAGTCAAACCCACGAGTACCTTGACGCCGGTTGCTGCAGCGACACCCTCGGCAGGACAGGCTTCCAACAACCCCTTTGATTCGTTCGACGATTTCCTGTCCGCCCCTCCGAAAACAAGCGGCGCGTTCCCTACCACGTCAACTACAGCCCAAAGCAAGGCCCCGCCCAGCACAAAACCCCTTTCGGCCCAGGATGCAGCGTTGTTCGCTGGCGTTGGGGCCATGCCTGCCACTTCTACCGGTTTGTCTGGGCTGGGTGCGACGAACGGTGCTTCAAGGCCCTCCATCCCCGTCCAATCACTTGGCGATGATGATGCGTTTGGGAGCTTTTCCAGCAGCAAGGTAACGAAAGGGGGAAGTACTTGATTCGCTAATGTAGGGGAGTGTGGACACGAAACTGATTGGTTTTTCTCTCTTTTGTGTGCCTTCTTTTCAACACAGCCAATGGCCAGCTTCCAGCCACTCAAGCCACAACCAGCGGCTCAGACCCAAAGTGGAATGGCGTTTGGCAACCAGATGGCCGCAGCGTTCCAGGCTTCGCCAACCGCCGCAATGCAGCAACCAATGCAGCCAAAGACGTCAACCTTTATGCAACCGTCGCAGTATGATGCGTCCCCGCGCATGACTGCAGCGCCAACTGTCCCACAGCAAACTGGAGGGTTCCAGTTTGGTGGCAGCAGCATGGCTCAGCCTCTTGCTCCAACAACCACGAGTGGTGGCAGCTTTGCCCAGCCCCTCATTCCCACTGGCGGCTCGATTCATCCCGCGTCACTCATGAACAACGCTTCGCCGATGGCTTCGCGTCCTTCCGCACCTGCTGCCAAGTCGAACAATCCCTTCGACGACTTGTTGTAATTGGATGAAAATTTGGTTTAAGAAAAAGTCTGAAAATAAAGGTGATTTCCAGATCTTGATATTCAATTCAAAGCATCAAAATTGCGGCAGGCGAAAGGGGGTTTCTTACGAGCACCGCTCCGCAATCAATACACACATATCAACAAGTGCACACGACAAGGCACCCAAGAGTGGACTTAGTAGTTGTCCCACTCGCTCTCCTCAACACCTTGGACAGTGTCTTGGTACATGGCGCCAGTCTGCTTGTCGCCGAGGGAATCGACCATGGAATGGAGCAGCTATTCTCGCAAACACCAAGCAGGATTGTCAGCCAAAAATGAAAAACTAAATCATCCGAAAAAAAAAAAAAAAAAACTCGAAATTCAACCAACTTCTCGTACCTTCTCCTTGCGCTGGTCGGGAGAATCTTGCAGGGCAGGATTGTACTTGACAAACTTGCTCTCCTTCGGTTGCTCCTTGGGCGCTTGCGACACTGCCGCGTCCAAGAACCAAAATACATCAAAACAAACACTCAAAAAATCAGATCCCAAACATACCAACTCAGGCTGCAAAAAACACCGAACAAACAACGTCTTACATGGTGTCATGTTGGCGGGCTTGAGCGAAACGTATTTGACGGAAGGGTTCTTGCCAGCAAGCCACTCTTCAAGGGTGATGCTGGGTGTGTCGCGAACGCGCGATTCCGGGAACAAGTCATCCTGGAAGAACTCGGGCTGAGGATCAAACAAACAACCAAAACACACAAAGTGGTCAATGACATGAGAGTTCCAGTCCCCAATGCAACCGAAAAACAAAACTGAAAAGGCTGCATACACGAGTGCGGGGAATCTTGAACGAAATGTACTCGACAGTGTTCTTGGACAGCTTGACAGCGCGCGCCACCTCGACCTCGGCAACGTTGCAGGTCGCCTTGGGCAGGAAGGCCAGGCCATGTTGCAGCTCGGCCGACTTGAAAGGCGTGGCCGAATGCAGGAAAGGCGCCTCGTCGTGCACAAACTCGAACGTAGAGATGCTCGAGTCACCCTGTTGTTCAATGTCAAAAGAAACTGTGAGAACAAACATTTGGATGATTTTCAAACAGAGTGTGCGCAAAGCGGGTACGTACACGGCCCCAAACGTAAAGCAGCGTGGTATCCTCGTCGTAGATGGGAACCAAGACGGCCGGTGCAACATCAAGATCAACCTCGGTGATTTCAGACAGATCGCTTTCGCGGAAGAGCTTGATTTGGCGTGCACTGGTTCTGGTGGGGCAGGGAAAAAAGTAATCAAACGACAAACGAGCAGTAAGTCAGTCAAGGGCTTCTCACGATCCGCGCAACGTTGGTTGATTTGCATACTTTGCGAAACCAGTGGTGATGAGGAAGCCAGAGGTGCCCAGGAACGCCACGCGGCCACTGCGGGTGCCATGGTGAGCAGTCGCTTGCTGCAACACAACAAAAATAACGTTGATGAGACTAGAAGCAACCCAACATCACCAATCCTTGACACGATCATTTCAGAGATCTCACACGAATGAGACTGCCAGAGCGGGTGTCGAACAAACGAAGCAACTGGTCCTTGCAGAGGGTGGCAAAGGTCTGACCATCGTTGTTGAACTCGAGCGTGAGGATCTGCCAGCCAAAAAAAAAAAACACAAACAGAAAAAAAAAACAAAGAGAAAAACAAAAATGGTACTTTCAGTAAACAGCGTCCAAATCGAACGGTTGCAAAAACCAACAACAAAGACAAACCATCTCTATCAATCAGCATACCTGCTCGGCGTGATCAGAAATGGTCTTCAGGGGTGCACCGCCAACACTCAAATCCCAGTAACGGATGGTGAAATCAGCGCCGACGGTCACGAGGAGATCGCGAATAGTGGGGTGGAACTTGACCAGAGTGACCTTGTTCTCATGGCCCTTGAGGATCAGAGTGGGCTCGGTCAGATTTTCAGTCAGACCACCAGCGGGAATGGTCCAGATGCGGATGTTGGAATCCTCGCAGCCTAAAGATGACCAGCGGTGGAGATACGCAGCAAGTAGAAAGGAGCAGTGAGTGGCAATCCTTCACATAAAACGGACAGTCTGCCAAGCAGCTCACTCACCAACGGCAAGACGAGCATCGTTGAAGGGATCAAAGGCAAAATCAAGAGGAGCAGCGTGATTCTGCAGGGTCGGAACGGAAGGTCCAACACGACGAGCAACCATCGTCGGGAACACGGCAAGCTGGCCACCGGGGCCGCTGAAGGGCATGCACATGAACGACTTGTTGGCCTGGAGCAAAAAAAAAAAAACAGAGCGCAGAGAGAGATGTGGCAAACGAATGAGCAAATGACCACGACGACAACGAATTGTCAAAAACAGAGCAACGAGCGAAGCAGATAGACGCACATCAAACATGTTGGATTCGATGGGAGTCACCGGGCTCAGCTGCGAGATGCTCTCAATGTTGTTCTTCTTGTGCAGCAGAGTGCCCTGCACGTGACGGTACTTGGAGGATCGGACAATCGCCTGAGCCTTGGTGGCCTTCTCGCTGGGGACGTAAGGTGCTGCGGGTGTCGGAGACGGGGCAGACGAAACCACGGGCGATGACGACGACGACGATGCCGATGCCGACGCCGAAGGCTTGATCAGCGAGACCGGCGCGGGCGATGACGACGCAGGCGAAGATGACGCGGGAGTAGAGGACGCCGAGGACGAAGAAGCATACAAGGGAGTTGGCTGCTTGATGCTCGAGTTCTTGGAAGGATCCAGGCTGACTGTGGGCGGGGCAATGTTCTCACCAGCCACCCACTGCTCGGCCGTCATGCCAGCCACGGTGCCCTTCGTATCAGGGAAGAGATCGGCTTGGAATTCACGCTTGCTCTAAAGTTGGAGGCACAAACATCTCAAAAAAGGTCAGTCTGGAAGAAAAGAAAGCACTGAGATGCGCTTGCCTGCCCCAATCACGTACCTTGCGGGTCACTTCAAAGGTCACGGGCACGACGGCATCCTTGGTCAGCTTGAGAACACGCCAGACTTCGCACTCCATGACGTCGAGGGCACGGCGAGGCACCAGCGTGGCTCCGATTTGAGGCGGGTCGTTGACGTTCGCCTGGGGATCTGTGACATACGGGGCGTTCTCCGAAACCTCGAGGTAGCGAAGGGTGCTGTCACCCTGTTTGGTTTTTTGTGTTGGAGTGTGTGTTGTTTGTTGATTCCATCAGGTCAGCAAGCGGCAACAACCACCAAACGAAAACCAAAAAAAAAAAAAAAAAAACCAAAGGCAAACAAAAATTGATTACCTTGCCAGCAAGAACAACCACGTTGGTGTCCTCGTCGTACATGGGAATGAGCACACCGGTGGAAGAGTCCAAAACCTGGAGATGAAGCGGCTTGGCCAGGTTGCGGGCGTCCCAAACGCAGTACTGGCGCTCGCGAGACTTGCTGAAGCCTGTGGTCAGGATGCGGTCGAGGTGGCCGGCCCAAGCAACGCGGATGGTTTTGGTGCCAGCGTGCGCCTCCACGCCGGCAACAGCACTGGCGGAACGCGGATCGACCACGCGCAGGATGCGATCCTTGCTCGAGGTCGCAAACACTGTGCCGTCGGCCTTCCACGAGAGCGACTGCACCGTCTCTGGGTGCTGAGAAGCAAGATCGATGGTGACTGCAGCCTTCTCGACGTCCCAGAGCTTGACAGTGTTGCCCGCAGCAGAAGCGAGCAAGCCCGAGGCCGTCGGGTGCCAGGTCAGCGACTCGATGCGTCCAGCCGCACCAGCGAGACGAACCACGGGTGTGGACAGCGACTCGGTGAGACCTGCGTCGGGAATGTTCCAGAGAGCGACGCTGGCATCCCCCGAGCCCGTCGCGAGCAGATTGTCGTTGAACGGTCCGAACGCGAAATCGGTAATGTGGTCCGAGTGTGCTCGCACCAGGCAAGTGTTGCGATCGACCTTGCCCACCTTGCTCAGCGGGAGCACGGCAACCGTACCTGCGATAGATTGGTCGAGTTTTGGTTTGGTACGAACAATGACAGTGGTGGTTGCGGTGAGGTGAGTGAGCAAATTCAGCAAATTCGAGTAAAATTTGAGATTCAATGAGGCCTTTTGGTTGCTGTCCTGTTTTCCATCGTCACAAGTACAGATGTCTGTTCTTCTTCTTCTTCTTCGTTTTGCTTCCATAGTGCATAGTGGAAGAGTGCGTGTTGACCATCTCGATCGACTGCAGCACTGCATCACTGTGAGAGTCCATGATCATTGATCGCCGTTTGGTCCTTCTTCCCCTCCGACCCGAGACAAGCTCCAGATCGAGCGATGGGACTGCCATTTCCGAACTGCTCCACACCTGCTCTCCGCCCCCCCCCCCTCCCCGCGCAGGCGCGCCAATCTCATTGGGAATGGGAACCAAGTGCAGACCAAACCAGCTGACTGCAAACAAAAGATTTTTTTTTTTTTTTTTTTTTTGGCTTTGCTTTTTCCTTTCGAACGTCGACTCCATCCAACGGTTTGCAACTGAGATCCACATCTCAACTGCAGCAAGAAAGTCCAATCGCGGTTTGTTGTTCCAAGGTGGCGGATGATCGCGCTGGATCAAGCGGAATCCGTCAATCTCGACTCGCTCTCTCTCTCTCGTCCTTTCGCCTCCGGCTTACCGAGCGAGTCCCAGGTGAATGCGACGTGCTTGGCGCTGGCCTTGATGTGATCGGCATCCGAGCTCATCGCGCCGGTCGCAATGTCCGCGTACCACCCGTCGCGCTTGGCCGGCTTGACGAGCGCGTTGCGGAACTTGGAAACCTTCAGTCGTCCAGCCATGGTGAATTGTTGCAGATGGGTGTTTTGGAGGGAAGAGAAGAGTGCGATCGCGGTCGACGTCGCAGTCCGAGTGAGGAATAATCGATAGGAAATATCATTTGTGATTGAAATGCGAGCTAGGGTGGGAGGGAGATGGATGGGATGAACAGAGTGGGGGGGACGAGGGAAACGCGAGAGGAACTGCAACATAGAACGAGGAGAAACAGAGTGTGTGCGATGAGACCTCCGGCGTTTATCATTGCTATGAAAATAGCACTTTAATAGTGAATTGGATGGGCCGAATGATGGCGAATAGAGGGAAATCGCGATTTTGATCCGTACGACGAGTGCAAAATGGGTTTTGCTGGTTGACAATCTACGGCCCCACTCAACAAGACAATCTGCATACTTTGGCTCGGATCACGAAGCCAGCTCCCGAATATGTTTAAAATCATCACAGTCATCAATTGAATGTCCAGCAGCGTCTTTAATAACCTCAGATCTTGCTCATTGAGCACAAAACAGCGCATGCATTGAAAAAAATTGGATTCAAAAGCGCTTTCTCCCCCCCTTGCAATGCCTGACTTGTTCACTCCACGGTCTTGGTCTCGTTCTCATAGTCTTTCCTTTGAGCTTCATTTAGCATGTCATTGGACGCAGTCTCTGTTTTCCCCATCACTGTCTGAGCGCGAACGCCAAAATTCGCAGTTCTTTTGTTGGAGAGATGAGCAGCAGCAGTGCGCACTTTGGCTTGTCGATTGGCTCCGGCGTGGGCAGCAGCCTTCTGGCAGGCTCCAGCGTTGGTTCCACGGGCGGTGGCAGTAGCAGCGGGCAAGCGGCAACGGCCTTCGCTGGGCTCGGCGCACAAGTCAGCAGTTTCCAGACGAACGCCTCTGGCCGGTTACCATCGCTCCAGCCGCAGCCGCAGCAGCAGCATGGTTATCACCATCCTCATCACTACGCCGGGGCTGCAACGCGCCGCCACAAGTTCATCCGCAGGCTGCTCAACTTTCGTCAGATGGACTTTCAGTTTGCCCTCTCGCAGGTCGCCGACCTCTGTTTCCGGCCAAAAGAAGCGTGCGTTTCAGTCCCTTCATCATCACTGGATTAGTTTTGCAGCGTGCTTGTTTTGTGCGTTGTCGGGTAGAGGCGTTTCGGAGCTTGTCGAGTGAGAGCTCAGGTTGCTGCTGTCGTGGCCGTTCGCCCTACCTTCAGCTTGCATCAACCGTTGACTTTGACGATGCTCTGGAACTTGCTTTGCACATGAACATATTGGTTGACTTTTTTTGTTGTTTCGGTTTGCAGGTACAGAAATATTTACTATCACAGACGTACGTTACTTTGGCGATTTTGAAAAGCCGTTGTTCAAAAGGCCACCGATTCGAAATCTTGCTCATCGAAATGCTGCTTGCATGATCTCAACTTGCACCACCGCCTCTACAGAAACGAAAAACCAATGGGCTCGTGACGATCCCGCCTTCATGGTTGTGCTGATCACTGTGATTCTGAGTACGTTTCATGTTTTTTTTTTTTTTTGGTTCGTGTTCTTTTGTTTTGTTTCCATCCCTCCAGTGTCTCATCCCTCGTAACGATGATTCGATTGTCGTCCTGACACTTGTCATTTCCCCCCCCCCCCAACCACCCCTTTTGTGCTTGCGCAGTCTCAGCCATTTGCTTTTCACTGCGATTCTCGCTGGGCGTCGGCGGCTTTTTCAAATTCTTCCTCTGGAGCGTGTTTGTTGATTTTCTCGGCACTGGGCTGGTCATCGCAACCTGCTGCTGGTACGTACAATGTGCTCTTTGTCATGTACACAATTGTAGACCCAACGAGACAGACTCACGCTTGTTTGTTGTTGCGTAAAAACTCGTTCTCTTCATCCTGTTCAGGGCATTTACCAATCGGTTTATGCGAACCCATACCCTCCATGGCGTGGAGCAAAGCGTCGAGTGGGCATACGCGTTCGACGTGCATTGCAACGCCTTCCTCCCGCTGCTTCTCATCCTGCACGTATTGCAACTAGTGCTGCTCACTCCGTTCATCATGAACACGCCGGACTTTTTCTCGGCACTTGTTTGCAACACCCTTTGGCTCGTGGCTCTCACGTACTACACGTACATTACGTATTTGGGCTATGCAGGTAAATGCTTTACATGTACATGTTTTTTGACCGTCGCTTTATCCGCCTGATCGTTTGCAAGCTCACTGTTCACCTGCTTTCCCAATCAGCCCTTCCATTCCTCGAGCGAACCGTCTACTTCTTGTACCCAGTCGCGCTTTCGTTCATTTCGTACATCATTTCTCTCCTCATCGGCTGGAATATCACCCGGTCGGTCTTCCGCTTTTACGAGCTCGAATTCTAACAAGGCATCCAGTATAATTATTCCCACCTCCCTTTGTTTTGACTTGGACTGCCGATGCACGGGCAAGTGAGCCTTGTAAAATAAAAAAAAGCCAACAACAACAACAACAACGAAAATTCCAAGTTTCAACGCTCACTTATTTCTTCAACGATGCCTCACTATGTCCTGGAATTCTAAACACCACTCCCTGTCGTTGACGTGGAGGGAGAAAAAATAAGAAACAGCACTGCTCTTTCAGGGACAGACATTTTATTCGCCACACAACGAGCAGCAGCAGAGGAGAGTTTTACAAGTTAGAAAAAAAAATTGGCTCTTTTAGAACTTGTTGAACTGCTTCTTGGCCTTCTCAGCCTTAAGATCCTTGATGACCTTGAGGACGTTGAAGCGGACAGTCTTGGAGAGGGGGCGGCACTGGCCAACCACGACGGAATCGCCGACGTCGACATCCTTGAAAGCGGGCGAGATGTGAGCCGACAGGTTGCGGTGGCGCTTCTCGAAGCGGTTGTACTTCTTGATGTAGTGCAGGTAGTCACGGCGGACGGTGATGGTGCGCTTCATCTTGTTGTTAGCAATAACGCCAGTGAGGATGCGGCCGCGGATGGACACGTCGCCGGTGAAGGGGCACTTCTTGTCAACGTAGTTGCCCTCGATGGCCTCACGGGGGGTCTTGATGCCAAGACCGACGTTGCGCCAGAAACGGCCCTCGCGTTGCGAGATCTTCTGGACAAGGACGCGCTTCTTGGCGCCGAAGATGGTGGGCTGCTTTTGGAAGGCCTTCTCGGTCTGTTTTGTTGTTGGAGCAAGGGGGAAAAAAAACAAGAGATAGAATGGTGCAAAGTGAGGAACATGGACGCAATAAAGAGATCGAAGAGAGGGGGAAGGGTTGAAAGGGCAAAGCCAAAAAGCCACGCGGAAGAAAAGGTCGTTCCAGCAAGAAGGGCAGCCGAATGTCGAACGAGCGGCGAAGCTGCTTTGATAATGTTGATGCCCAATACGGAATCGCATGAAAGGTGGTGCGGAAGGCGCGCGCCGTTCGACAATGCTGCTGATCGAAAGGGAAGGAAAGCATAAAATACAAAAAAAAAAAAACTTTCCAGCCAAATCCCAAGCCAAAACCACGCGATCTCGCTTTTTTTTTTTTTTTTTTTTTTTTTTTTGCGACGCAAGCCAACGGGAACACGAGCGAGCTCGTCCACGCGGAGACAAGAGGTTAAGGGACTTAAAAAATAGTGCCGTCCTTGGTGCCAAAAAGGCTGATGGGAGGATGCAGCGAAGGCCGAGAAGCGAGGCGAAAGAAAAAAAAAAAGAAAAAAAAAAGATGGTCGTCCACGTTTGCTTTGGCTGGTGCTGTTGCAAACACATCCGGATCGCTGGCTGCGCTGGCGATGCGGTCAAACAACGCTGGTGCTGTGCTCTGCATGACACAGAAGCGAAGAGCAATCTGACGGCGTGCAGGCGACAGTGGGCAAAACGCAGAGACGCAAAAGACCACGCTGAATGCGAAGACAACTTCTCTTCCTGCTCAGCCCCGCTGCTCGACTCTGCCGCTCGCCGTCGCTGCCGAAATGTGCCGTGTGTGGCCGGTTGCTGTGTGTATCCGTTGACGCCCGGAGGACGAGGGCAAACGGCCGTGGCGCAAAACAAGGCGAACGAGAAAATCGAGAGCCAAAAAAAAAAAAAAAAAAAAAAAAAAGCTATACCTGCTCCATTGTGTCAGAGGAAGTTTGGAAAAAGAGAGAGCGAACAACGGATTTGGATTGCCAGCTTTTATTTTTTTGCCGGATGAATTTAACTTGGCCGCCCGAAATTATTTTTTATTTTTTATTTTTTTCGTTTTGGTTTTTTCATTTTTGGCTGGATTTGCATTACGGATGGAAATTTCGATCGACAACGGGTCACATCTGAGCCATCCGACCGAGTGTTTTCCACATTAAAAAATCTACGGTGATGATAATTGGGCGCAGGGCAATTGGTTGAACGAGGAGAGACGCGAGAAATCCACTCTGCAAAATTAGTAATCAAATCCGTATGAAACGGCTGCATACGAATTTGTAATATGGACTCGTGAGCGCTCCGTACTCAGTCTTGGTTTTTCTCTGAAATTTTCGGCTTTGGGATTGAATGCACTCTGCGTTTCAACGGATCAACACGCTCTCTGCGTTCTCCGTGTCGGTGCTGACGGCGCTGGCGATCGGCTGCTTCCTGACGTCGTACATGTACAGCCCGAACGCCAATCCCGAGGTCGACGTCCGGTTGCTCCAATTGTAAGCTCCCAGCAGCCAGCTCAGCCAAATCATCATCTGCCACACTCGTTCGTCTCGTCCTGCTCGCTCATTGCTTGCCTGTGCAACAACAAACAAAACAACAAACAGACGCACAATCTTCTACTTTGACCAGAGCGTCGATGTGGCTGCGCTGACGTTCGATCTTCACGCTGGTACGAAAACGATGCATTCTCAATGGGGTTGTGCACTTGACGATCGCTCATCGTATAGTGTGCATGGTGTGATTGCAGATTTCTCAAGCGTCATGAATTGGAGCACCCATGTCGTATTCATCTATCTGACGGCCGAGTACGAGACTCAAAACAATGTAAAGATTTCAAATCGAAACCTTGCGCGCACTCTTAGATGTTGTTTGTTGCAGATCGTTCACGGTTGGTTGCACATGAACATGCCTGCTGGACCTGTGCATATTGATGGACAGCGTGTCAACCAGGTGGTTGTGTGGGACAAGATTCTCCAGCAAGGAGACAACCCAGTGCTCAATTACAAGGAGCAGCCGGGCAAATACGGCCTTTTCGACGATGGAACTGGGCTAAGGTGAAGCTTCATTGACGCTTGTTTTTGACGGGGAACCGAAACGGGGCATCTCTAGCACGACAAAAGCTAAAATCAGCCCGCTCCTCTCCTTTTTTTGTTTTTTGTTTGGTTTTTTTTCCTGCTCTTCTCACAGAGGAAACAAGAATGTCACCTTGTCCCTCCATTGGAACGTTATTCCATTGATCGGGTCACTGCCACGCTTCTCGGGCGGCCATCGTCAAGTCTCCTTCCCTCAGCAAGATTCCCTATGATTCTCACCGGCGCTCAGCGTTCCGGCTTTCCCTGGGGGATTTGTTTTTTCTAGTGTTTGTTGAAATGTACATTGATTATAATTTTACACTGCAATTCCTTCTTGTTGCGGTTCGGAGGGAAACGGAGCCGATTGCTTCGAAGCCGACGGTGGTGCTGACACCGTGGCTTGTGCGGCTGCTTCTGCTGTTGGGGCGGCACCACTGTTCTTGTCCACGCTGCGCGCTTCATAGAACAAAATGTAGCCGCATTCTGAACTTTGTTGGTCGTTCCGGTCGAGCGTGCTGCCGAAATAAAGCTGCAAATTGCTCTCCTCCACCAGCTGCGTCGCAGCAACGCCAAAAGCAGCCAAGCAGGTCAGAACTCGACGGCTAGGTCTGCAAGCATGCATCACACAGCCAGGATGCTTCTTACATCAACATAATCGTCATCGAACGACAGCCAATAGCCGTGACTCTTGACAATCGCAATGTAGTGGCCCCTGTTTGGCCCACTGCGACGGCGCGTAATGTTCAACCAATAACACCAAATCGTGAGCGATCAATTGGCCTGGGATCCAAAAGCACCCGGAACTCTTTCTCTCTCTCTTTCTCTCTTTCTCTCTCGTTCTTTCTGTCGCAACAACGAACCTTCCAACATGAACAACGATCGAAACCAGGTCGTAAAAGGCAGAGTCCTCGTCTGACGTCTCAAACAGCCGCAATTCGAGAGGAAACGCAACGCGGTGGTGGAGCTTGCGATACCGCTGGAGTTCCTCAATGTACTTGAAGCGCTTGAGATGAAGGGCGAGCACTTTTGGGAGTTTCTTGACGCGCATGCGCTTTTGCGCTTCTTGAAGCGCGCAACACTGCTCACAAAAGTACTTTTGGTCGGACTGCAGCGTCTCGGTTGCCGAAAAGTTCCTCAAGCAGCTTGTGATGGACGAATGCTGTTCGATGTCGATGCTCAGATCGAGGAACGATTCGTCCTTGCTGCTGACTGACTCGCACGTCAGGCACTTGGTCTCGTTGGTCAGAGTGCCTTCGAAAATGTCGTGCACCCACGTTTTGATTTCCTTTGCAGTCGGTGCACTCGACGAGGTTGGGGCCGCAGCAGCAGCAGCTGAACCACTCGCAGCGGACGATTTCCGCGACGCCTGCTGCAGCTGCCGAGCGTCCTTGATTTCGCGCTGAAGCAGCTCTACCAGCGTATTGACCAAATAGTTGAAAAACTCGTGCGCGTCTTGGTGCATGTACCCTCGGAAGAGCTCGTTCTCTTTGCGCAGCCTCGCCACGAATTTGCGTGGCGCCATGACGCCCGTCCGTCGCTTTTGCGCGGCGATCGATCCGAACAAGTCGCACAGGCACGACATGAGTGTTTCCTCTTGTGGCACCGGCGCAACGGCAGCCTGGCTGGTTGTCGTCGGCGAGTTTGTCGCCAGTCCAATTGGCCCTGTCGTCATCATTGCCGTGCTCGTCGTCGGCGTCGGCGTCAACCCACCGCCGGTCGCTGCCAGATGCGACTGGATGCGCTCTCGGATGCCGTCTCGGAATGGCTGGCAAAAGTACAGCGCCTGGAGCACGGAGTTGCAGTAGCACGTATTGCCAAAGTTCTCCAGGCCAAAGTATCGCTCGTGCTCGGGGACGGCTTGGCCCAGCGTCTTCTCAACGCGCGACGCAGAGTTGCCCATGACCCGTATGCAAAAGGAATGGTCTCCTTGCAGATGGCTTGGTTGCTGTTTCGAGTGTGTCGAGTGAAGAAGGGATGAGAGTGAGGAAAAAGAAAACTGAACACTGAGCGTCTCAGAACAGTAAAGCGCGTTCTGTCAGATATAGGTCGTTGGAATATCTGGGGATGCAAAGCCCAATACATTGTCCAGGCCTCACATTTGTACAAGACAGCCGACGCACAGCCCGAACTGAAATGGCAACAGATTCGTTCGCTTCGTTCGCTGCTGCTGGTCCATTGATTGGACCGATGCGACGTCCATTTGAGCACATGTATCTTGCCATCTGAGCTGGGCGTGTGAGTCATCCAATCCCAGTCTATTACCTTCTCTCAGTCTCTCAGTCTCTCAGTCTCAGTCTTTTTTTTTGCCAATCATGCTCGGTCGTTCCGTTGTCTTTCTGACGCGTCGCTCGATGGCGTTGCTGTCATCATCGTCATCGTCATCAGCATCATCAGCATCGTCGTCGGTGACTGCTGCTTCCATTGCGTCCCGTCGCGGTCTCTCGACGACCGCTTCCACCTCTGCCTCCTCCGCTGCCGCCGCTGCCGCCGCTGCCGCTGCCGCTGCTTCCAAGGCAGATGCGCCCAAGATCACAACGCACTACACCATCCACCCGCGCGAGTCGGATCCTCGCTGGAAGGGTAACGAAGGCAGACTAGACTGACTATTTTCCTTCTCTCTCCCGTTTGTCAATCGCGCCATTTCCCTTCCCTTCTCCTCTTCCTTTCCCTTCCCTTCCTTTCTTCTTCCTTTCCTTCTTTCTTCATCTTTCTTCATTTTCGCGGTTTTTTTTGAAGCAAAAATCACTTTTTCAATGGAACTCAAACAACAAAAAGCGAAGGAAACACAAAAAAGAACGTGATTTTTTTTTTTTTTTTTTTTTTTTTTGTTCTTGTGGCCCTTTTTTTATTCTTATTTTTTTTTTTTACGTGATTTTGGATTGAAAACAAAACTCAGACAAAAGTTGTGAAAAATAATGATGAAAAAGTGAAGCAATTTTTGGCGATCGACAAATGATTTTTTTTTTTTTTTGTTGTTGTCCTTGTTGTTCCGTTCGTCGGCTCGCTCAACAAACTCACTTTGCTTTGTTTTTTTGTATCGATTTTTTTTGTCACAGATATTGACATGACGCGCGAGGCGGACGAGGCCGATGTGGTCATTGTTGGTGGCGGCCCGGCTGGCTTGTCTGCTGCCATCCGCCTCAAGCAGCTTGCCGAGGCGAACGGCCAAGAGATTCGCGTTTGCGTGGTGGAGAAGGCCACAGAGATTGGCGCACATACTCTGTCGGGTGCCGTGCTGGAGCCCCGCGCTCTTGATGAGCTCTTCCCCAAGTGGCGTGAGCATGAGGTAAGCGATGCGGAGAGAGAGGCTGAGCGGGTACTCTTTTTGTGTAGACCACAAGCGAAGCTCAATCTTACCGCTCTCTCCGCTTTTGCATGCGCGACAGAACAAGTTCAAGACCACCGAAATCAAGCACGACGAAATGTACTTCCTGACCAACAGCGGCAAAATCCCGCTCCCTGTGTTGCCGTACTTCCCAATGAACAACCACGGCAACTACATTGTCCGTCTGGGTCACTTTGTCAAGTGGCTCGGAGAGCGTGCCGAGGAGCTTGGCGTTGAAATCTACACTGGCTCCCCTGCGAGCGAGGTATGGCCTGCGTTTCCATCCGAGTTGGCTTTTGTCTCAACCACTAACATTGTGCTGCATTTCTGGTTGTTTTTGTCTGCATAGATTCTCTTTGCCGAGGACAACAGCGTCAAGGGTATTGCTACGGGCGACATGGGCGTTGCCAAAGACGGCTCCCCGAAGGTAAGAGTTTTGAAATAAAGAAAGTGTGACTGACGCCTTCTTGCACCGACTGCATCCTGACGTTGCCCTTTCTGAACTGCCTTCCCTTCTCTTAGGACGGATTTCAACGTGGCCTCGAGCTTCACGCCAAAGTCACCTTGTTCGCCGAGGGCTGCCACGGTCACTTGACCAAGCAGCTGATCAACAAGTACGACCTCCGAAAAGGCCGCAGCTTCCAGACTTATGGCATTGGCATTAAGGAGGTGAGCATTTTTGGTTGTTCTGGCCTGACCTGGCCTGGCTACTTTACTGCTGCCTGATTCTCATTGTGCTATTTCGAAAAAAAATGTGCTTGCAGCTCTGGGAGATTGATCCAGCCAAGCACAAGCCCGGTACCGTCATCCACACGTGCGGCTGGCCGATGGACCACTCGACGTACGGTGGCTCCTTCCTGTACCATCTCGACGACGGCCCACTGGTTGCTGCCGGATACGTCATTGGTCTGGACTACACAAACCCTTACATGAGCCCGTACCGCGAGTTCCAGCGCTGGAAGCACCACCCTGCCATTGTCGACACCTTCGTCGGTGGCAACCGCATTGGCTATGGCGCGCGTGCCCTGAACGAAGGCGGCTGGCAGTCCATTCCGCAACTCGCCGTCCCCGGTGCGGCTCTCCTCGGCTGCTCGGCTGGCCTGCTGAACGTGCCAAAGATCAAGGGCACCCACAACGCGATGAAGAGCGGCATGATTGCCGCTGAGCACATTGCCGAGCAGCTCAAGGACACCTCCAAGACCAGGCTGCATCTGGACAAGTACGAGGATGCCGTCAAGAGCTCGTGGGTTGGCAAGGAGCTCGATGCCGTCCGCAACGTGCGCCCGTCGTTCAACACACCGTTCAAGTTCATCGGTGGCGTGCTGTACAGTGCCTTCACCTTTACCACCGGTGGCAAGGAGCCCTGGACCTTCCAGCACCAGCACCGTGACAACGAGTCGCTCAAGCCTGCCGCTGAGAGCGAGGAGATTGTTTACCCCAAGCCCGACGGCAAGATTTCGTTCGATTTGCTCACCTCTGTCGCGCTGTCTGGCACCAACCACGAGGGCGACCAGCCTGCCCACTTGACCCTCAAGAACGACGCCATTCCCCAAGACGTCAACCTTGCCGTGTACGCCGGACCCGAATCTCGCTTCTGCCCCGCGGGCGTCTACGAGTTTGTGACTGACGAGAGCAACAAGCAAAAGCTCCAAATCAACGCGCAAAACTGTGTCCACTGCAAGACGTGCGACATTAAGGATCCCACCCAAAACATCAACTGGGTCGTGCCCGAGCCTGGCGGCGGTCCTGCCTACAACGGCCTTTGAGCGTTGCTTTTTTGGTTTTTGTTTTCTTCGCTGCCTTTTTTTGAATGTTTGACACCATAAAATGGCCATTTCCCCTCCCCCCCGCCACCCACATACCCTCCCGCACAATCAAACAACTGCTATTTCGCTAATGTGTTGCTTCAAGTGTTTTTACACTCGACCTGCCGCAACAAGCAGCGACTCAAACTTCGGAAAATCCCATCGGTGCCACGCCGCTTTGCCAACTCCGACCGAGCCTGGAGATGCACGCGGTGGTACCTCGGGGATTCGCTTGGGCGGATCGCTGCAGAATGATAGAATTGGGGCAAGTGGGACGTTGGTGATGGTAGGGAGCTGTTCAACGCAGTGCATTGATTCCCTTGGGAGCAGCGCTCGCTGCCTGTGACCAGTTCCACCGCCTCGTTATCTCCCTCGATCAATGAAACTGACTAATCATACCATGCGTTCAAGCAGGGGTGTCGATCAGAGTCCTCAAGGTTTGGTCGACCAGATTCAGGCTTGAGCCAAGACAGTCTTTAAACAGAAAAAAACAACCAAACGACCCCATGTCGAGACCAATGAACTCTGGCGGTCACGAAGGCTATGGCCGTCACGAAGATTATGACGATGACGAGTACGACGGCGTTGGCCGTTACTCTGACCGTTATTACGACGACGGAAGCGACTACGACGAAGGCGACGAATTCTACGAGGACCGCGACGAAGACGAAAACGACAGCCAAGACTCCTTTGATGGCAACGACTCGGACAGCAGTCTTGCGGAAGTCGTCATTGCCTATGGCAGCAGGGACTACGGCGCAGCTGTGCTGGAGCTGTGTCACGCTCGTCTTGGAGTGGCTGTATCCCGAGCGCAAGCCTGCGTCGTACAGCTGTGTGCATCCGCCACGCCCTACCGATCGGACGGTTTACAGCAAGTTCGGCGTGACCAAGGAGGCTGAGTGGGTCAATTGCACTCCTGATTTTGGCTTCCATAAGGATTGGCTCAAGAATGTGGCCGGGTGGGCTATTGCGCCCGTGCTTGAATGGCTGCCTGAACTTCGTGCACGACGCAGCGGAAACAGTGAAACTCCGACATTCTACTTTTCGAATTGGCTCTACCAGTTTGAGCTTGGGGGCTTTCGGACTTCGCCCAAGTTCGCTGATTTACGAAAGGTCTGGCGTCATCCTCCTGGTGCTCATCCATTTGTGCTGGCGGCGACTCGACGCCTGGTTGTCGGGTGCCTGCTCGCGTGGGGATACTCTCCTTCGAAGTGCATCAGTTTCATGGCGTCATTAGATCTCGGTTGGTCAAGCTTCAAGCATCCTTATGACCGAGCGCTGAAAAACGAGTGGCGCCGCTTGCATGACCGGGTGGAAGAAGCCAACCAGGACGCTCTCGACCGCATTCTGCTCATGGCAAAAAGAGCGCGGCCTTTGAAACTTTCCGCGTTGTGCCGACTCAAGCTGTGGCGGCACGCAGGGAGCGAGGCAGCAGTTGCCAAAGCGCTTGGTGTGAGCAACATCGACGCTCTTCTCGGACTTGTCCCACCCGTCCCGCAGCCCGGTATGCGAGTTCCTGCACCAATTGCGCGGTTTGTGTTGGACATGCCTCTCGCTCGTCATTTGCAACGTGTCCCCGCGTATCACGATTTGATTTGATTGTGGCGTTTGGTTGTTTGTTTTGTCTCTTTGTAGATCTAGTGTGGCTTTTGCCTCTTTGTTTGTTTGTCTGTTTGGTTGTTTGCTTGCCTGTCTGATTATCTGGCTTGTGCCTCTTCTTGTCTGACTGTATGTGTGGTTTCTTTTCTACTGGAGCGTTTGTGTTGTTTGGCTTTTGTCTTTTTCATGTCTGACTGTCTGTGCTTTGAATAAACCACACAGCACTTGTTTTTGACGAACGCAGCGTCGTGGTGATTCAGACACATGAGATCAGACTTGCCCTCAGTCGTTCTTCCGCTCAGAAAATGCTCCTGTCGTTGCTGCGACGCACTCCGTCCTCCATCCGTCAGCTGCGCTCATTCTCCAATGTGTCAAGCCAAAACCACCAATCTCAGATGCAAGCTCAAACTCTGGCGCACTCTCGCGAACGCGGTCTGAGAATCCTATTCTTTGGCTCGGATCGCTTCTCAGCGCTCTCGCTCAAGGCGCTGGTCGACCATTCGTCGCTGTCGCTTCCGCCCCCACCCGCCGATACAAGCAGCCAGACACCCGGTAGTGATCCTGACGCGCGTCGCAGGGCAACCAGACCGATCGCGAGCATTGAAGTCGTCATCAAGCAGTCCGATTCGCAGCGCCAGAGCAAGCGTGGCGGAGTTGCTGATCGGACGTTGCCAGTCACGCAGCTGCTCGATCGGCTGCGTAGTCCAGCAAGTGCACGCGTTGCTCGAGATGCCGCGGTGACTGGATCGCTGCTTGTCGCGCCGACCCATGACCAGAACGCCCAGCGAGACGAGTTGGCTGAATTCTACAATGATTCCAGCGTTGCACAGGTTGCCAAGCTGGCATTGTCCGAAACGACCGCCGTTAGCGTCAATGTACCCACGCACAATGCTCCGGCCAATGCGGCGACGGATCCGATTTGGGACGGATGGTCCTTTGCCACAGCGTCGGGCAGGCTGTTCCCAATGTCGGACGCCGAGATTGCTGCTGCTGCTGTCAAAGCTTCCAAGGCGGACGAGCACTACGATGCATACCCGTTCGATCTGGGTGTCGTTATTTCGTTCGGAGCCATGATTCCGGAGCGTGTGCTGCGAAGCTTTCGGCTTGGCGCCATCAACATCCACCCGTCGTTGCTGCCAAAGTACCGCGGCGCCGCTCCGATTCACCGCGCGATCATGGCTGGCGACACGGAAACTGGCGTGAGCATTCTAACAGTGACTCCTCACAAGTTTGATGTCGGTTCCATCCTGCTTCAAAAGCACGCGCCGCTGCCCGTTCAATTTTCGGCTACAGAGGCTGTCGCAAGTCTAGGAAGGTAAAAAACACACCTACCGCCAGCCTGTCTGTGTGTTGTGACCACTCGCAGCCACTCCATAATTGTGTGTCCTCATATCTTCATGCTTCTGTCATGGATTTTTTTTTTCGTTCGTTGTTTTTCCAGGCTTGGAGCTCAGATGCTCACCGAATGCATCCAAAATCTACCAGCCTACCTGGCAAATAGCACGCCTCAGGCTCAAAAAGGCGGCGTCATGGCGCGCAAGCTGACACCCGACACCTCCTACCTGAATTTTACTAATCCGGCCGCTCAAATCGCCAATCAATGCAGAGCGCTCGTGGGAACCGTGTTCACACCTCGTGCCATGTACGAGGACAAGGTTGTCATGCTGCACAACTTGTTTCTGCTCGGCTTGAATCCCCGACCCTCCTGGGCGCCCGACGTGTCGCTTCAGACCTTCCACGACTGTCTGGTGGCCCAGCACGCCAAGGCCAAGTTGCCAGGACAGCCACAAGCCACTCAGCCGCCAGGCACCATTGTTTTCGACAACAAACACGAGCTCTTGTATGTCGTGTGTGGCGACAATCAGGTCGTTGCGATAGATGGGGTGACGTTTGAAAAACGCTCCAAACAAAGTGCGCCGCAATTCTTCCACGGCTACATGACCAAGGCGCTGGCCGCTGGTCGTCGCCCTCAGTTTTCTGCCCTCGATGGGTCGATGCTTGCAAAGCCTTCCGTGTAGAAGACGTCGAGACAAGTAGCAGGGCTGTGACTATGCATTGAGACACGTTGAGCCAAACGCAAAATAAAAATTCGTGTAATATTACAAAATAAAGTGACGCAGGTCGCAACGAAAACTACAAGTCCCAAACAACTCTAGACCCCAACTTTATGACATGGCAGCACCAGCAGTGTTGTCTGGCGGTCGGTAAAGCTTGGGAAGTGTCAAAAGTTGAATGCGGTTGAATGCATACCGCTGCTCGCCAATGTTCTTTTCGGCGTTTTTGATGCGCGTGCCTCGGCCTCGCATCACATCGAGAACTTGCTGCTGACTGCTCGGAATCAGGCCGTAGTCGTCGTGCAGGAGAGTGTATTGCTCGAGAGTCACGGACATGCTCGTGCGATCCTTGGCGCTCTTGCAGGACGTGAGTCGAACGCCGTTGAGGCGACGCACCAGCCGTTCGCTAAGCACTAGAATCTCAATGTTCTTGCCCTTGGACAGCTGCATGGCTCCGGCGAGCTGAACGCGAATGGAATCAATCAGCTTTAGCTCTTCGTTCACGTCGTGATCGAGAGTCGCGAGTGTTGAAACATCAGCCGTCGCGCTTGCGGATGTGCTACGAGCGTGTTGGCCCACTCGGAATGCAATGTAGCGCTGTAGATAGTTTTCAAGGCTGCGAAAGTTGTCGTCGTTGATGCCATGCTGCAGAGAAGCGTCTCCCACCGTGTTGGCCAGTGTTTGCGCTTCATTCACGCCCTGACTGAAAAGGATGGGCTCCAATCGCACGGGGCGACCTTCCTGCAACGTTTGCGGCAGTCGAGAGAAGACGGACTCGCTCACTCGAACGTGGACGGTCACCTCGCGGCGCTCGCCACTCAGCCAGACGGTCCAGGCTTCGTCCTCCACCGCGGTGGGTACTGGCAGAGCGACACTGGCTGGCTGCGGCTGGCCAACTGCGCCAATTCCTTGCTGATGCAGCAATGCAGCGGGAGAGGTGGGAGAATGCAGCACGAACGAAATGTGCGCCAAGTCCTGAACACCCACCACCATGTCTTCCAGCATGCCCATCTCATTGCCCGAAGTGCTGAGCAGCGACTCGAACTGCATGAGCAGCCCCAACTGCTCGAGCTGCTCCAAAAACACGGGATTGGCGCCATGGGTTGAAAGGATCGAGACAAACCCAGTGACAGCGCTCGCGAGCGCCTGCGAAAACACAACGTCGCGGCGTTGGACGAGCTCCATAAAGTTGAGCATGCGCGATTCAATTTGGGACATGACCACCAGCAGACAGGCCCGCACACCCTTGCTCACGTTGGACATGAGCTCGCACAGCTCATCGGACGTGCGATCGAGCAAACTCGTGTCGACAGAACTGTCGCCCATCATCAAATCCTTGCATGCGTGGTTGACTGCGCGCAGCTGCTCTTGCAGCTTGGTCTCGGTTCCATCATCCAACACGGACGAAAAGATGGCCGGCATGGCTGGCACGGTTTCGCGCGTGAAATGGTGCTCCACCGAAACCCAGTCGACGCCAGGTCCTGGCGATTGTTTCCCGGCTGGATGCGCGTTCGAGGCGGCCGCAGACTGATCAAGGGCTGCCAAAATGTGATCCGAAGCCCGCTGCGACGCCGAGCTGACCGACACTGTGCGCGGGTGTGCAGCACTCGTCGAGTCGGGGCTGGCAGATGTGGCGTGCGCTGTGGATACAGCAACGCTTGCCCCAGAGTTGAGCACAGACACGGAGCGTGAGCGCGCATCCGCGCCAGAGTCCAATGCCCCAGCGGTGGTGGACCGAGGGTTGTTGTGGCCGCCAGTCTCCACTAACGCATCCGGGTTGGACGCGTTCCGCTGGTGGGTTTGGGTGGCGGCGCGCTCGTCGAGCAGCCGAGCAGCCTGGTGGCAGTACTCGACTCCGGGCGCCTCGAGCATGCTGATGAGATGAAACACGCGCTCAGTGAGCGGAGCAAGAGCCGCTTGGAGCAAACGCGCGCGCTGCTCCAGAGTGGCCGGCGTGTAACCAGCGTGGGTCAATTTTGCTCGAAGACTGTCAATGTCGCGCTCAATCATATCGACATTATTGAGCAGTTGCTTGGCGGTAGCGAGGAAAGCCGTGGGCGTGGAATCACCGACAGGCAGGGGCGGCGGCAAGAGTCCGTTCGCAACGCCCGCAAGACCCCCTGAGAGAGCAGGAGCGGTCGTAGCTGTGGCCGAGGGTGCACCTGAGCCGGCAACGACCGCAGCATCGTCGCGTTGTTGCAGCAAGCGTTTCAGACCGCCGCGCTTGAAACCGATTGCCTGAGCTGAGGGCGCGCCAAACGTGACTGTTTCGTAGCGCCTCTGCAGTTTTCGGTCATCCACAACACTCATTCGCTGGATGTGGCAATTGGTCGGAACAAATTGCAGCTGAGGCTCGCGCTTGAGTCGGCTGGACTTGAAGCGAGGGCCGTGGAACGTCTCCAAGAGAGTCAGCTGCTCGCGGCAAAAGTTGAGCAGGGCGGCGCGTTGCTCAAGCTGCGTTAGACGCGCAGTCTCCCAGGCCTCGAAGGGAAGCCGGCCGATGCCCTCCAAATCATGCACGCGCCGTTGGTGTTCGTCAATGAGCAGTCGCAGGTACTGCACGGGAACGGAATAGGTAAAGTGCGACTCAAACATCTCCTCCAGCACGTCAAGCTTTCGAGTGTCGGTTCCACCTTCGGCCTTTTTAAAGCTAAACTCGAAATGGTACTGCTGCGAGATGGACTGCGGGGGTGAGACGAGGGCCAGCGCCATTTCTGCATACTGCTGCTGAGCTGTGGCAAACACGTCTTTCTTGCCCAGGGTTGGCGCAGAGGTTGGGGCGGATGGCGGTCGCTTGCTCTGCTCTGGGCGTCGGGTCAGCTCGTTCTTTTGCACGTGGCGCGTTGGAATGGTGCTGACAATTCGAAGCGTCCCGCGAACATCGCGGGTGCCTGGATGCGTCAAAATGAGGTCGAAAACGCCATCGACGGCGCGAGTCAACTGGGCAAAAGAGATGGAAGTCATGCCAAGCAGCACGCCAGTCTTTCCTTCGACCTGCACCAAGTCAAACTGCACCACAATGTCTGCAAACTCCTCCAGCTCGCTTCCCGAGAAAACGGCCATTGCTTGGAATTGGGGACTTGCAAGGTTGCTCTGTTGCGAAAGAGAATCCAACGATCAGACAACACAGCAAAGCAAAGCAAAACGCACCGAAAAAAGAAAAAAGAGAAAAAAAAAAGCAAGGAAAAAAAAACCGTCGCACAATTGAAACCATTCCTCTCTCCTACTACGTACAGAAACTAACTCGGTGCGGCATCGCTCCACTGGTCCAGAGTCAGCTCGAAGAACAACAACAATCTGCACAAACGAGTTGCGCTGCTTGTCTTGGACGTTGAGGCCCAGACAGCTCAGATTGAGTTCAATCCCGGCAGCAAGTGGTTGGCTCGTTGGAACACTGGCAGCAGTGGCTAGGGCTGGCGCTGTCGATGGGGTGGAGTCGGTTCGGCTGAAACCCCCGTTGGGGAGGCCAGGGATGACGCCTGCTGGTCCAACGGAAAACGTTTGTCGTTGAGTGGCTTTAACAGTCGCGGCAGACGCAGGCGGGGTGGAGCTGCCGGCCGACGCTTGGCGTCGAAGCGAGTCAACCACCGGTGTCGCGTCGTGCTTCATGACAAACTCGGCCGAGGCAGCAGCGCTCGTCGGAGCCGAAGGGGAGATCGATGTCGGAGAGAGTGGCACCGGCTGCTCAGGCTCTGAGCTCGTCGACTCCTCAGACAGTGGTTCATTGCTAGCAGGTCGGGTCGACTTCCCCGAGAGCGAGGTGGAGCTTGAGCTGAGCTGTGCGTGCAAGTCAGAGAAGCCCGACTTTTTGGGCACAAACCCCGTCAGGCTGATTTCGCCGGAAGAGCGCTTGTTGGCAGAGGAGTCTGACGCAACTAGCGCTGCCGAGACAGCACTGGCCACGGCGGGAGATGTTGGGGGTGGAGGTCGTGCAGGCGGCTGCGCTGCCGCCTTGGCAATCCTCGCGTCGTCAAAAATGGGATCTACCGCGACCGACCCTTGCCGACTTCGTGTCGCATCTGGTGTAGTGGGTGCTTGGTTGAAGTGCTGCGGTTGCGACGCTGTCGGCTGGGCAAACGGCGACGTAGTGCCTGTTCCCAGGTGTTGTTGAAATTGTTGCAGCAACTGGAGATTCTGCTGCTGGAGGCGAGCTAGACCCTGCCGCAGGTGCTGCATGCTCGACTTGCCGAGCACTGCAAGCCATCTCTTCCGATCCTGTCAACAGAATGGTGGTTGCAAACAATCCAGGAAGCAAAAGGTGAGCACATACAAGTATTGCCAAGCGAATTCCCGGAAGTGGTTTTGGTTGATCGATCGCAGCTCTTTATCGACTGCAATAGAGCATGCATCGCGCTGCCAAGTGAGCCAAGATGTCGCTTGGTTGCAAGACCTCAAAACCTCGAGAAAGGCGGCATGACCAACCAGACCGCGATTTCGACGATTGCAGCCATCTCTGAGTGACTCGCCCGCCCTGTTGTCGCTCAAGGTTTCCATTTCACTCTCCCACTCCCCACCCAGCGCACGGTTCAGCACCCGACCAACCCAGGAAGAAGAAAAAAAACCGCTGACGCTCAGCACGGAAGCGCAGCATTTTTTTGGCATGAACGGAAGGCCCAGCAGAAAAAGGCTCCGCACGGGTCTGCGCGGCCCGCAGCCAAAGCCAAAGCCACCATGACGGGATTGTGCAAGTTCTGGTGACTCTTATTGTCAGGGCCTTGCTTGAGGTTGCCGAAGCGAACGACCGAGCTTTTGGTCTGTCTCTCTGTGCAGCCAAAACCCAAACAAACTGGCTACTCACATCAGCGTCGCAGGCGTAGAGCAGGTAGGTTCGGGTCGCGAGCCCGTCCCATTCAATGGTAAAGCACCAAGGCCCAGTGGCGTCCTCGATCGACCGGAATGCGCAGCCCTCGAGGAAGATGAAGCCGATCGGATCACGCTTGGAACGATTAAAAAACAAAAAAAAACAAAAAAAAAAAAAAAAAAAAGCAAAGGAGACAAGGAAAAGATAGGGTCGATGTCGACCGGTTAGTGATGATCTAGTAAACCAACATCAACCCAAAGCAAAAGTTTCTGCTACCCGTCCCCAAATTTTCAACTCACGTCTGTCTTGCTCTTGTAGTAGAAGAGCATGTTGCCCTTGAGCACAAACCAGCGCTGCCGCAACGCAGATCCGTACTCGCCCTTCTTTTGCAAGAAGCCGCTGTGGTCGACCGGATGTGCAGCGGACATTGCGAAAATCCCAATCTCCTTGTCATTGCATCTGAGCGACATTTGGTGAGAGATTGAGATTTTGAAATAAGAGAGACTGAGATTCATCGACAGAATAGTTTTATGCATCTCGAAAGTATGAGTAATGAATGAAAGAAGGCTCTTGACTGGCTCAGAGTGGCTCAGAAATGGCTCAGTCCTTCCAAAAGAAACAACAAATAAAAAGCGACCATGGGTGTCACATCCAGCGTGCCGAACGAGCGCCGCACAAGCATAAAATACTGTAAGCCGAAGAGCATTGAATTTGGAAAAGAAGCGATGATGCGGATGGAACAAGAGCAGGGGAGAATGGCGCGTTCGATCACCAATGCTAACTCAACGCTGAGATCGACCGACCGACCGACGCTCACGCATGAATCATGGTGTGTGTCGTGTTTGCTTGGTCGAGTAGTTTCGGAACAGGAGCTTCACTGGCTGGAGAAGACGTACAAGGACCTCGTCCGTCGATCCAACAAGAAGACCATTGACAAGGAGACATTGTAAAACAAAAGCCTGCATCTCTTTGCCAGACCCACCCCACGACCACCCGAGCATCGCGAGCTGCTTGCCAACCATTGGGTGCAGCAGTGTTGAGGCTGATGAGCGCTGAAGGAGCAGCAGCAGCAGAGGAGTAGTCGGAATAGCGCGCGCGTCACCAGTTTCCCCCTTCCTCGATATTGACAAGCGGCGGCTGGTTTTCGCTCTGGCTTGCCCCCCTTTCCTCAGTGACTCGGCCTCGAACTCGCCGTGCTGCATGAGTTTGGTTGAGCCAGAGTGAGAAAGAGTGAGAGCGAGAGAGTGAAGCGTCACCGCTATGTGAGTGCGAACGGGCCAAGCTTTTGGTCCTTGTGTTCCCGCTTCCTTCCTTCCTCTCGTTTCCCGATCATCGTCCTAACAACATGCAATTCAAACCAAAAGCAACGCAAAAACACTGGAAAACGGTGAAAAACGGAACAAGAAAAAGAAAAAAAATCGACTTTTAAAAAAAAAAAAAAAATTCACAATTGATTTTTTATTCTTCGTTTTCCACCCGAGTTTTCGCACGTTTGGAGGTCTGAATGTCGCGTTCTGAGCGGACGACGGATTCGAACGTAGGCAGTCTGTGTGAGTGCGTCCACGGTGGCTGGCGGAGGCAACCCGGACGGCGGACGGCAGGACGGCAGGACGAGGGGGGAGCAAAAGGAGCAGACCAAATTTCAATTCCGAATGCCTGCCTCTCTCTCTCTTTCTCACTCTCTCCGATGTTGCAGTGGAGAGGGAGCTGTGCAGACCAGTCGACAATTGTGGGGACGACGGGTGTTTTAGCAGTACTTCACTTGCGGCACTCTGACAACAAACGGGTCCAATTTCTGAAAAACCGTGTGTTATTGCCCACTCGTTTCCCGTCTTTTTGATCTATTGTTGAAGCCTTTTGGCAGTTAGATCCTCGTCCGACTCACGTTGGTTTTGTATGAACATGCATTTGGCTTTGAAACTTTTTTTCTCCCCCTTCCACAGTCGACAATACTTTTCGCTGCCTGGCATCCTCGGAGAACGGCTGTTTGCCGTGTTTGATGTCAACAAGAACAACGAAGTCGACTATGACGAGTTTGTGTCGGGCTTGGCGCTGTGCTTCCACGGATCTGTCGAGAACAAGATCAAGTTCATCTTTGACATGTTCAATCTGGACGGAGATGGTGGCGTGTGCAAGCAGGAGCTCACCACAATGATGTACAGCGCGCTGGCCTCGGCCAACATTATTCTCGCAACGAGCTACCAGCTTGACTCGCGCAACCTCAGCAAGCAGCAGCAACAGCAACAACAGCAACAACAGCATCCGCATTCGTCTGGCGAACCGACTTCATCGCAAGCACAAGCGCTGTCGGGAATGGGCAGCTCGGGCGAACTGGACATGGTTGGAGCGTCGCAGCATGCTTCAGCAGCAGCACCTGAGAGCCACGCGTCGCCCCAAATGACACGACAGGGCTCGTCCACTGCAGCGTCGCAATTGAACGGCGTCGACCTGTCTCGCGCTGTCGCAAAGATTGTCGACGAGGCTTTCGAGTCTTGCGACACCACCAAACGAGGCCAGCTCAGCTACGAAGAGTTCCGCGAGTGGGTTCGCCGCAACCCTCAGGTGCTCGACGGCATCTTTTCCAGTCAGCCGCTGTTTGCCCACTCGGCCAGCATGAGGCGCTCTGCGCTGCAAAAGTCGCTCAGTGTTGTCTCGCCGGCCATGCTGGGCCACTCGCTCGCCGAGCACAACGAAGAAGCTGCATTCTCCCCGTCCATGACACCAATTACCTCTCCTCCAATGTCGCCGACCGGTGCGGCCAGCCACAACGCGGCTCAGCTGTTTGGCTACGATTTGGGCCCTGTGCCGTTCGTGTCCGCCACGCAAACTGCCGTCAACATGTACGGGTCCGCGGCAGCTGCGAGCCTAGCCATGGGCGCTGGTACTGGCACGACGGGCACTAGCACCAGCACTGGCACGGGCACCGGAACTGGCACTGCCAGTAGCACTGCGAGCGGCGGAGGCGGCTCGTCTTCCCAACCAGCAACAATCGCGTCGTCTCTGTTTGGCGTTACTCCGCCCACCCCACTTGGCGCACCCGCGTTGAGCTCGTCGGTCGGCAGCAACGGCGGCGATTTCTCGCTTGATGGTCCGTTTGCCTTGACCACGCCTGCCCTGTCCACGGGAATTGCTGTGGACGCTGTGCAGCAGCTGAGCAACAGTCCCCGCGCCACCAGCTCGCCAGCGCGGCGTCGCCAGTCCAAAGAAGGCTGGGGAACGGCAGACCAGCTTCTTGGCAGCGACGGCGACCCGATGAGCGACTCTGAGCTTGGCACCTCGCCGCCTTCGACCGACCAGTCGCAGTTTGCAGCCCGGCCCCTCTCGTCGTACTTTGCCGACATGGCGACCATGCCGACCATGCAGGGTAGCCTGTACTCGCTGACCAAGAACCCGCTCAAGCCTGTGCATCAGCGCTACTATGTGCTGCTCGGCGACTACTTGTACGAGTTTAAAAAGTCGACCGACTCCAAATTCGTGGATGCCTTCTTTTTGGGCGGAGCCTTCATCGAGCCGTACACGTTCACGGATGATGACGACGACGATGCTGGCACAGCAACGCATCCTGAAGGCGCTCCCGCTTCGCAACCACAGCTGATCAAGGAGAACTCTTTCAGCGTCGCTCGTCGCAGCTCGCAGCAGACGGTTTTGGGTCTCCGTCGCTCCAGCGAGCGCGGTAGCACTTCTTCCCGACGTCTTGGCAAATCCAAATTGCGTGAAAAGTGCGTGACATGTTCTTGTGGCAAAATTTTGGTTTTTGCTCGCTGCATTGTTTTGCTCATCCTGTTCTGGTTGATGCGATGGTTGCAGGTTTGGTTTGCAGATCGTGTTTAACGAAGAGCACTCGCTGATTCTCTTTGGAGATGTGGAGGCTCAAGTCGTCACGTGGCGCCAAGCGCTCGGCGTGGCAGCAAAGGTGAGAGTTCATTGAGGGGTTTTTTGGTTCTTGTTCTTGTTGGCTAGAGCGTCCTGGTGAACTGCGGGCTCAATGAACTTGTGGTCATTTTCTCGGCTGCGCTAGTTCCGCCGCATCGAGGATTACTATGATATTTCAGGGACTGAACTTGGCTCGGGTGCTTTTGCCAAAGTCGTTCTGGTAAGTCCTGCGTGTTTTTTTTTGTTTGTTTTTAGCTCGTGTTCGTGCACTCAAACCCCGTCCGCCCGTGCGTCCTGCAGGGCACTTCGAAAACGTCCGACCCTCCCGCCAAGTACGCCATCAAGATTATTGACAAGACGACCCTGTCCAACTCGGAGCGCGAAAGCACAGCGTCCGAGATTGCCATTTTGAAGCTGGTGCGGCACCCCAATGTGATTTCCTTCGTGGATGTATTTGACTCCAAGTCGACTCTCTACCTGGTGATGGAGCTCTGCACCGGTGGCGAGCTGCTCTCTCGCATCAAGCAAAAGGCGCTCACCGAAGACGAGGCAAGGCCGATCATTCGCCAACTTGCCGAGGGCGTTGCGTTCTTGCACGAGATGGGCATTGTTCACCGTGATCTCAAGCCCAACAACATTTTGTTTGTTGACAAGTCCATCGACTCGTTGATCAAGGTTTGTTTGGGCGCTTGTGCTTTGTTGATGATGGTGTGGCTGCTTTGTTTGGCGAGTCGGTCTCTTATTTCTTTCCCCCCCCCCGTTCCTTCCTTCCTTCCCTCCCTCCCGTCAACCCTTTGCCTAGATTGTCGACTTTGGCTATTCCAAGTACGTGGCCATCCCCGCAGACGCTTCTGCCAGCTACGCCGGCACAACCAAGTTCTGGGCTCCCGAAATCCTCAACCATGCCGAGCACCACAAGCCGGCCGACATCTGGTCGATGGGGCTGATCATCTTCATCACATTGTGTGCTGCCTTCCCGTTCGTTGGCAAGGACGAGGCGGATGTGCTCTGGAACATTTCCAAGGCGCGCTTTGCGACCAGCATGCCGCAGTACAAAGCCTTGTCTCGCGAGGTGCGCGATTTGATTCAAAAAATATTTAGCCTTGATCCCGCCAAGCGACCCACCGCGGCCCAGATTCTCCAACACCCTTGGCTGACGGGCATCAAACCGAGCGGCGCCACCTCCTTGACGTCTCCTCTCTTGTCGCCCGTGTTGAATCCGTCCTCGCCTGTCTTGCAAGCCTCTCGTTGAACGAGTGTTTGCGCGTGTGATCTTTTGTTGATCGTTGTTGTTTGCTGTTTGGAGTGGAGATTGTATTTTTCGGTTGGTGCTTGTTGTCGGTTGGTTGTTTTTGCGCAGACCAGAGTGATGGCTTTGTGCAACGATTTTCTATTTTGCGATTTTTTTTCATTTGCTTACTTTGGTATGTTCTGTATTCATTGTTTGCTCAAATTACACGTTTCATTTGAGCACCAAAGCTAATTGGTTGCGGGCGGATGGTCGGAGCTCGGATTAGATTTTGGTCGGAACTTGCCGATCCCGTCTCTTCGTCATTCGCCGCGGCACATACGGGGAAGTCGAAGCCGTTGCCAATTCTGTAATGACAAATGCCACAATCGCAATGAGAAGATATTTCGAATGTGCAACAACAACACAAAAACAAATCTCTACCTTCCTCATGCTCTCTCTTCCCCCACCTCCCGCGCGCACTCATACGCTACGTACGACGTGTATACTGGGAATGCCCAGAGCCAAGGGTTTGTGCCAAACACTTGGATAAAGTTCTGCTTTGCGCCAACATCGAAACCGTGCTTGCGAAGGGTGGCCATTTTGAGGCGTGGAATTCGCGTTGATTCTGTCGTGCATCAGCGAGTGAAGAGTCAAGTTGTTGCCTTGTGTTTAGAAAGGAAAGTCACGACTGAACAGCGCGCAAAGATCCTCGTACCTAACGTCGTCATGTTGCGCACCAAAAGCGCCACGTGCATGTAGAACAGCGCCATGACACCCAAGCCAAAGGCGCACGCAATCATAAAGAGAACAATAATGTTGATGTTTTCAGATCCTCGGTCAATCTCGCTCTACAATCAAAAGTAGATCGCGGTGTGAGAGTTCAGGTCAAAACAAACTCGGCTGCTGTTGCCGTTTCTCACGCACTCTCACATGCAACCACGCGAGCAAAACGTGCACGCACATTGAAAAACTGGATTAGATACGGGAGCGTCGCAAACGTCAGGAACAGCGTCAGAAGATGCGCGTAGAACAAGACGAGGCAAAAGTACTTGTAGTTGGAAAAGCCAACGCAGTTGCCAACCCAGGGACAGTGGTGGTCCATCTTGAGCATGCATCGCTGGCAGAGCGAGCAGTGATGACATCGATCTGGCCGAACAATCTCGCATTTGAAGCAGTAGCGCTCGCCAATCGGCCGCAATGTTTTGAAGAATGGATCGACGCGCTCTACATGGTGCCGCTCCATGCTGTCAACAATGCGCCGCCACCCTGTGCCAGAGACGGTGATTGCTGTCGAAGGGACGGCAAATGTGGCTGGCACTGGTGCTGGTTTGGACAGGAAAGTTCGAAGGTACGACCACACAAACAAGGCATAAAGCTGCAATTAAAAGGGTGCACAGCCATGCAGTGAGAATGATGTACCAAGCCCAGATCTCACAGGGATGAACAGGATGGTAAGTCGGGAACCAACAACGCAACGCGTAGACTCTGAGACATTGTGTTTGGCATGGTTACCAGATGGAAGGCGATGAGGTAGCCCACTTGCTGACCCACGTTCGACACGACTTGGATGGACACGACCACCACGAATGCATAGTAGCTGTAGATTGCCGTGAGCATGATGAACACGACGGGCATCCTGTTCGCAGTGGCTTGGAGGCAATCGGCTGTTTGGCTGCAGGCCTCTTCCTCTTCTTCCTGCCCTGGTCCAGCTGCTGCGTGAGAGTGTGTATTAGGAATGGACTGGTTGTGCTCTGGTGCGTCGGCGGGCATGGCGACGGCAGCAGACTCGGCAGCAGCAGAGCTGGCGCGCGATGACGATGCAGCATCGCCCATTGTGATTTTGACTGGTCTGCGTGGGACTGAATCGACCTAAGAAAAAAAAAAAGAAAATAAAAGTGAGACTGTGCTACTAGATTTGGCTTTTGAAATGCGGAAGGCGGCGGGGGAACAGTGCTGGGCTCGAATGGCGATCTAAACGGAAGCTTTTGAGAGCGTTGCCAGAAAGCATCATCCGTTCATAGTTGACAGGAGCGCAAAACCCGATAGAGAGCATGTAGTGAGTTGCTCTTGCTAAACTTTTGGAGTTGCATGATCAACTAATATCCAAAGCATGGCTCACTTCTCATCCTTTTGTCGCTTTTCGGCGTTTTGTAAGTGAATCCCATTTCGCGCCACTTTTTTTTCGCTTTTGAGCACTTCCGTGTTGATCTGCGCGTTTTTGCTGTGCTTCGTTGACTTGTCTGCAACTGTTGGGGGTGAAGCGAGCTAGCGGTGGTATGACATGACAAGCTGCCACGAGGGGAAGGGGGATGAGTCAAGCGCGTTTTCGCATTGGCCCTTCCCACTCTATCCGTCGCTTTCGTTGCAAAAAGCTCCCCCTCCATCTTTCATACAATCTCCCCCACCTCCATCCATCTCTCCATTCATCCTCGCTGAGCTACAAACAGTCGTTGCATGCCTTTGTGATCCGTGGGCCACGCGCGCCTCTTCCCCTTCCCCCTTTCCCCTCTCGCGTCTCGCAACTTCTTTCCATCCCCCCCCCTCATACACTCACATACCCATATCTCTCATTCTCCTGGAGAGTGGGGGAGGGGGTGATGGAATACTCGTCTCGCAAGCGGTCATCATCGACACCTTTTATTCGCATTGCGAAGGCGAGTTGCTGGGAAATTTGTACCCATCCCGTCCTAACTTCCTTCCCTTTCCTATTCACCCACTTCCCAGCCCAACTCTCCCACGCTCGGCCTCTCTTTGACACTCACACTCTCACTCGCTCACACACTCACACACTCACTCACTCACTCACTCACTCAGTGAATACGCATCTCCGTCTGCACTGATGAACATCCGTTCCTGTCATTTCCCAGCCTTTCAATGTCCGCCAGCCCCCTTCTTTTGTTGCTTTTTGCACAACTGTTTTTCATCACCTCGCCGTCTTGCATCCTCTTCTTCTCCCTTCGTGCGCATCGAGCTATTTCGGCTCACATTCACGTTGGGTTTGATGGATGATCATCCAACGAGGTGTTGTCGAATGGTGTGATTTTTTTTTTTTTTTTTTTACTTGTTCAAATTCGCGCGATGCTGACGTTCCTGTGGCTGACCGCGGGGAGATCTTTTTCATGTGACCATGCGCGTTTGTTATGGCTTTCACTCGCCTTTTGGGGGGGGGAGTGTGGTCTCGCGAGCAGTATGAGCAATGGTGACGTAAAACAGGCGCGCCATAACAAACGAGACAAGAAAAAATACTTTTTGATTGGATGCGCGCACAGCATCCACACGAAGACCACAAGAAGACAGTGTGCAAAGCCAGTGTGCAAAACAAGCATGGCATGTGTGGTTGCCTCGAAACGCAGCCAGAGTGTCGTCAGCCACTTTCACCCTGAAACAGCACAGCACAGCACAGCAGGTTTTCGCAACGCACGCTGTGATTGCGAACGAATTGCAACAAATCCAGATCCAGCCAATTGCGGCGCATACGAACACATGGCTCAATCCGATTGTTCGACAATTGACAGTACGAGGCATTTTGTTCGTGATTTTGAGCGCCTTTTTGCTCTTTCTCTTGTTCGTTTGACCGCAACAAGCTGCCGAACGCGTGGCCGAGTGCAAGCCGAGAGAAGAAACAAAAACGCCACCACGCTCGCTTGGTCGTGTGAGGTGGGAAGCTTCTCACAGTTCAAAAAAAAAAAAAAAAAAGCGCGGTCGGCGGCGGTTTTTTTTGAATCCAACTCAAAAAGAGATGCCGACCGAAGACAGAAGGCCATCCCCCACGTTCTCACCGATAAAGCGATCCTGTGCGAACATCTTTCACCAGTTTCGGCGCGTTTTTTTATTATTTTTCATTATTTTTAAACGAACACAACATCATGATGCAACAGCAACAGCAACAGAGGGGGACAACAGCCCAGATCCCCGTCCAAAAGTGAACATTCCCTCCTCGGTTTGAGCCTCGCCCCTTTTGTGATCTCGCTCACCCAACTCTCAACCCCAACTCCCCAACCCACAGTCGTCCTCGGCTAGTCGGCTCAAACCTCGCTGTTCCATTTCACACTTCCGTTTGCCGATAACTTTTTCCATTCCCAAACATCTCGGCGCTTTTTTTTTTTTTTTTTTTTTCGGTGTTTCGGCTTCGCTTTTTTCCCCGCTTTTTTTTTTTTTTAAATAACCATAATAATATTTTCCGTGGGAAATTTCCAATCCTCAGTCTTCATTTTATTCTTTGTTAGCTCGTTTTCTTTGTGTGTGATTGTTTTGTAAGCTTTTGATTTCAGATACTTGCACGGCTTTTTCTTTTGCGTGTATGGTTGCAGAAGACGAGGAAGACACGGATCGTTGCGTGAGAAACGGGGGGAGTGGGAGGGTGAGAGAGTTCGCACCGTTCAAAAAGTGAATCAGCGTTTTGTTCCTTGCTGTATCTCTCTTTCTTCTCTCACTCTCATCATTCTCGCTCTCGAATATATCGCAGTCGCATCCTACATCGCACTTTACTGCACTTGCTCCACCTTTCCCCCCTCCGCACATAAATTCCGCACCCCTCACCTTTGATGTATTGATTTTAGTTGTGCTCGTTGTTCTCATTTGTGGGGGAAAACTTTCTGCTCGTTTTTTAACGGAAACAAAAAAAAAATTATCCGTGTTTGCGTTATTTTATAATTTCTCACTTTTTGTGATCACAATCACAATTTCGGTTTTTTGTTTGTGTTTTTGACAGAAGACGCGCATCTCCCTTTTCTATATTCTGACTGTATTTGCGTTGTTTCCCAAGAATGGCAGCCCTTGCAATCTCACGTCGCATGTTCACATCGCTCTCGGCGCACTCGCGCGCACTCGCGTCGCTGTCGGCCACTCCTTCGTCGGCGGCTGCTGCTGCGCGCAAGGCTGAGGAGCCGCAGCCTGCTGCCTATGCAAACCGCATTCTGCCAATGAACCAGGTGGAGCAGTACAACCGCGACGGCTTCCTCGTGGTGCCAAACCTCTTCACACCGGCCGAGAAGCAGCAGGTCTTCTCGTGGACGGACCAGATTGGCGCCCTGCCCGAGACCAAGGGCAAGTGGATGCAGTACTTTGAGAACAAGAACGGCCAGCGCCTGCTGTGCCGCACGGAAAACTTTTTGGACTACTTCCCGGAGCTCGACAAGCTGATTCGCGGCAAGATCACCGACGCCGTGTCCGACCTGCTGCAAGAGCCTGCCCTTCTGTTCAAGGAAAAGGTCAACTTTAAGCTCCCGCATTCGTCCGGCTTTGAGCCGCACCAGGACGCCCCCGCGTACACGACTTTCAAGCAACGTCTTCACCTCACCGCCATGATTGCTGTTGACAAGGCGGTCATTGACAACGGCTGCCTCGAGGTTGTCCGCGGCGAACACACCAAGGGCATGCTCCCCCACCCCGGCGGCGTTATGGAAGAGTGGCTTGTCAAGAAGTGGGAACAGGAAAAGAAGTGGGAGCCCGTTCAGGTTGAGGCTGGCACGATTCTGTTCTTTGGCTCCTTCCTCCCCCACCGCTCCGGCGCCAACAACTCAGATCGCTCTCGCCGCGCCCACTACATTACCTACAATGCGCTGTCCGACGGCGATTTCCGCGCTGCCTACTACGCCGACAAGCGAATCAAGTTCCCTCCGCAAATCGAGCGCGTGCCCGGCGTTGACTACTCTGCTGGCGCAAGTGTTTACAATGTGGCCAACCCCATCGACACCAAGGCATAAAGCGCGTGCTGCTTCTTGGGCTGTCGATGCGTGATTTAACGTTGTGTTTTTCCTCGTTTTTTCTTGTTCTGTGGAGACCGTCGATCCTGGTTGGTTGTTTAATTCTTTGCATTATTTGAGTGCACTGAGCTTTGGTCCTTGTTGTGTGTGTGTTGCATGTCTTTCGATTGATTTTTTTGTCCTTCAATGCTATACTTTGGTTCTATTTGACTGCAGTCTGGATTCAATCAATGGTCTTGAACTACAAAGAAGCAGCATACGAGTACAGCGACATACAGAAAATGGTGCCCCAAAGTAGTTCACAAACGAGCAAGGAAAGCTGGGGAGAAGTAGAAGAAGAGAAGAAGAGGGAAAAAGGACACCGTTGTTAACAAACAGAAAATGTAACACGTAAATCAAAACGAGGCAGGCTCACACTTCGATGGTAGGATCGAATGCGATTGCAGGGTCGTTGTCAAGGACCGGATCAACTGTGCGTGTGTGCCAGACATAAATGCCACGACTGGAATCAGCTACAGCCTCGACATCCTTCCGGGACTGGGCAAAGTTGCTCAGGACATCCGTCTCGAGGTAGCCTCCCGATGACGCTCGAGAGACAATGTCGCCTGTGGTTGACAGAACATGTCGAAGGTGGATGGCAAAACCAGCCATGTCGATGGGAAATTCGCGCTCTGGCCGCCACTCTGCGTGCCACTTGACGCTGCCAGAGTCCGGGTCCACCAACGGGCCCTCGTACCACAGCCCGCCGACAATACCGACGGGCCACACAGGCAGGTGGCGCGCAAAGCGCATCCGCTCAAAGACCCGCAGATCGTACGAGTTGTCGTCGTCTGCAAAGTAGATGAGGCCGTTCACAGCGTGCGCAGCAGACCCTGCGTACTGCAGTGCCTGCAGCTGTAGCTGTACTTGGATGGCGCGCTTTTGCTTGTACGTCATGCTCCGAGTATCGACGATACCCTGGATGCGGGGGATGGGCACCAAGTTGTTGCTGTTGCTGTAGCTGTTGCTGTTCATGTTGTTGTTGTCGTTGTTGTTGTTGTCAGACCCGGTGGTCGTGTTCGGGGTGCTGCGCTCCTCAATGTTGTTGTTGTTGTTGTTACTCGCGCCTCGATCGCTGCTGGTTTGTCCCATAACAATCACATGCGGCCTGTGCGGCGTCTTGACCATGTTGTTGAGCATGCCACGGAGATACTCGATACCAAAGTTGCGCTGCTCGACGCCGCGATGGTTCTTCCACCGGGGCAGCCACCACGCCGCGGGCAGTGTCGAGATGGCAAGATGGGTGTACGATCCAGCCATGCCCGACCGCGCCAGGACGCCCGCGACGAGCGGCGAGGTGGTCTCTGCGTCCTCGACGACAATCCAGTGCAGCGCGGGGACTTGGCGCAGCGTGTTTGCAAACCGGGTGAGATCGGCCTTCTGGCCCGCGCGCTGCTTGGTCGGCGTGATAATGTAGATGATTGGCAGGCCCTTTGGCCGCAGCGGCGCGACGGCCGGCGTGGCCTCGTTCCACTCGAGGTGGACTGTTCGCCAGCTCTCAGCCTCGCTGAACTGGCACTCGCAGCAGTCGGCCGACCCCGGCTCGCTCACGAACGGATCGCGAGGGTCGTACAGCCCAGCCACCGCTTGCTGGATGGCTGCCGCGTTCGCCGCAGACTTGAGTGGCACCGTCGCGCGGTACGACGCCTCCGTGCACAGCACCACGTAGCAGATCTGGTACGTCACAAAGCTCGACAGCAGCGCCACCGCGACCAGGAAGAGCCGCCGCGGCGCATTCAAGCTGTACATTTGTGTGTGTGTGTGTGTCTTGGTCGGTGTGTGTGTGTCTCTCGGTGTGTGTCTCGTCTTGGTCTGGCGGGCTGATCTCGTGCCAAACAGGCAAGGACAGAACACCTCGCTCAAGGACTGCGGTTGGACTGCGGTTGGACTGCTTCTCAAGTGGATTGAATTCGCAGTGTTGGAGGCGATGGCACCGTTGTCGGATGTGGGGTGAGTTTGGGGGTTTTGCCGGGTGCAGAGGTTGTACCAAAAAGAACGACTGGGAAAGGCTCAGGCTCATGCTATGCTTGGTTTGGACGTATTGCATGCTGCATGGAAGATCAAGCAATAAGAAAAAACTCTTGGACAGAAGGTGGTGGAGAAGAGAGAGAGAGAGAGGCTTGGAGTACCAAAGGCAATGAGGGATGTGAGCGAGCGAGCGAGTGTGAGCGAAGGGCCGACGCGGGAACTGCGATGCTGAGGAGGCAAAGGGATAAAGTGAACAAGGACAAGCACAAGAGATCTGTTGCTGTTGTTGGTTGTTGTTTTTTCAGAGGGGGGTCCCAAAATCAGTGGAAAATCTGTGAAAATACTATCCGCACACACACAATCGGCTGGACCCTCGAAGAGGGGACGGCTGTTGTGTGTGCAGTCTAAGTCGGGCTAGATCATGCACTACACGTCAAGCATTACCGATATACTACAGGATACGATGGTCTGATTCTAATTCATTTCCTACAATGATCGTAATGCATTTCCAGCCAGTCTTCTTCTGCTTTTTGTCGGTTTTTGTCTGTGTTTTTTTTTTTTTTCCTGGTTCTTTCTTTCCATTGTTGTTGAAAACGTCGTTTTTCGTTGTCCATCCAGCAAAAAACCCAAACATAATCACGAATATGCTCAGGCTGGCTGCGGCTGAACGCTTGTTGCTCGCGTCTGCCGCTGCCACCGCCGCCGTCCACCACCACAGCCACAGCCACAATCACAGCCACAGCCACAATCACAGCCACAATCACAGCTGCATCAGCACGGCCATGGATTGCAGTGCCGCTGCTCGGCGCGGGGTCGCCAGCTGGAGCGCCAATGCGGCAATGCACCACTCCGCTACAACCGCGTGCGCTGCTCGATCGCCAGCACAGACGCCCACGCCACTGCCACGGGCCCGCGCACTGCAGCAACCAGCACTGGTGCGATTGCCATGCACTGCTGATACCCGAGCTGGGCGGCGGTGGTCGTCCACTTTATCCACTTCTGCTCCTTCTGACGCTCGTCCGCCAACGACAACGCCGAGGGACAAGCTCATGGAACATCAGGATATGGAAACGTTGGACGATGCAGACTTTTATTCAAGCGGCGCTGATGAGCACCTTGAAGCCCATGGCCATGAGCATCCAGCCGCTGCTGCTGCTACTCCCCGTGCGCAGCAGAATTTGAGCGAAGACATGATGGACGACGACTTTGCAGGTTACCCCAATCAAAGCGACCCTGTCGTAGACCAAGCTCTAATGGACTCGCAGTCAAGTCCACGCGATAGGTCGAGCCAGAGAGATCCAGCAGATTCAGGTCGTAAGCGTGCAACCGACGAGTACTTGGCGCGACGATCAGAATCAACCACCTCGCGGAGACGGTCCTCTAGAGCAAGCTCTGAGTACGCGGCTGCCTGGGCGGAGCGGTTTAAAGCAGCTCGCGAGTTGAAGGAAGCGCAAAGACAAGCGGAAACCGATTTGGCCATGGAGGTCGAAGCGCGTCGCCGCGTGCAATTGGCCTCCTCCCTTTCTCTCACCCCACAGCACGACTACCTGGGAATAGAGTCCCGAAAGATGATTGCTGAGCAAGCTTTCGAGGAGCGCGAACTCTCCGTTGAGGGCTCGCTTGGCTTGGCCGACGTCCATGCCCATCAACGGCTCGCCTTTAAACGCCTGGACCCTTCCACATCATCGAGGCGACTGAGGAAGCGCTCTGCTTCTCGGGGACCCGACGTCGACCCGGAGGCGGCTTTGCAGCAGTTTGGCGAGGCCGTGGTCTCGATTCGCCAGCACGCAGAGCTTGAACACGCTGCTGCGGTTCTCGAAGCGCAACGTGTGCAGCAAGTGTTGCAAGAACAGCAGCAATTGGAGCAACAGCGGAGACACGCGCACTCAGAGTTGACTCCGCAACAGGCCATGCAAGAGTCTGCGCACGATCATCAATTCCCGGAGTCAAGCAAACGGCTCCCATCCGAGCTACTAGTGACCTGGTTGGACCAATATTCTCCGGAAGCGCTAGACCTCCAAGAAAAGGCCAAAGCGTCAGAGCTCATGCTTGCATCCCTGAACAAGGGAAGCCCAATGGACGCCATCCCATCCTCCTCCTACTCCTCTTCTTCCTCCTACTACAGCTCCCCCTTCAATGCAGTGCCAGAAGAAGATGGTGCTCTGCTTTCCGATATCACACCCGACCAGCGACTAAGGCTGGCACGAAAACTTGAACGCACACGCCAAGCTCAGTATGCCGAATCCAGCCTGGCCAGTGGTCGGGCGGCCGCTCTTGCGTGCGACAAGCGTCCTGCTGGTGTCGAAGTGCAGGTGCGTGCGCCCTTCTACTATGGCCCGAACTCGCTGATCCGACAAATTCGCGACAGTTCGCAAAGACGTTTGTCAGGTATGAGAGAGAGAGAGAGATGTGCGGCTTGGGGAAAGGGGGGGGGGGAAGGGCACACATTGTGATGTTGTATTGACATGTGCGTCTGTCTTTTTGGATAACACCATACCAGTTCTTTCGGTGCAAAACACATCTTTTGGCTCGGTGTGGAAGATTGTGCTCCAGTTCTGCCAACCCGAACTCTGGCAGACACGGCAGCTCATGACCTCGCTTGCGCCCTTAACCACCTTAACGGTATGGTGCAGTTGATTCGCTTTTTTCGTTGTATGTGAGATTGGGTTTTTCTCGCGCTTGACTAATCATGGCACTGGGTTTTTGTTTGTTTGTTTTTTTCCGCTGCTGCTGTTTTGGTAGATTACTCCTCTCAATACTCTGGAACTGTTACAGCACAAGCAAGCGGCCAACACTTCGGTCGCTGCGTTGGAGGTTGGTCATCTGCCAGTCTCCGTCTCAGCGCTCGATTTGCAGTCGTTCTTTGGCCACTTTGCTCTGGCACCTGAAGTGCCGATCGAAATCCGCCGCACGTGAGTTTTGGTTTTTTTAATCTGTTCTGTTGTTGTTGGTTGCTCTGAGACTTTGCATCATTGCCGTGTCTCACTCGAACACGCTGAAAAAAAAAAAAAAACAGAGCCGACGATAGCCGGGCCAAAATTCGATTCGCGAACGCTTCGGAGGCGACGCTTGCCCACGCCTGGGCCGCCGGTCGTGTGTGGCCGACGTCGCAGGCGCGGTTGGGCGTGCGACTGGTGTAGTGTTGTACTATTACATGTCACTGAACAAAAATCATCCATTGTTTGATGTTTGGAATGGCTCTGCATCATTTTGCTTCAGCTACTGCAGAAATCGGCCGAGTGAAGTGAGTCGAGTTTGCTTCCAGCGAAAGAGTCGTTTGTCCAAAAAAAAAAAAAAAGAGGGTCGAAATCGAGAGAGTTTGAAAGAACGGGACTGAGAGTTGCAGGAACAAGAGAAGGCCAAATAAGCACTTCCCCAGTCCGTCAATCTCCCATTAGGCGCCCCGTGAGCCTGAGAAATTTAAGAAATTTTTTTCATGCCGATCAAACGACAAAAAGCTGAAACAAGCGGCCGACCGAGTGCGTGCGAGTGTGTGACGGGAAAGCAACGAACAACGGAACTGAGACTCGGATTTTGGCAGTCTTCCCTTCAGTTTGCTGGATTTCTTCAATTGCAGCTTGTTTCGTTATGGTACGCGTTTGTTGAAGCTGGGTTTTTTGGGTCAATGGAACCGAAGCTGCGAGCTTTGGCGATTCGAAAATGAACTGAAACCAAAGCAAAATGCAGAACGCAACTGGACGAACGAGTGAGCGAGCAAGTGAGAGAGACAGACAGAGAGAGAGCGAGGCAATGGAGATTGGCAGAGATCTCGGCTCTGTGACGCCTCCCACCAACTCCCCACCACCACCACACACCACCACTGCGATACTAACTTGGATTGTATCGTCGCTGCTGCTGGGGTCGCCCGGTGGAGGAGGTGGGGGGGGTGGTTGGAACGTCGTGAGAATGGGCAACAGTTGGAAGTCGAGCGAGACCAGCTGATCCAAGTCACTCTCGCTGCTCTCTGCTCTGCGCTCCAATGGGCACTCACAACATGTTTCCCCACCTGCTATCAAACAACAGGCTCAAGTGTGGAACAACCGACTCGCGTCGCTCAGTTGGCGCATCGACGTCAAAACCAAGTCGCGGCACGTCGAGAACATCAACGAAGCGACGTCCATTGTCGAGCTCAAGATTGCCCAGTTGGACAAGGTCAGCTGGCAGGACGCCTTGTTCCAACAAGAGTCTTGTTCGTGATTATGATGATGATGATCACGGGAAAGCGGGCAGAAGGGACGGGACGGGACGAGGGAAAAGTCATCGCTCGAAGTTTCTCAGACTTTATGAATTGTTCACCCACTCACTCACTTGATTGCTGCTATTCAACAACGTTGCCAAATGCGACCTTTGCCTCGTTTATCCGCTCGTTTCATCTTGGTTTGGCTCCAGTCAACAGAGACCGTTCGCTTTGAACTCAACTCGGACCGCATGCAATTCCTTGTGGGGCAGATCGAGGCGATTGAAAAGCAGCTCTCGGCACAAGCATCGGTACCAGTTGTCAAGCCGCTGATCAAGGCCAAGCCAACGGGCCCTTCGGCTTCCAAGCCCACCGTCACCTCCAAGCCCAAACCTGCGCTGAAACCCACTCCAGCAAAGGCATAGGCATAGTGGACAGTTCAGTTGGTGTTTTGTTTTCGTGATTTCCCCCCCCCCCGTTTGTTGATTATGTGGCTGTCGTCGCGATGGCTTTCAAGTGTGTCACATAGAATTGAGTAAAAAATGGTTGTGTCTCTTCTTCGTCAGATCCAACACCGTGTTGGAAGGCCATCATCTACGGTAGAACTTTGAGAATTGGATTGATACAAGAAGAAAGAAAATGCGACACAAAAATTACTCGCAGATACAACAACGACTCGGCTCAACCACGAGTAGGCGAAACAAGGGCGGGCGAGGAAGCGTTCGAGACAGGGGACGGCGCAATCACATCCACAGAGACGTCGGTGGTGGACACGGGCAGGCTGAGACTCGTTGAGAGCACTGGCAGTGCAGATGGGAGGAAGGAATCCAGTGGCACCCGCTTAAAGCAACCGTCGCCACCGGCCGAGAACATGAACTTGTCGGTAAAGACTGTCTGGAAGACGCCCTGGGCCTCGGCCTTGAAAAAGGCAGAGTTTTTGACATGGAGAGTGGGCAGAGACGCGAGCTCCTTGCGCGTTGACAGGCTCCAGATTTTGACAGAGCCGTCGCCTGCTGCGGTCGCCAGCAAGTCTCGCGACTCGTCGACTTGAATGCTGCGGATGACTGAGCCCTCTTGGGCAACAAACGTATCGACGCGCCGACGTTGGCGAATGTCAAACACACACACGTCACCCATCTTTCCACCCGAAACTAGCAGCTGGCGGTGCGGTGCGTACGCGATCGTGTAGGCCCCGCCTTGTTCGTGGCACCCAAAGCTCCGCACAACGGCCTTGCCTGGCGCGACCAGCAAGTCCCACAGAGCCACGTTGCGGCCATTCGATGAGCATCCGGCGGTGGCCACAAAGCTGGTAGAGTTCAGAAAGACGAAATCAGCCGCAAACTTGTTGTGGCACGAAAGAGAAATGAGCGGGGTCGACACGTGAGGTGGATCGTCGTGACGCCACAGGCTGAGCGCTCCGGTTGTATCGGTCGCGCCAAACTTGGAGCCAAACATGTTGTACTGAAGCTTGGTTGCACGCGCCGTCTTGGACAAGAGGTGGTACTGGAAAACTGGTTCGTCGAGCGCGTACTGCCATTGCTGAACGACCCCGTCTTGGCCGCCCGACAGATAGTAGGGCAAAGTGGGATGAGCCTCTAGACACATGACACCTGGAACGGCGCGATGAAGGTGAGACTGGGTTGGCAGGTTGTCGTGGAGGCTCGAATGTTTGGACGATTTGTCTCCAGACGGGGAGCGCAGAGAACCTGCCTTCTTGATGATCACCTTTGAGATACGGTGGAAGCTCGAGTTTGTCGTGGTGCGCGATGCCAACGACACCAAGTCGCCGGGCACCGACCCTGCCAGGTGCGCAGCGGTGGGCGTGAACATCTCCGACAAATGGCCGCCGACACTGGCACTGCCGTGGAAATGGTGGTCGCCTGAATCATCAACACTGGAAACCTCGAGAAGATTGCTCGCAGAACGTTTCGCACTGGGCGTACCGGGCGGCGAGTTGGGCAACTTGCCATGGGCATCAACAATTTCAAACTCGTGGATTTCTCGCAAGGTCGCGAGAGCCACAACACGTGAATTGAGAGAGTTGAAGCAGAAAGCCATGACGCTGTCGTGCTCTCGGTGGAGGGTCGAGGGCCGGTTGGTCGGTGGGTCGAGCTTGTCACTCGTCTCCTCGCCCAAAACAAACCGCATCACTGTCGGCTGCAACACCTCCTGTCGAACCAAAAAGTGCCACAAGCGACGAGCGGGTGGGTTGGTGCGGAAGGGGTTGTTGTTCGAGTCGAGAATCGACGCGTGGCGGAAGCGCATGACTTTGGACGGGGACTGCGAAGAAGAAGTGCTGTCCGTTTGTTCGACAAGATTGTGTGGAATCTGCATGGAGTCGAGCTCCGCCAGCATTACGGACGACCAGCGATCGACGGCCAGCAAAGCTGAGTGCAACATGCCAGAGTGCTGCGGGAGATCTGAGTACAGCAAAGGCAGGAAATAAAAGTGTGAGTTTTGGCAAAAAAAAAAAAAAAAAAGCGAACGACCCCGCTACATCCACCCCCGCACGCGCGCACGCGCGCACGCGCCCCGGATTTTGCCAAATCCAACAGTCGCGGAACCAAGAGATCAAATACAAAAAACACAAAACAAACAAAAACTCACAGTTGAGGGAAAACCCAAAGGAAACGACAAAGTGCTGCAACGAGAAGGCCACAAACTGCAAGCATAGCAACTTGAGCAGCGATCGAGCGTAGGAGCGACTGGCTTGGGTCTCGGAGTCACCCAAAGCCTGGCCTCCGGTGGCGGCCGCCGACGCGCTGCGGCCAAACTCGAGGCCCTTGTTCCGGCTGACTTCGCTCAAACCTTGCTCCGAGTCACTGTCCTCGTCGTCGCTGTCTGAGGCATAGTCGTTCACGGCGATGGCGGTCATGAAGCACTGTCGCAGCGAGCGCGCAGCCTCCTGCGTGCCATCGGCCGAGACGAGGGCGCCGCGAAGCAGTGATTTGCGTGGAACGTTGAGCAAGAGCGTCAAGAGCGTCGTCAGGTCGTCGCGGCTCCACGCAGACAGGAAGAGGCCCATAAAGACGGCGACTGCAACCTCGCACTGCGCCGAGCCGGACAGGCGGAAGCCTTCCTCGACCGTGCTGCTTGTCCATTGCCAGCAACCGTGCGAGAGGTAGTTGGCCAGTTGCTCGATTCGCCCAATGCGACCGAGATCAAACACGCTCAGAGGGCTGCTAAAGGAGGCAAAGCACTCGATAATCTCGTCCGCCAAGGACGAAAGCACTGGAGGCACGAGGTGGGGGCTTTGTTGTGACTGCAGCGCCACCACCAGCGGGTATAGATCACGCTTGATTGCGTAGGAGAGCAGGGTACCGAGCGAAGCGTGAGGTTGCGTGGGGAAGACGGCGTCCAAGCGAGCAACGTCTTTGGTGAGAGCCGCGATGGTGCCCGTCAGGCTCTCCAGCCTCTCCGAGCTAGCAACGCCCCAAGTGCTGCACAGCAATGCGGATGTGACACGCGATGTCAGAGAGCCGCTGATCGCGGCCTGGTCGAGGAGCTGCTCGATCGCTTCCTCGTCCAGCACCTCGCCGGACTGCTTGGTGATCAATCCAAAGTCGGCGTCGTGTGACGATGACAAGCCGCTGCTGCGACCATAGTTGCTGCTGCCAAAGTTGCTGCTGACAAAGTTGCTGCTGCCAAAGTTGCTGCTGCCAAAGTTGCTGCTGCCAAAGTTGCTGCTGCCAAAGTTGCTGCTACTACTGTCGTCGTCCAAATCGGCAAACCGACGCGAGAAATTGCTGCCCGTGCTCGCAGGTTGACTCCAGTCCCAGTCGCCGGACGAAACCTGGCCCGTCGAGATCATGTCCGACACGGAGGGCTTTGCAGGTGTGGCAAACAACGCCTCGGCAGTGTCGGCCTTCGGACCCTTTGAGGAGTCGTCGGCTGCTTTCTTCTTGGTGCTTGCAACTGCCAAGGACGCGGTGGCATAGAGCGCCTGCAGCTTGCGCAGCGAGTCGAGCGCGAGGAGCGGGCAGCCACTGTTCAGGTACGAGTAGGCTTGGCTGAGCAGCAGTTTGCGTTCCACAGGAATGGCCGATTGCACAAGCGCAGAGTTTTTCAGCTGCGTGTTGCTCTTGAGGTGGTTGAACAAGGCCAACACGGCTCCATCGACAACCAAAGTCGTCTTCGGTGCGCTGGACTGGCTTGAGGTCTCGGCTTCGCTGGTGCGTTGGTCGCTCACAATGCACTCGAGAGCCTTGAGGTAGTCGCGACGGAGCCAGTGCGTGACGCTGAGCTGCCAGGCATCCTCTTGCTCTGTGGCCAACGGCAGCAGTCGCTCATTCAGCACGCGCGTGCCAATCTCACCGCCATCGCCTTCGTAAAGTCGACAAATGGTCCACGCCAGCTGGGGATCTTCGAGATTGCGGCAGCAGATGGCCGTTGCGTCGTGCAACGCGCCTGCAAGCAAAAAGAATGCAACCGCATGCTCAAACCGCTGCTTGCCCAGCAGGGCATACGCATTTTTGAGGGCGGCGGTTTGCCAGCGCTCCTCGGTAAAGTCATTCGAGAAGAAATCCACCATGCGTTGGTCCTTGACCGTTTTGAACATGGTCAAGAGCAGCGACTTCTTTTTCATGGCCAAGAAAAACAGAGCACACTCGAGCGGATTTTTGGTTGACGTGAAGCGGTTTTTGGCAATGCGCTCGCAGTACGTGCGGAGAGTTTGCACATTCTTGAGCCAGTAGCCAGCGCCGAGCGAGCGCAGCTCGCTCCAGCTCAGCTCTGCGCGGCCTGCAAAGGCCACTTCGAGAAGCGTGTCTTGCGACTCAGAGTGCAGTGCAAACGCAAAGTCGCGCGAGGACAGCTGCGTGGGTCGCAGACGCGGAGCCAGGGTCTTGGTCAGGAAGGCAAACTCTTTGAGCGAAAGCAGAAAACGAATGCCGTTGGCATCGATGGCCCCTTGCTTCTTTTCAGCATCACCAAACGTCTCTGCCATGGCGAGCAGCCGCATTTGCTCTTGAGATGTCAAACCTGGAAGCTGAACCGACAGCAAGGCGGCTGCCAGACGACTGATCCAATCGTTCTTCTGGGCCGCTGCTGCCGCTGCTGCTGCCTCTGCATCTTCCTCGTCCTCGCGAGGCGTCAGAAAGGCAGAAAAATCGACCTTGCGAGTCATGGCGAAAGGATTGTCTTCCTCCGCTTCGCCGGCCGCATCGTCAATGGCGAATGCTTTCGAGGGCTTGGAACGATCGGTCGTCGCAATGGAGATGCCCTCCGCCCCTTCGAGCCTGCCGCCATCTTGTTCCGCAAAGATGGATGCAATCGGAAGCGGTGGCAAGGAGAAAGGTGGCGGATTGGTTGAAGTCGACCCGGAAGCAACATCGGCCTCCTGAGCAGCCTCCTTTGCCTGCTCAAACGCATCCAGGGCATTGCAGAGATGGTGAAGAATAATTCGAACACGCTCGAAATTGCCAGCAATCAGCTGCTCCTTGATGTGAACAGGGTGGTATAAGGGCAGCGCATCGTTCTGCATGCTGGCGGCATCGAAAAAGCTGGCGACAGCGGCGTTGTTGGGATTGGCGGCGCTTTCAAGAGCGCTCGCCTGTGCCAAGCTGGCCTGCTCAGCAGCGGCTGCGCGTGCAGAGCCAATGCCGTGAGCAGCGTTTGTGGCGTGCGACATGAGTCTGACCCCGCTCGCAGTGCTAGCTGCTGGCGCTGGCGAGGCTGCGGCAGACGGCACACTCGACGACGAAGACGCCGACAGGTCGGGCGTGGCCGGAACGGACGGACCTTTCGCAGCATCAACGGCAGGTGCAGGTGCAGCCACGGGGAGCAATTCGTTGGCCACGACGCGAAGCTTGCCGCCAAGGTACTTGGTGTACACAAGCATGTGATAGACGTTGGCAACAACCAAGCAGCCGAAATGGGTCCATGCGGACACAACCGGACCCTCAAACGAATACAATGACGACGGCGCCAACGCGGAAGCGACCAGCGCGGCGTCGTCGGAAGCGCTCGTCGTTGCTGTTGGGTTGGCCGTCGTATGGCGTTTGCCGACGTGCAGATTGAGCGTGAACATGAGCTTCAGTGTGCCTGCGTTCGTGCCGCTGGTGGCGGCGCTCGTCGCTGCGGTTGCGGGCTGCACACGGCTGGAGGTAAAGAGAGACAACCGCGTTGCGCTGCTCACGGCCAACAAAAAGTGACCGCTGTCCATGGGCATCCATTGCAAGTCAATCGCGCGATAGCCGTTGGGTGTGTGCGAACCAGGGAAGGCGCCGTCAACAAACAGGGCACTGAGATCGTGCGAGGTCTCCTTGATAAAGTCAGCCTGCCCAGTTTCGCGGAGCCAGATGCTCAGCACGGGCGGTTTGGCTGGACCTGCCGTTGTAACGCACGCAAATCGGGAGAAGGTGCAAAACGCGAGGGCGAGCACCGAAGGGGATGTGGCAGCGCTGGCGGCGTTGATGGAGGATGCCTGAGGAAACAAGCTGAGTCGGAGGCCAGAGGGCCGGGATGGGGCGGGCGAGCGCACTGGAGCCACGTCGCGGGCTGGGATGACCTGCACAGACGAAGAAAAGGCAATGCTGTACCGCTGGGATTTGGTCAAGGGATCGTGCACGCAGTCCCAAAGCTTGACAGAGCCATCGGTGCACGCGGTAGCAAACAAAAAGCCGGCACGCACGCCCTTCAGGTCTTGGTCTGAGATGAGGCTGCCCGTCGGCACCACATTGGTGATGCGAACCCCAGCAGGGAGGTCGAGCTCGACACGAACCGCCTCCTGCGTGTCGGTGAGCGTCTGGAAGTTGGAGCTGCACTCGAGCATGCTCAGCACATCCGTGTCCAGGAACAGACAGCTCATGTCGCAGACTGGGACGCGAATGCCACCGAGCGAGGAAAGCCGCTGGTGCGAGCTCGAGCTGACCATCGACTGCACACCCGCGGACGGGTCAGAAGCCAGCGTCACAGACCAGATGCTGACACACTGGGCGACAGGATCCAGCGCCATGACCGTGTAGTTGGCCTTCGTGATGCAACGCTGTAAGCCAATGGTAATCGTGGGGACGCTGATCGAGCTGGACGAGCTGACATCCACCGATGGGGAAGGCGTGACAGCCACGGATGGCGGGTGGTCGGACGGGAGCGTGGGAACAGCTTCGACCGTGCTGGCTTGGAAAACCTGCAAGAACTTGGCATTGGCCGCGGCGGTGCGAGAGCCGCTGAGGAAACCGATTGGAACAAGCGACATCGCAGGCTCGGCGCTGTCCCCGACACGGGATCGTCGCGCGGCCACCTTGAAAATGGTCAGCCCAAACTGAGCAGACAGCCCGACCAAAACCAAGGCATCCGGGAACCAAGCGAGCACATCGATCGTTCCAATCGTGGTGCAGCGCGCAAGCTCTTCGATGGCTGGCTGATCTGCCGTCACCATGGCGCCAGTGTTGCACGCTTTCCACAGCAACAGCTCAGAGTTTCGCGGAAGGGCAGCGTGCAGCGTTCCGCTGGGCGAAAACGCGTGCTGCTTGTGGACGGAAGCGAAGGTCGGCGTCGCGACTGCCACCGAGTCACCGTGGTCTGCACCGCCGAGGAGCGGGGTTTGGATTTCTGGCGCATTGCCTGCAGCCACGAGAGCCTGCCAAGAAACAGGGGCGTCGCCGACAGACAACAGGAAGGGGAGCTTGGGGTGCGGCGCAATCAAGTGCACGACGCCTCGGTGGCCCGAGCAGCTCGTGACAAACTTGATCTTGGAGACTGCCGAAAACGACTTTTGCTGCTTCATTTCGACAATCCACTTGCTCAGACCTCCAGAAGCGTGGCGGCAGATGAGCACCAAGTCGACGGGACGCAGAGGCTGAGGCGTCGACGAGTACATGCTGTGGGCGGCGTCAGAAATGGGCGTTGACTCGCCGGAAGCCGAGAATGCAACCAGATTTGACGAGCTGGAGGCAGCAGAGATGGTACCGGGTGTGCGACCCCCAACACCGAGCAACCCGCTGTCGCCGAGAACATTGGTGTCGTCAATGGGAATGCCGACCAGCCCAGTTCCGCGAGACCAGTCGTAGAAGGTGACAATGTCGTGTCGGAAGGATGCTGCGTCGTCCGAGGGAAAGGCGGCGTAGATGGCCGAGCCGATGGCAACCTGTGGCACGCGACGCGGCTGGTCGTCCAGCAGCTCAATGCGCCACACGGTCAACGTGCCGTTAGGGGCGATGGAGAAGACCATCTCGGAGTTGTCCTCTTGGTGCAGCGATCGCGTCTTACTGCGGCGTTGTGGCTCAGTGTCCTTGTAGTTGTTTTGGAAGGCCGTCGTGTGATCGGACGAGTGCAAGTGGTCAAAGTTGGCGCGATGATGGCTTGTCTTTTGGTGGAAAAACTCGTCGTCATCCAGCCTCGAAGCCGACCGTGTCGCATCAAGCATGAGTTGAGTGTCGACGGGAACAGAGTGGTGGTTCAACCAGTGGAAGGTTGGCAAAAGATGCTCGGGGTACTTGTCGCGAGCCGTCTCCAGCGTTGCGGCAATGTAAAGATTGAAAGGCTCTTGACGACTGGTCTCCGCCCACAGGCGCCCAATGCCATCGCTGCACGATGTGAGCAAAACGTTGACCACGAACGCTCGGTCGCTCGGATCGACAAACCGCCAGGACAAGCCAGTCACACTGCGCGGGTGAGCGAGGTAGACAAATCCATACGAGAGCGTTCTTTGCGGAGGGATGACTGAGCATGCGCGCAAGCAAGGAGGGAGAACGAGGGGATTGAGAATGAGCGGTTCCAAGTACGCACACACACGCAACAAAATATAACCCAGCTTTCATAACAAGAATACGCACCAGAATCGCGTCGAAACCAAACTTTAACAAGTCGATCGCTCTGTGGTTTGTGGGTTGGATGGTGAACAGCAGTGAGCAAAAATGCAAAAGAACAAAAGCAAACAAAAGACGAATATTCCTGTCCTCGCAGCGCCTTGTCGTCGTATCGATTACATACCTGACCCGCAGTCGCAAACAGTCGGCCATCCGGCGAGTACTTGATGTGATGGACAGGCGCTGGCATTTTCTCTTGCCAAGCGCACTTCCAAACGCCGGCGACAGTAGGACCATCAACATCAGGCGTATCAACGGCCATGTTGTCCGAAGCGTCTTTTCGGATGCGCCATAGCTGTAGTGAGTCGCTTCCAGTGAGCAGGTGCGTGCCTGGAGCGCAGAGTGGCGGAGTTTCGACCGCGATGAGTGTCATGTTTTTTGATGTTGCCAAACCCGTTCCAGGCCCAAATCGTACATACCAGTATGATTCCATGCGACCGTGTTCACAAGAGTCTCGTGCTGGAGCACCGCAATTTCATTCCAGTGGTACGTCCCCTGCGGTCGAATGACGGGCATCGAGAAGGACGAATCCAGAGGCGAGGAGGTGTTGGGCTTCTCTTGCACCGAATCATGAGCGTTGGGCGGCGATTGTGACGCTTCTGGCGCAGGGTTTGTAGCAACCGGCGCAAAGATGACGACCTCGGAGCCGAACGCCGCAGCAATCTGAGAAATAGTGAAGACATGCAGAAAAACGTCAGGTTAAAGTGTCTTCGATGGAGAACACGAAGAAACAAACGCTCCGTTGTCGCGCCTTGCAACATGATTGAGAGTGTGTGTTTGTTTTGTTAGTGTTGTTTTTTTGTTTTGGCTCAAGCATTGAAAACTCAGAGCTTGACGTTCGGTTCTCGCGTGAATGGAGGCGTGCGTTTTTTGCTTGTTCAAGCAATTTTTCATTGCATTGCAAATTCGATCAGAGGACTGAGAACTCAAACTTGAACTGAGAATCTGAGAATCTGAGAACCTGATTCAACCCAATAGAACAACATTGACCCCTTTTTCCAATTTTTCCCCACTTTTTCCCCCTTCTTCAGTACATCGCTGCACAAAATCAAAAAGGCCGCCTCCCGAGTTGAATCACGAGTTCAGGAGCAAACTTGTTCCCCAATCCTAATCAAAAACACTTGCTCACCTTGCCAGTGACGGAGCAGGCGTGAACGCAGGAGATGGCGGTCTGCTGGCGGCGGCTGGTTGAGCCTGCGATGACTTGGACTGGCTGGAACTTGTCGCGCAGCACGACGAGCTTGGAAGCGCACGCATACACCTGATGATGATGCATAGGATGAAATAGCAACAACGAATAGTGAGGAGATGTGCAAGTGAGTCTCGAGCAAACGGCGAGTGGTGACGAGGCCGTAATGGAGCGCCCATACAGAAACGCAGATGCCCAAGTCTCGCTCACTCTCACTCTCACTCTCACTCTTGTCTCGCTCTTCCACGCTCTTCCACTCTCTGACGATCAATCGCATTGGGCATCAGATGGTCGCTGCTTGGAATGCAACGAGCGTCGCAATACAAGTGGCCAAATGCATACAAACGCTTGCCTTCAGCATTCTGACTCAACTCTCTCGCCTCGAGCGTTTGGCAACACGTTCAAACTCTGTTGTGTGATACTCTTATCGCTTCTATTCCCCCCTCCCGCCTTTTGAACTGGAACGGGGCCGATGGACGAGTGTGGTGAGTGGCGATTTACAATGAATTGAAACCCTGCGACTTGGCCGGCAGCGACCGTGTATGGGCCTGGGTTGGCAGCGCCAGGCACAGTCTGCTGCGGTCGCATTGGTGTTTTTGTGTCGATCGAGTTGGAGGGTGAAGCTATCGACCGATCGCTTTGGACAAAACACGAGAACTAAAAAAAAAAAATGAGAAAAAGACTGAAGAACCAAATACAAGCGAAACAGTGCTGAGAATCAAAGTATATATAAAGAAAGAGATGCTTGATTCCCACTGGAATTAAAGGGCGAGGGGAGAGAGAGGGTCGGGTGGGGGTGGGGGAGAGAGTGACAGCGGAACGGGATCAATGCAAATTCAGTCAAATCGCAACGTCTGCAAGCATGGTGGAAGATCACAGAGCTGCATCAATGTTGAGATTGGATTATGATGCTGGATCTCAGTTAGTTTGATCGTGAATGAACCACTCCAACTTTCTCAGAAAACCCCGTCAAAACAAACAAACAAAGAAAAATCTCAGAGCGTTCCTGCTTTTTTGCCATACAACCCAAGGATCAAACAACGAAGACTCAAAGTCACACACACACATACACACATACACTTGGCAACCAGCGAATGAGCGGACTTGCCGGGAGTGACGAGGTCCTGCGTGAGCGGGTCGCCATGATGATGGATCGGAGCAGCTCAAGCACGAATCTGTCTGCCGCGTCGTCGACCTTCAGCTCGATGGATAGCATGGCTGTATCGGATGACGACGACGATCCCGATGAGAATGACGACCGCGGTGGCACGACGATGATGAGCAGCAGCAGCAGCAGCAGTAGCAATGGAAATGGCACAAAGCCCGGCAATGGTACCGGCAATGGAGCGGCAGCCGCGCGCATCCAGCAGGCCGCCGCCGAGCAGCGCCGTCGGAATTCAATCAACTCTGGCTTTGATGAACTGCAGCGCCTGGTGCCGGTGCTGCAGCCAAAGTTCCAAGGGCACCGCTTTAGCAAGGCCACCGTGCTCGCCAAAACCGCAGCACACGTCTCGACCATCATCCGACAGAGCACTGCGTACTCCGAAGAGGTCAACTTGCTGCGACAGGAAGCCATGGCGCTCGCGATTGTCAATGCGTAAGTCGCCGAAAAAAAAGTGTTGGAAAACACAAGGACAACAGACAAGCGTTGAGGAGTTGTCACAACTCACATACTCCTTGGCTCGCTTGCTTTGGCTCACAATCGAACATGCGCAGACGCTACCAAATGGCCATACATGCACAACAAAGCGCATCTGCTCAAGCGACGGATGCCATGCAACTTTGCGAGGCGGACACATCGTTCCAAGTAAGTACTTGGATTTTTTTTTTGTTTTTTTTTTTTTTTTTTGTGGATTGTTCGCGTTTGGTGCTGCAGCGATGCGCAGCACGCGTTGCCGTCGTCGTCAAAGGTTGCCATGCTAAGCCATATACATACTTTGATGAATTGCAGCGGTACGAACCTGCTCTGCCTCATGGCAACGTAACAAGCTCTATTCCCGCGCCAATTGGGTGGTTGCCCGGACAGCCGCAGTTGTCAGCCCCAGCGCCCCAAGTACTCGTGTCCACTGCTCTTGGAAGCGTTAGTCCGTCGTCTGTCCAACAAATCTCAGTGACAAGTACTCCATTACCAACTCCGGATGAAGCTCAAGCGCATCTGGTTAAATTTCAGCTGGTAACTTGGCCTGATTGAGCATATTGCAGAATGAACCTTGAGAAGGGGGGGGGTAGAGAGAGAGGCGTGTTCTTGTTGTTGTTGTTGTTGTTGTTGTTGTTGCTTTGATTGTCGATGTGGAGGAGTGCTCACCTGCTACGTTGGCCGCTTTTTTTGTCTTGTCTGGCAGTTTCGACACATCATCGAAAATCTATTTGCCACTTTCAGCCCGGCTGTGTCGCTAAATAGCTACGATGCCATGTCAGCCAGCATTCTCGCGTGGGTAGAAGAGCACTGTCATCCAGATCGGCTACGTGATGTCTCGTTGGCCGCGTTTTGTACGGTTGCGGGAGATTATTTTGTCGGGCCACCCTCGACCTGAATTTTGTACATTTTCTTTTTTAAAAATCAAAAAATCAACCCAATTTTTTTGTCTTCCTTTCATGTGAGGATGGTTATGAGGAGTGATATCAATGTTCAGGAACGGAGGAGCAATATCCTTCATTGAAAACAAACTCAACAAGCCTTGGATTGACGAAACGAAACCAGAAAACCAACAAAGTCAAAACAGAATTCAAAACAAACTACACCGGAACCCCCCAAAGATGGAAGACGGCAGCCAAAAGCAGCTCATTTGAGCGAGCAGTAGTTGGCAGGGAAGAGGCCAACGCGCCCGTCGGAAGTGCGGCCCTCCCACCAATCGTCTTGGCGAGGAGTGGTGGTCAACACCTCAATCACATCGCCGACTTTGAGCTGAAGGTCGTTTGGGAAGGTGCTGTGAAACTCGTACAAGGCCGTGGCCTGGTAGACTTGCTCGAAGGGATTGGCCACGGCAGGAGGTTGGGCAGATTTCGACGCGCTGGGGACCAGATCGATGCGACTCAACCGAGAGCTGGTCTTGGGCGCAGACCCGTCAGGTACATAGGCACCGCCAGCAGCGCCCTTTTTGGGAGCTGGCCGCGCGCCGGCTGACGACGAAGCGCCCTTGCTGAAAAAGCTGCCCTTTGAACTGCTAGAACTCGCTTGTGGTTGTGGACGGGCTGCGGGCCGCGCAGGAGCCGATCTGGCTGGTGTGTATGCCGCGGGCGTGTATGCCGCGGGCGTGTACCCACCACCGCCGCCGCTCGAGGAGCCACTCGAGCGCACAGATCCCGTCCGCGAGAGCGCCTCAGAACCCGCCGCCGAAGCCGCTTTGGTGGCCTTGTTGGCCATGCGCTGCGCCTGGCTATTCACTTGGTTGTCCAGGGCCGTGTACAAGGGCTGCGCCTCCGGCGGTGGGTCGACGCTTCCAGACAGAATGTCACGAGCACGAATGGCCTGCACGCCATAGAACTTGGAGTTTGCTTCCTTGCGCTCAAGCATGACAGAGCCTTCCAGCGAGATGCCGGCAAAGAGGCCCTTGCTCTTCGAGTACGTGTACACGGCCGCAGTGGAGCGGATGGCCACGTCTGCCTCCATGTTTCGGCCGTACGGACCCGCCGCAACGGTCAGATTGCCTCCAAGCGTGACATTGGTGCCCTTTGCGAACGCGTCGACAGCGGTCTGCGTGTTCAGGATCAGGAGAAAATCGGTGACTTCCGCGCCAATCTCAAAACCGCCGCCAATGCCGGCCGTTCCGATCGCGGAAGGAGCCGACCATCCTTCGATGATGAAGCACAAACCAGAAGAAGCACGAGTGAGATGAAAATCAGACTTCGCAACTGTGCGAACATTCTCATTTCCCCACATCCTATCTGTTTTGCGGTCTTAGAAACTACGTCAAATACCGCTTCCGCACAACCGCAACTGCGCGACTTTGACTTGCGCGACTACCAAGCGAGGTAAACCAAAAATAAAAAAGCGCCAAGAAGAGTGTCTTCCAACAAGCATGACCGATAATGGTGATCAGGCACAGCTCGTAATGGAGGAAATTGAAAAAAGTGAAAGGAAAAAACCGAGGCTGGTTCGACGATGACGATGCTGCTGATAAAAAGCGACGTCATTGTCGAGCGTTTTGGCAGTCGAGAAGAAGCGAATGCGATCGAGGATTTGGATGAAGAGGCATGTCGAGAAATGGCATGGCGAGGAATCCGCAACGCCAAGCCTGGAGAGCGAGCGAGAGAGAGACAATAGGAAAGAAGCAAAACTCACCACCGCCAATGCGACGAACGACAATGCCAGAGCCGCCGCGGACGGACATCAGGAAGCCGGCCTTGATCACAGTGATGATGGCAATGCCCTGCGCCTTGTTGATAATGTCGGCAGGGACAACCGAGTCGGGTCCGCTCGCGGCAGTCGGAATCGTAAACGACTCGAGGATTTTCGCCGCCTTGGCAAACTCCTTTGCCAGGGGACTCGGGATGAAGCCTCCGACCATGATGAGTGGGTGGATGCGTTAGAAAGAAAGTTAGGGGGAAAGAGAGAGAGAGAGAGAGAGAGAGAGAGAGAGAGAGAGAGAGAGAGAGAGAGAAGATGTGCAGGTGGTTGCGCAGAGAAACGGGAAGAAAAAGAAGAAAAAAAAAAGAAAGGAAAAAGTTCGAAAATTTGAGCTTCTTGCTCAATAGAAAGATCGATCTGAAGGAAAGAGTGAGGGGTGACAGGAATAGGCTTGACTTGGAATTAAAAGCAATGGTGGATTGGTGGCATCGAACAAAAAGCAGAGGGAGCACTAGTGACAAGAACAACAGCGATTTTGAACTTGGAGTGTTGTTTTTTGTTTGTTTGTTTGTTTGTTTGGGTGCTGAACAAGACACAAGTCATCATGCAAATCGCCAAATGACAATGTACGAGATTGACAACAATGACTTTCTACAAGGTGCAGAGAGTTGGGGTTGTTGCAGACGTTTAGTTGAGCTTGGCGTTGGCAGCCTCGGCGGCAATGCGAGCCTTCTCCTTCTCTTCCTCAAGCTTCTTGAGCTCCTTCTTGCGGTTGCGCTCCTCGTACAGTCGACGGTGGTCGATGATGCGTTGCACGATAATCTTTTCCGTCAGAGGGTTGTTTGACTCGACGGTGCGGAAAATGCCCTTGGCCTTGGGGACCTGCATTAAAGTGCCAAACAAGAATGGCCAAAGGTTTTAGAGACGACCCCAAAACACGTTGCACAAAGGCAAACAAAAAAAACGATGCCCGGTTCGGCGTGCTTACGCGGTAGGGATCCTGACCGTCAACGTCAGGTTGGACCTCACCAGCGCCTTGGACAACCACTGAGACGCGGAAATGCTCAATGAGCTCTTCCGTAACAGAATAAGGAGCACCGATAACCGCTTCGTCGACAAACTGGTGATTTGAAACCATGCACCAAAGGAATGAAAACATGAGTCAAGCGCAAAACCAGCACACCCAGGTCAAAACAGAACTGCATCAGATTCGTTACCTTGCAGGCAAGCACGCACAGAGTACGCTCGTGCAAGTTCATGATCGGGAAGTTGTCGCCCTTGTATCGGTTGACAGTCTGCAAAAAGTATCGATGTGAGCGTGTGCTTGTTCTGCGGATCTCCAAGAAAAAGCAAAAAAAAAACGCCATTATCCCACGCATACCAGATCAGGATGAAGACCAACAACGAGGTAATCTCCGAGGGCCTTGGCCTTCTCGAGGAAATCAACATGGCCGGGGTGGAAGAGGTCGAAGGCGCCAGCAACGTAAACAACGCGATCGGTCGGCTTGGGCTCACGGCCCTCCGAGAATTGCACAATGCGTCGTGACGTTGGGAGGTAGTGGCTGATCTGAGTGCCGGGCTTGGAGCCAGCATGGTCCTGCAGCAGCAGCAACAAGGTAACAAATCAGCGTTCAAGCTCATCGTCACTTCAAATTTAACGATCGATTCGTTCGACAGTCCACGCAACAACAACAAAGAAAACAGAACGTACGGAAGCAAGGGAGCCGAGAGACTTGGAGACGTTCGAAAAGTCAACTCCGGTAAAGTGGTCCTTGGTCATGAGAAGCATGCGGCCAACGAGATCGGTCGTCGAGATACCCTCGGTGCGCTTGCACTCGCTGGATTTCGCCATGAAGGATGAGATGAGCACGACGGAAGAAGGTGAGCAACGCGATGAGCAAAAAGCGAATGAACAGATTGTCCCAGAAGACTTCATTCCCTCCCCCCCCAGAAGCAGGCCATACCGGTAGCGACGGGCAGACTTGACGACACCGTAAGTATCGTTGCCTGCAGCATCGGTGGTAATATCATCGCCGTGAACGCAGAAATCGCAGTTGTTGGCGTCGAGGGTCTCGAGCGTGGTGTTGTACGGCGCGTCCTCGACGACCTCGTCCACCCACTTGCACGCGCGAACCATCTTGTAGCTGTGTTGTTGTGTTTTGTCGTTTTCCAAGATGATGGTTGATGATGAGATGAGAAGCAGGATTGAGGGCAACAACGCATTTCGATAGGTTTTCGCTGCGCCCTCAAGCATCGCCCCCAAACACCACCTGGTAGCTGCCCGTAGGATGACCATGTAATCCACTGGTACCCCAATCGATCTCTGATCAACTCCAGTGCGCCATGGATGGAACGCTGTTCTCACTGTTCCAAACAAACTGCTTACCGCTCCTGCTCGGTCATGACCGGCGGGCCCTTGTTCCGGGTGATCTCCTCGTCCGTGTGAACGCCAACGACCAGCCAGTCGCCCATCAGCTTGGCTTGACGCAGTGAGTTTGCATGGCCAAAGTGCATCATGTCGTAGCTGCAAAATCAGAGAGATATGATTATAAATAAAAAAAAAAAAAAAAAAAAAAGTCAATCAATACAAAACACAATGGAAAAAGCAATGGAAATGAATCAAAAAAAAAAAAAAAAAAAAAAAAACGGCCAGCAACGCAACAGTGACAACGCGACAAAACGTTGGCATTGACACGGTTGCTGACTGTTGCGAGCGCGCGTGGCCATTGATTGCGTTGCTGTTCTACGCAGCACATGCACACAGAGACAGCTGCATGCGTGCGTGCGAAAAACGCGCGACCACCCGCGATGATGGAGATCGAAACGAGAGACGCAAAAAAAAAAAAAAAAAAAAAAAAAAAAAAAAAAAGAGGACGTTGGATGCTGATCAGAGCACCATCACATCGGCAGAGAGTGGCTTCTTACCAGCCGTCGCACCACACGCGGACAACGCGGCTGCCGGCGTGCTTCTTGGCATCGCCGGCGAGTGCTTCGTCGGCAGGTCGCTTGTTGGTCGTATCGCTCATTTTTTTGGATAATAAAAGGAAGACTGGTTTTTTTTTTTTTTTACTTTTTTTTTTTTTTTTTGTTTTGTTTTGTTTTGTTTTTTTTGGGTTGATTCAAAGCACGATCAGATCAATGATTTCTGCTGTTGATGATGCGACAATGTGCATCTTGCAAAATACACTTCACTATTAAATAACATGACTCAGAAAGCAAGGAGGGTGCGAGGAGGGGGGGGGGAAACAAAATTTTGGCAAAACTTAATCGTCCTCTTCGCCCCCTTCATCCATCGCTGTGGACAGAACAGCGGGCGTTGGAAAGTACAAATTGCTGAAAGAGTGCTCTTTGAGATACTCGCTGCCTTTTTCCTCGTACTCTTGGCGGGTGATGAACGCCGGCGACAAATGAGACAGCTGGGTAGCCGAGCCCACTTGCTCGTTGCCCCACAAGGATGCTCCGCGCCATGCATCCAGCAGCGGGTCGGTGGCATGCCGGATCTCAATCACGCTCCGGAATGGCCGGATGGAGACCATGTTCTGAAGAATGCGCTGGCCAATGCCCGGGAGCGAGGACGTGCCACCCGTCAAGAAAACGTTGCGAGCCAGTTGCTGCTGCGTTGCCGCGTTGTAGTGCTTGAGCACAAAGGCAATGGTCTCAATCAGACCAGCCTGGTCGGAACCCAGCAGAGAAGGTTGGAACAGAATCTCGGGAATGCGATGCTGCTCGGCAGCCAATTCGACCTGATGCATTTCGGCCAAGCTCTCGGGCGCAGCGAGCCGCTTCTCTTCCGCGACAAAGGTTGGATCGATAATCCGCAGCTGTCGCTCGTATCTCTCGAGCTGAATACGCTCGTTTTCGCTATCAGAGCCACCGGCATCTTTCCTTTGCTGCAGCCATGGGAACGAAAGGTATGAGCGCAAAAACAAACAAACAAAAAAAAAATGTCACGTCTCCATCACTATTTTTTTACCATCTCGTGGTAGACCTGCCAGTCATCGTCGTTGAGACCAAAGGTATCGGAGGAATCTACATCGCCGCTGCCAGCCATTGCCATATCGTCAGCGCTAACCTTGAGCGAGGTGCCACTCTGGTGCATTTGCTGCACAATCAGACGCATGCGCTGTCGCGACGCAGCAGAGCGCTTGTCGCTGAGTTGCTCTTTTTGCTTGAGGCGGCGCTCGCGGGCGCGCAACAGCTCGTTGCGTGATTCTCGCAAGGCCGCAGCAGACTCAACCGGGTTGAGCTTCATTTCCTGAACCTCGCGCTTGAACTTGCCCTGGCGTGCCTTCCGAGCAACCAAGCGTTCTTCCTTGATGATGGCAACAATCTGCAGCTTTCTCTGCTCTCGCAGCTGAGCAGGAGTCAGTTGCTCCTCCGAGATGTCGACAAGTGGCGCGCTGGTCACGCTAGCTTCTGATTGTGGTTGAGTGGAGGATGTAAGGTCAATCTCGCTGGAGCCACTTGTGTTGTCAGCAGTGCTGGTTTCAGTTTCGGCTGCAGCAGCTGGTGCGGCAGGCGTGTCCGAAATTGCAGAATTGCTTCCGTCAGGTTGATCGCTCTCGACCGGCGCGCTGGCAGCCGCGACGTGCGCTGGTTGAGCATCAGACTCACCATTGCCTACCAATTCGGTGCCCACAGGCGCGGATGGGAGAGCGGCGCGATCGGGAAGCAGACCCGGCCGGCTGGCAGCGAGTGCAGCGTTGCGTTGGGCTTGTCGGTTGGTGTTGGTACTGGAGTCCCATCGTTGCCGTCGCTGCTGCTCGCTCTCCTCGAGACGAAGACGCTGCTCGGCCTCTGCCACGATGGCAGCCTCGTACACTTCCTGTCGCTTGTCAAGCATCTTGCGGAATCGCTCTGCCTGAGCGGCCTTGCGCTGCTGTTGCTCCTCTTCCGAAATTTCTGGAGCTCGAACGGTGGGCGCAGTAAACGGCAGCTGAATCACAACTGCAGCGCTGGTCCACGCATCGGCGTCGAATTCGCGTTGGTGCCATGAGCGCAGCTCTTCATCGTAGTCGTGCGCAACGCGGCAATGTTGCCAAAACCACTCGGTGCATCGCGTGCCAGTAAATGCTGCCTTGTGCTGCGGATATTTGAGCGATAGCAGACTGTTCAAGTAACTGATGCACTGATGGCCGCCCTGTGCGATACGCTTTGCGTTGGTCGAGTCGACGCGGCCGTTAATGTACGGAATAACATGTGTGTGGTAGTTTCCTGCAGCAAGCACAAGAGCCGTGCTAGAAGATGCGATCGGCAGCAGGTGCTGTGCATGCGGACTCAGTGGCGGGGACAATGGCGCGGTTAGGACGGAAGCCTGGCGGCTCGTGGCTGGTTTTGCATTGTAGTGCAAACTAAACAGACTGTCCACGCCGTACGAGACTGCCGGCACATTGTAGCACTCGAACAGGAGCTCGTTCATGAATGCTCGCTGGCTATTCGGGTTGCACATTGTCTCTGTCATGACGATCGGATGGTCAATTCGGCCGACGCAGTACTCGCCGTGACTCGAGCCACGCCACCGAACGTCCCGCGCCCGCCGCCTCGCAGCGTGAGCAACGGGTGCCTGGCCATCACCACTGGACGATGCCTGGTGACTGCTGCTGCTGGCTTGGTCCTGGTCGAGCAATGAGCGAAACACAAAGTCGAGCATGTCCTCTGCCACAGTAAAGTTAGTCACCACGTCGCGATCGAGCTGCTGGCGAAAGCGCCACTTGGACAGCGTGTCCCAGTCCTTGACCTGGTCGCCAAGGTAGTCTTTCTGCATTTGAAGGAGGGAGGTGTGTGTGTGTATGTGTATGGGGGGCAAGCACGTCGCGGTCCGAGTTAGCACTCCAATGCAAAATCCATCAGTCACTCGTCATTGGGTGCCCACCACTGCCTGTTTGGTGCTTTACCTGCTCGTCCTGCTCTGTCTTGGTTCTGAGACGCGCGATAATGTTCTTGACTGCGAGCGACGGATCTGCGTTGCCAGACCAGCCAGCGCGGCACATGAACGATCCATTGTCAATGACGATCGCTTGGCTCAGCGACGACGACGACAAGGACGACATGACAAAGACTGAGATTGAAGAGAAAATGATGAACAGTAAAGTGCTTTGATTGCAATTCGGCTGCCGAAGCTCAGTCTGTCTCTTCGATTGAAATGGCAGAGCACACAATGGCAGCGGATCATGATGCGCCAGTGTTTCCAGGCGACTACTCTGAGCTCTCTCGTGTTGCTGAAGGTGACCCTCTATTGCTGTTGGTTGTTTTGTTGATTGGAGCTACATGATAGGATTTCTGAGATTTTTGCAGGTGATTCTCGCTTGACTGACCCGAACGCGCCGTTTCCCCCCCCCCTTTTTTTTTGCCTTCCCTCACCTGGACCACTCATTGTGATGACGATTATTCATGGTTTGCGATTAGGGCTGCTTGACTTTAGCGTGCCGACGGGCGTCGCGCTCGGGGCCGTCAAGCGCATCAGCCCGTACTTTCTGAGGCACTTGTCGATCGGTCTGGTCGACGTGCCGCGCTTTGTCGGGTTCAACTACGTCTCGCACCCGCGCCAGTCCAACGCGGCCGTGAATCCATTCGCAGGCGCGTCTGCCGATCTCGCTGCCGCGCACGAGCCAGCCGCCGCGGGGCAGGACGAGGACTACAGCCAGCCCCTTCCAGTCCAAGGTGAGAGCGAGCGCCTCTCTATGCAGTCCCATCACACCCCGATTCGTGCCAAGCATTGCAACCACACCGAGCAAGCAAAAAACAAAAAGAAGGAACCCCCAACAAAGACAAATCATCAACGGTTGTTGTGTGTGCTCCACTCGCAAACGCGAGCTCCAATTTGCTCAAAACCCGACGTACATCGATTTTTTTGCACTCATCTGTTGCTGTCGCGTTTTGTAATGCTAGGATGGCGCTTGTTCTCGTGCGTTTTCGACGACGGCAGCGTGGAGGCAATGCTCGATCACCGACCGTCAGCGCGTTGGCGGTTCCAGGCCTCGGGCATCTCGTCATTTCACAAGAACATGTCCCATGTACGCAGGCGTTGTCGTTTCTGTGAAATCTCTTCTGATTGCGGTCGTCGGACGTTGCTTTTTGTGATGAGAGGCGTCATGTACATGCTCTCACGATGGTGTCTTTGGTGTTTGGGTTTTTTTTTTTTTTTTGGGTGTTTTTTTGTTTTGTTTTTGGTCTCTGACAGCTCAACTTCCTGGCATTCCGATACGCTCCAAACTGGTCGGGAAGAATGATTTACACTACAGAAGAGCACATGCTCGGGTTTAGTGGCATGCGGGCGCTTTCGAGCAGCAAAGAATGGGCCGTTGGCGGAGAAGTGTTTTACTCGTTTTCGCAAGAAGCTCCCGGCTGTGAGTACAAACCAACCCCCCCCATTTGGGTGATTTGTCTTGCACTGTTGCTCCATTCATTTTGCACGGGTTTCTTCTTGCTTGGTTGATTGAATTCGTTTGGCAGTGTCGGTCGGAGCTCGCTATCACACTGTGAACGCAAACACTGGGCATACGACAGTTGTTGCCACGACATTCAGTCCCATTCCAGGCCATGTGACAGCGACATACACGTCAGATCTCACGCAAGCTATGGTTGCATCGACCCGATTCGAGTACAATGTCCACAGCAACGAGGCAGAGTTTGGAGTGGGACTGCGTCTGCAACCACCAAACAGTCCCTTTGATCTCCGCTTTCGAGTCGATACATCTCATGTACGTGCTGCTGGGTGGAAGAACACTGTTGTGCTGTTCTTTTGGTTTCTTTTGGTTGGTACGTTGAGCGGGTGCGCAATGCTAACTTTCGTTCTACGTTGCTCTCTTTTTTTGTTTGTTCGTTGCTGTTGTTTCGGTTCATTGACAGGGCATTGGTGTGCTGCTTCGGGCTCGATTTCCCCATCTCACACTGGCTCTAGGTGCGGGATGCTCATTTCCACCCAATGTCACAACAAGAGTTGGTCTCGATTTGCGTGTGGAGAGCAGCAGGGATGGTGGCTATGCAGGGTGAAACAAAAGTCTGAGGGTTGCAAGATGCTGTGTTGAACCGTGTTTATTGTGATAATAGCTATTGGGATTTTGGTGCATGTTGACCTGGCAACAAAGCCCCAAACCTTTGTGTTCCACCTACTGACCGGACGAGAGTCAGCAACAGCACGATTTACCTCAGAGCTAAAGTACTGCAGAGTCTGGCTTGAACGTGCCAGTCGCATCTATTCAAAAATGAGGAGATTCTAGAGAAACAAGCAAGAATGAGTCAGTGAGAAGTCCAAAACAAGAGCAAGTTGAGAGGAGTAAAAGAGCACGTAAGAGAGAGAGAGAGAGAGAGAGAGAGAGAGAGAGAGAGATTGTGCGCGATGACTATCCGCCTTCACAAACAGGAGAGTTGTGAGGCGGTCAAACTTCAACTCGCGGTCTATTCTTCTTGCACACTATAGTTAGTGGATGCTCAACACACCAATCCCACATCTCGAAAGAAGTGGTAGGCAACGTTGGATGCCGCTGGGAGCGTGCGAAAATGGGACGGAGAGTGGGGTGATACAGCAGTCAAGACGACGAAACCTACCATGGTTTGCCATCCGTTGGGAGTGAACTTGCGTGTTCCTACAGTTTGCTGAGGTAGGCGTCGCTGCAGAGGAAGAAGAGGAGGCATGGCTCGGCCGCGTGCTTTGTTGCAGACAATCTCCTGCGTTTTCCCCTTTCCTCGCACGAGCAGCTGACAAGACCGGTTCAGATGCACCGTTGAATATACAATCGCATTGTCTTCGGGATCAGCGCTGTAAGACCGTCCGCGAGAAGTGGGACAGGAGCGAACGATTCATGAAAACGAAAAAAAAAAAAAAAAAAAAAAAAACGGCGATCTTGCCAAGCGAGCACATGGCGAGAACGAGAAAGGGGAAAAGGAGAAGCCAAGGGGGAAAGGCGCTGCTCAGCAACTGAACACTCAGTACCCACACCACATATTGACCCGGGCAGGGGGAGGGGAGAAAGGATTGAAAAATCAGCAGCCCGAACAGTAAAAAAAAAAAAAAAATAAAAAAAAAAAACGACAAACAGAAACAAAAAATAAAAATAAAAAAGACTGAAAGCCAAAAAAAAAAAAAAAAAAAAAAAAAACCAACAAAAACTGCAAGTGGGTTTTTCTTTTGGGGAAATATGTTGTTCTAATTCCAGAATGATTGATAATAATACAATACGAGTATTATCGAGTTGGAGCGGAGGCGAACGGACGAGGGGAGGCCGGGAACGAATGATGCGAAGGTTGGAGAGGTCGGTGCAAGGATGACAACCAAGCGAGCCACCGCCTTCTTCTTTGGCGTGGCACGGTGTTTGATCGAGTAGAGAGGCGTCCCTAATTCCGAACACGATTTTTTTTTTGACTGGGCCACCATTACGCCCCTGATTTTAATTCCGGAGTCCTCTTTTTTACATTTCCCTCTTTGCTTCTTTCTTCCTTGCTTTCCTTCCCACTTTCGAATCGTCGTAGTGCCATGTCCGACCAACAAGCCTCCTCGTCCACTCGAGACGAGCATCCCCCACGCGTGCCCCCAAGGCGGCCCCACGGCCGCTCCAGGCATGGGAGCATGGGGTGGCGGCAACCCGCTCGCCAAGACGGGCGCCGCGCTTCCGGCCAAGTCCGGTCTCGAGATGATCGACGTCAACGACCCCGCCTACGCTAAGCTGAACGAAGAGCTCAGCCTGAACGCCTCTCAGATGGGTGACGGCTCGAAGCACACTGTCGTGGTCAGCTGGACCTCGCTTCGCGCCAACAAGATCGAAGGCAGAGGCAACGAGATCACCAAGCTCCTGATGGAGCACATCCCTGATGGCTGCTGCGGCATCAACTTTGGCCCGCATGAGCTGAGCATCGTCTTCAAGCACCCGAACTGTTAGGATCCCGGACTGGACAGGGAAGGGTACTCAGGTGTTGGCGCAAGACAGGACAAGGAATTGGGGATTTTGGGGGTTTAATAAAGACGAGACAAGAAAGGATCCAAATCGAATCAGGTTGATCAAATTTTGACGACTGACAGACAAACATATTTGTCATCATCAAATCAGAAAATCAGGCAAGACAAATCAGAGCAAGACAGGAGAAAAAACAGGAAGAAAAGACAGAGGTGAGAAAACATGCAAGAAATCATTCAAAGTGGCAGGTTGCGTTCAGAAACCTGACAGATCCCCGCACAAAGGATCGCGTCGTCCCTGACGCGCTCAGGAATAGAGAAGTCGGGCAGCGGGCTTGGGCTTGCGAGGAAACTTGCGATGGAAATCGCGGACGAGGACCAGGAGGTTGGACAACTGGGACAAGGGTTCCCAAGTTGTGTCGGAAGGGCTGAATCCTTCCCAGCGGCACAGATAAAAGAAATCATCACCCCGACGCTCGACATCGAGAATGTCGGAAACCTTGTAAAGGATTTCGCCATCAACGATCTCAGAGTAGGGGAACGGCTGAGGGCGAGAGGAGCCAGGGCTGGAACGGAACTGTTTCAGAAGTGAAACGTGGAAGGTCGGATGGATCTTGAGGTCAGAGGGCAGAGACAGAGTGAAGGCAACATCGTTGACCTTGGAAGCGATGGGAAAGGGGCCAATCCACTTGGGGTGGAGCTTGTTGAGAGAGCGGATGTTGGAAGTGCTGAGGAGAACTTGATCGCCAACTTGAAAATCCGGAGGAGGGATGCGATGCTTGTTCGCATGCTTGGTATAAGCAGAAACAGCAGACTTGAGGTGGTCACGGACATTGGCTTGCACATCGGAAATGTGCGCGAGGAGACTGGTAGCATCGGGAGAAGGAGTCAAAGCGGGAGAAAAATCGAAACGCGGGTTGAAACCAAAGTTTGCATGGAAGGGCGAAACACCGGTAGAAGACTGGACAGAAGAGTTGTAGGCAAACTCGGCGAGATGAAGGAGATCGGACCAGTTGTCCTGGCCAGCAGAGATGAAGCAGCGAAGGTACTGCTCAAGGATGCGGTTGATGGCCTCGGTCTGGCCGTCGGACTGGGGATGATAGGCCGTGGACAGGTTGATCTTGGTGTTGAGGCTTGTGAAGAGATGATTCCAGAGGTGAGAAACAAAAACACTGCCACGATCACTCACAATATCGTCAGGGAGACCGTGGTAAAGGAAGACGCGGCGGATCAGGAGATCGGCGGTGCCGAGAGCGTTGATTCTCGTGGTACAGGGCATGAAGTGGGCCATCTTGGTCAGGCGGTCGACGACGACGCAGATTGCATCAAAGGAGTTGGAAGGAGGAAGCTGGGTGATGAAATCCATGGAGATGGATTTCCAGGGGTGCTCGGCAATGGGGAGAGGCTTGAGGAGGCCGTAGGGCTTGTGAGAGGAAGTTTTGCTGCGGATACAGGTCTCGCACGATTCGACATAGTGCTGGATCGTATCGTGCATCTTGGGCCAGTAGTAGTCACGCTGGACTAACTCGATGGTCTTGCGGATGCCAAAGTGACCGGCAGCATAGCTGTCGTGGCGGGACTCGAGGACAAGAGAACGGAGATCGGCCGAATCAGGAATGTACAAGGCCGACTTGAAGTAAAGGAGATCATCCTTTGTGGTGAACTTGGGGAAGCGGGAAGGGTCTTCAGCGATCTCGAGTGCGAGAATGTCGGTCGCTAAAGCCTGGCGGACGCGGGACAGGAAGTCGTCGGACATGACGGCAATGAGGAGTTTCTCGGGAAACATGGTGGTCGGAGTCTTGACCTTGGGGTCACCCACCCCCGTCGAAGAGGAACGAGAGAGAGCATCAGGAAGAGTATGGAGGGTACCAGCGCGGTGGTAGACGAGGAAGAAGAAATCGGCGAGCACTTGGGCCCAACGGGTCTGGCGCGGGTTGAGGAGACGAGCGGTGGACCAGAACTCGATGTTTTTGTGATCGGTAATCACCTTGACAGGAACCTTGGCACCGAGGAGGTAGTGCCGGAAGACCTTGAAGGACTCGACAATGGGACAGAGCTCTTTGTCGTAGATGTTCCACGCGAGTTCAGAGCCAGTGAATTTGCGGGAATGGAAGGCAACGGGATGCGCAACGCCATTGTCATCGAGCTGGGACAGAATGGCACCGAGAGCAAAGTCGCTGGCATCGGTCTCGAGGATGAAAGGCTTGGAGGGGTCAGGATAGGCGAGGACGGGCGCGGAGGTGAAAGAGTGCTTGAGGAAGGCAAAAGCAGAGTCGCATTCGGGTGTCCACTTGAAAGGGACATCCTTGCCGAGGAGCTTGGTGATGGGAGTAATCACACCGGAAAAGTTCTTGATGAAACGACGGTAGTAGTTGGCAAAGCCGAGGAACTTCTGGACGGCGTGGACAGTTTCGGGCACCGGCCAGTTGAGGACTGCAGAAAGCTTGGCAGGATCGATCTTGACGCCATCCTTGGAAACGATGTAGCCAAGGAAGAGCACCGAGTCGGAGTGGAAGACAGATTTTTCCAGCTTGACGTAGAGCTGGTTGTCGCGCAGAATTGTGAAAACACGGCGGACGAGAGGGACGTGGTTCTCGAGAGTGTCGGAGTGGATGAGGATGTCGTCGAGGTAGAAAACAACACCGATAATACCTTGGAGAAGAGAAGC